TGTCGCTTCCTTAGTAATCGGATCGAAAGCTCTATCGACTATAAAGTATAGGTAGTCGTAGTTGCTAAGTTGATTCTTGTCGATAGTACGCAGGATATACGTAGTATCTAGCCGATCTATACTGCTACGAAGAACCTTAGTCTCGTATAGCTTATTTCTAAGAGGTCGGAAGCCGCCGTGCTTAGCTATAAACTCCTTAGTCTCCTCGGACATAGTCGTAGAACAGCCTAGCTAGATAGTGTTAGTACGTAGTAGCTTCCGTAGAGAGAAGATCTCTACGTACTCCTTGCGGAAGTCCTTCTACTTAGATATTAAGTGCATCTCGTCGATTACAATAAGCCTAATCCGAGCCCGTACCTTTAGATTACGGATAATCGCCCGGAAATCCTCGCTAGCTATAGTCTCTAGGCTAAGGATAATATAATAGACTTTTCTATCGAGGATCTTCTAGAACAGATTAGGATCTATACTCTTATTCTCCGTAGTAATATTAGTTACGTTAATTAGATAGTTCGCTTGTTACGTAGTCTAGCGAACATCCTCTATATGCTCCTTACTAAGCCGATTTAGCGGAGTAATCTCGATGACTACTATACCTATTAATAAGCTAAAGGCTTAGAAGGATATACTCTTACCTTCGCCCGTCTTTGCGATTATTATCGTATCCGAATAGCTAAAGATTAGGGCATGTATATAGTCGATTTAGGAGTCCCTTAGCATATAGCCCTTGCCTAGATGCATCTTGTCTAATATCTTTCGAAGACCCTAGATAACGATATCGCGGTATATATCGACAGCTTCCTCTATACGTATCGCATCGTAGACGAGCTGCTAGACTATATCGAGAGACTCGGCTTCGAAGATTTCGTCGTAGCGTTACTAGAACTAGGCCTTGTATCCGCTCCTATGCTATAGCTACTCGAATAGTAGAAGATAGCTAAAGTCTAGAGAATCTCGAGTAATAGCAGCGCGACTTAGAACCTCGATTAGTCCGATAGGCTAATCCTTCTTATTCTTCTTGTTATTCTTCTTCTTCTTCTTCTCCTCGGCTTTCTAAAGGCGCTCTACCTTTTTAGCTATAGCGCGCTGCTTCTTGCTTCCCTTCGGCGGGCCTACTATTCTAGTACTATTAGGTGTATTAGAAGCTGAAATTAAGCTTATAAAGTAGTATAGCGGCGGCGACGGTAGCAACGTAGATACGCGCGACGACTCGAAGCTTATAGAAGTGTATACTAGATAGCGGTGGAGTGTACGCTAGCGCAAATAATAATAGGCGATAGATTATAGCTTTCTATACCCTCGGATAGCAGGATAGAGGCAAAGGTAGAAGTGTTTAGGGATTCTAAGTAGTAGAGACTAGAGATACGGTCCGTGCGACCCTCCGCACGTGCTTAGTTTAATGTTTTATATGCTGTTTAGTAGTAAATCACTTTATAGAGGGTAGAACAAACACTCTTATCCGGGCAACCTATCTTAGAAGATACGCTATAGAGCGCGTATTTTACATTTTGACGAATACTTTGTATAAGCAATTTTAATCTCCGTATTATTCCGTAGAATAGCTTTTTTAGGTTTGTACTGCGAAAGCGTATATAGCATACTATATAATTAATTATAACTTTAGCATCCGGGCAATTATATAGAGGTAGAACGGTTTAACTTTAGGCGCTCCGCTATAGCTTTCTCTATACCTAATATAGTTAGTGTCGATGCCTAAGGAAATAGAATTACGTAGAAGAATCTATAACACTCGGAGCGCCTAAGAGGAGGTAGCAAGACTTTGCAACTACGCTTTTCTATTTAGGTATACAATCTGCTACAGTACACTCGAGGAATCTAGCTTTTCTATAGCCTCTATCGGTAAATCGAGCGACTCTTCCTAATGCCGCCGCACAATTACACGACTAATGCGTTCTGCAGTAGAGGTTCCTTACTCGCTTAGAATCTGCTAAGCAAGACTCGCGACTACTGCTAGACTAGACCGCTCCGCCGCTTCTTCTAGCAGTCTACGTAGAGGATAAGACGAGAACAGATTTTAAGCAATGTAGTCGGCATTCAAGCTACGAAGAAAGTATCTTAGGGCTCTTATTGCAAGCTCTATAGTTAGCTAGATGTTAACGGGCTATAAAGTAGTAATATATATAGGCCTTAGATAATGTGCTAATTATTATATAGGTTACAACGCGACGAGTATACTACTACAAATTAACCTATTAGATCTACTATACTTAGGATAACAAGATTAATATAGTTAAGGTCTTTTAGATACGAAGGAGGGCTTATCGATAAGCAAGGTTAGCCTAAGCTTTGCTATAGGAGTCCTATTATAAGATTAATAGTACGATAACGTAATAGGCTTTAAATGATTTAAAGCTTTAAGTAGACTAAGTCACTTTCGATCGACTCTGCTAAACAATTACCCTTAATATTATATCTCCGAGCAAACATCCCTTCCCCTCGTATCCGTTAATAAAGGGTATCCGTACGATCTTACTAGGGTAGTACTTAAAAGGATTTGACGGGCGTTAGGGTATAATAGCTCGTATACTAATTCTAGTTCAGCTCGTTATAGGGAGCTTAGCATTAAATTACTATATAGAAGTGCTAACGCCGTTCTTTGTAAGTGTGAGTTTAATTTATAGCGGCCGCCTGCCCTAGTAGATTTAAAAGTAACCGCACTCGCGACTACTACTAGACTAGACCGCTCCGCCGCTTCTTCTAGCGGTCTACGTAGAGGACAAGATAAGAACAGATTTTAAGCAATATAGTCGGCATTTAAGCTACGAAGAAAGTGTCTTAGGGCTCTTATTGTAAGCTCTATAGTTAGCTAGATATTAACGGGCTATAAAGTAGTAATATATATAGGCCTTAGATAATGTACTAATTATTATATAGGTTATAACGCGACGAGTATACTGCTACAAATTAACCTATTAGATCTGCTATACTTAGGATAATAAGATTAATATAGTTAAGGTCTTTTAGATACGAGGGAGGGCTTATCGATAAGCAAGGTTAGCCTAAGCTTTACTATAGGAGTCCTATTATAAGATTGATAGTACGATAACGTAATAGGCTTTAAATAATTCAAAGCTTTAAGCAGACTAAGTTACTTTCGATCGACTCTGCTAAACAATTACCCTTAACATTATATCTCCGAGCAAACATCCCTTCCCCTCGTATCCGTTAATAAAGGGTATCCGTACGATCTTACTAGGGCAGTACTTAAAAGGATTTAACGGGCGTTAGGGTATAACAGCTCGTACACTGATTCTAGTTCAGCTCGTTGCAGGGAGCTTAGCATTGAATTACTGCATAGAAGTGCTAACGCCGTTCTTTGTGAGTATAAGTTCAATTTATAGCGGCCGCCTGCCCTAGTGGATTCAAAAGTAACCGCATATGCATACACCCTGGCATTTGAGATTGTGCAGCGGCAATTTCGCCCTCATCGTGATATTGAGCAGTCACAATCGACCATCTCTTTCAACTGATCGGCCGGCGCATCGAAGAGCCAACGGTTGCGATGCTCGAGACATCCGCAATTCGTAAGACTGGCGCCAAAATCAGGAACGAAGAAAAGAACCTCGCGCGCTCGTCCGTGCATCCGTCAAGAAAGGGTGGCGAAGAAATGATGTTGTCAACATAAATGAGTAGGTTGCAGCAAGAGTTGCCAGCTGGAGATCTCGAGGCGCATGTGAAAGTGAAAGCGGGAGATCTCCGGCTCCCGAAAATGACAGTACAAGAGTCCACAGAATTCCCAGAGCTTTCGGTGGTCGTGAAGCAATCGTCAGCGCGTAGATGATTCTGGGTGCAATTGATTCCATCGCATGTTATCAACATTTCCCATGATAACACCAAGAACGACCGCAGCCATCAATTCTTTTTGCAATGTCTTTTGGCCCTGTCGTCCCTCCCAAGAGACTGATCTGCCGGTCCGCCACAAGAAGGCCTAGGACTGCTTCCGGCAGTAGGAGGCGGCAATGCGCGTCGTCTTGAAAGCATCGCCAGCAAGATTCGGATCTTGCTGGGAGCGCAGGCAGGTGACCGACTCCATGTCAATTTGATCTCACTTTGATTTCCCGTTTCCGGAATGTTTTCATGTCGTTCTCCCGTCTTCCCACAAAGGCAACGGATACACGTGCAGCTCCTCCAAAGAGGGTATGAATCTCGGAGATGCATGCTATTTGTACCACACTGATCACCTCGCTAGTCACTCAATCTTCGAACGCCATTCTAGGCTTTCGCAGGAGAATCGGTTTCGTTCCGGAACAATTCTGGAAGATGAGTTCCTAGCACCTTTGCAGCTTTAGGTGAATTAGCACAATGCCACACCCTGCTTCAAGTTTCTCTGCCATTCCACGGCTGTACAAGCGCTACGCTCGTAATGCCAGATCCAGTCTTCAATCTCAACACCTTACTTGAAGAAGCGCCGCGGTGTCGACTGTAGTGAGCCTTATTGTTTGCCCTCAGGTAAGAGCAGTGACTAAGCTATCGATTGCCAGAGCATTCGACTGTAACCACTTGCTTCCACGATGAAGCGGTATGTGGTGAGGAAGGCATTGCGCTCACTGCTTCGTCGACATTCCCTGAATGGAGATTCCAAGAGGGAGTTGAGTCGCAATCATGGCTCATTTTAGCAGCACTCACAGGTCTGAGAGCGTAACGTGAAAGTTTGTGAGCCTAGCACCATCTTACTTGGGGATGTTTTCTTGTTTTTCAGTCGATCCGTCTCCAGGTCAGGTCCAAGACCCTCGTTCTCCAGGCAGACCGTCCTGTGGATGCAAATGAGTGGAGCTCACCATCGTCTCCAACCTGTGATTGTCTCAACAGGCTTAAATGTGAGCTCGGATCTGACGAGAAAAGGATGAGCAGATGAAGTCCCACTAGATCCGTGAAAGCCCCCTCCTCCTTGGCACTGAATCTTATCGATAGCACGGCCCAGCTGCTCCGCACGTGATAGCTTCCCACTTCCAGACAACATTGTATCCCACGCCACAACCATGTCAGATAGGGACCTCGAAGCAATCAGAGCGGCGCGACTCCAACAGCTGCAGTCGCAGCAAGGCGGCGGTGGCTTGCCAGCCCCGGGCGGAGGAGGGGGCCAAGAAGACCAACAAAAGTGAGTCGCGACCCAGAAACCATCACCACATTTGCTAACTTCGAACTCCTCAGAGCCCGTGAAGCTGAAGCCCGCCAATCTATTCTCTCACAGATCCTCGAGCCACTAGCCGCCGATCGTCTGGGACGAATACGCATGGTCAACGCGCAAAGAGCCGAAGATGTGGAATCGAGATTGATCATGTTGGCGAGGAGTGGACAGTTGAGAGCTCGAATTGGGGAGGAACAACTCAAAGAGATTCTGGCTGCTGTGGCTGATCAGGCTGAGAAGAGCGGTGGAGGCAGAGGGGAGACGGGCAGAGTTGTGGTGCAGAGACGGAAAGGTGGTTGGGATGATGATGATCTGGATGATTTGCTGAATGAGGATTGATGCGCAAAAAGAGAGAAGGAACTCGGAAGCTATGGGAAAATAGGTTTCATCTGGTTTGCGGATGGTGCGGAACGAGATGAGTGACCCGCTCGAAGAGATGCTGAACTGGGATGCAGGAAAAGTATGGGATTGTGCATAGCGCGGCGTTCGGTATATACGATCATGCATCTACCACGATCGTATTTCTTGCTACGAAAGCGAACTACCCTTCATGAATGAAAGCGTCCAGCGCATCGTATATCTGCTGCCACCGCACCAAGAGCAGCTGGACGGGGCCTGCTTCTGACTTGCCGGGCTTCATCGCCTTCAAATCTGCAATCTTGCTCTCGGCATCGCTCCGATAACCATCTAAGAACGGTTCCAGCCATCGCTTCACTTTCTCGCTCTGGTCATTACTTAAGTCTTCTCCGTTGGAAATGAAGTACTCCCACTCGTTCGCGGTCAGGAGCTCTGCACGAACTGCAACTTGTGTTTTGAAGCATATTTCATTCGTAGCCGGAAGAAGGGCGTAAGAACCCAGATAGCCGACATCTTGCAGTTGATCACGAGTCGTATTAGACAGATTGTCGAGTATGTAGTGATCCAAGCGAATGTCGTCGTCAGAGGGTGCACCTGGTTTGCTGGAGTTGATAAAGCCATAGTGGACAAGGAGCTTGTCATTAGGATGGGCGCCGTATGTCGCGAGCACTTCTTCGCCAGCGACTACAAAGAAAGTCAGCCTGGACTCTCTTTCGTACCGTGGCAATTGCTCACCTTGCTGTTCAGGACATCACAGCCATGCAAGCGTAAAACCGTACACTTTGCTACGATCAATGAGACAAAGGAATGAGAGTACGTACCGTAGTCTCTATTTGCAGTGACCTCATATCCTTTGGCTGTCTGCCGGACGTTGACACCGGTGCCGCTGGGACCATGATTCATGTAATCTATGAAAGGGCACAGCACCATGAATCCAGGCTTAGCTCCCGGCGGTTTGAAGTGAAAGCTTCTGGAATTCACTATAGCCCAGTAGTACTTAAAAACGTCGTCTTGTTCTTTGCGCGCAGAGTTGTCACGTAAATTCGCTACTATCGTTCTGCGGAACTCAGCATCCTTCCTCCAATCATCGAGCTGTCGATCTAAGGGCTGTTGTAAAGATGGAGGAAGAAGATCCCTGAGCTTATGGCTCCAGAAGAGAGGCATGCTTGACTCAAAGTCTTGTGGGCCAGGCCAAGTTGATCTCCATACATTATAAGGAGACTCAGGTTCCTCGCATTCCGCCATAATGCTAAGAGTCAGCTGGACGTGAGGTGAAGCCTTGGGAGACAGATCACCGCCAGCATAGCTCTTCGCGGGCTTAAACATGGCCTTTTCGGGAACAAAGATGAGCTTCTCGTCTTGTTTGATATTTGCTGTTGTCACGAGGCCGACTCCGCGTCCTGCGATATGTGCTGGTTTGACCGAACCAATTTGTACGCCGCGATCTTTCGCCCATTGTGTGAAGTGCTCGTGCTCGTCCTGCGAGTGTCGTATTTCTGCATCGACTGCAACGCCGGACGAAGTCCGTCTACGCTTTGTGGACGCTCTGCTGGGTGCCATCGGAATCGATGCAAGGAAGAGAAAGCGGTGAAGTGAGGGTTCACATGAAAAGCCAAGGAATTTGAGTTCTGACCTCGAGACGGGCCCCGCTAACAGTTCTTGAATTTCCGTCCACACTCTGAGGACCTATCACAACACATCCATATCGCCATTATGGAGTCGGTACTACCGCAGATTGAAGACCTCACTGGCGACGTGGACGATTTGCAGTCCGCTCTCCAGCCAATCCTTCAGAGCGCACTTTCCGCGAGCACCTCGAAGTTACCACTACTCGACAAAGCCAAACTCTACGTCTTGGCCACTTACGCGATTGAGTCGATACTATTCTCGTACTTGCGACTGAACGGTGTAGACGCGAAGAACCATCCCATCTTCCAGGAACTGAATCGCGTCAAGGAATACTTCAACAAGATCAAGAATGTCGAAGCAGTCGCCAGTGGACCGAGCGCGAGATTAGACACGAACGCTGCAGGTCGCTTCATCAAAGCTGGACTATCGGGGAATGACAAATACGACGCTGACAGGAAGGAGAGGCGAGGGCGAGAACGAGCTGGCGCGAAGCGGAAGTTGGAGGGGATCGGCGTCGGTAAGCACACGAGATTTGATGGCATCGCGAAGAGAATTAAGGCGCAAGAAGAGACTGTCAACGTCGTCAAGGCTAGCGACGTGGACTCGGAAGACGGAGCTGTTGGTGTGAGTGGACAATCCACGCCTGCGAAGACACCTGCGAAGACACCTGCGAAGAAGGAGAAACTGGATCTGGCGAGTGTTATTCGGAAGATTACTGAGCTTGAAGCCAAAGGAGCCGAAAATACACTATCAGATGTCGATGTGAAGTCGCTGAAAAAGCTGAGGAAGCGCAGAAAGAAGCTTGGTGGGGAGTGATCCTGTGTCCATTCCTCGACCACACATACGATACTTTGGCTCTGGAGTAGAGCACGGCGGCATCTTTGGCTTCGACATTTCATGGCGTTCAATGCGGCTTTGCATGATACCCCGGATCTGGTGCTTGTTGCCTTTTTGTATGTAGCATGAATCGATGCTACTTTTGGGTTCAAATCCGTACGGCATTTTAGCACAATTCACCATGCGTAGGTGATCCCCGATACTATTGACCATGCTTATCCTTTTACACACCGCTATCTAGGAGAAGACATCATCTTCGCAGCCATTTGCGCCTTTGCATTGTCACATTGAGACAATGATTGACTGGAAAAAGAAAGCAGCCGACCTCGTGAGTGATACACACCAAGTGATCCATACAAGACAAGACACCTAAGGCAGCGGGCAGCGCTGCTGAGACACTGACCAAAAGGGCTCTCTCCTGCAAGCCTATCCAAGCATATAACCAATCTCTCGCCTTGCCAGACGACCGAAATCAAAATCGCCAAACACCTCCAGAAGCCTCAAAGATCTGCGAATTCAGAACAAGAACCAGACCGAAGGTACGTTTGCAACAAAAGACTCCGGCCTTGCACATCTTTACTTATTTACAATAGATCCAACACGACACGAATCCAGATCTACCAGACCAACAACCGAAAATGCAATTCCAGAAAATCTTCACCCTGTCCATGCTGGCCACCTATGTCACAGCCGGGCCAGCAGCCTACGGCATCTGTCAAGCAGGCTGCGCCGGCGTCACGGTCGCTTGCTACTCTGCAGCAGGCTTCGTCTTCGGCGTCGCCCTTCCCGCCGCACCACCAGCAATTCTTGCCTGTAACGCGGCTTTCGGGTCTTGCCAAGCAGCTTGCTGGGCCGCGCTGATTGCACCGACACCTTGAGAGGAAACAGAGAATGGAAAGGGGAGCAGGATTTACGATTACGATTAGGGACGAGACGTGGGTCATGAATAGTGAGCATGAGCAGGGCGATTTGAAGCTTGGAGCTTGAGACTCTAGCTGCTAGCTGCGAAAAGAGATGCAGGATGACCCGCCAAAGTTCCAAGTGCCGTACCTCTCACACAGCCATCTCCATTTTCATAAGCCGTGCCTCCAATACCTGTGATCTCGAATACCGGTAGAGACCCGGCTCTTGTGGCTATGGACTGTATCGCGAAGGCCAAAGTAGTGGCCTCCTCCTCGGGTTTTAGGGAGGTACACGGTGGTATGTCTTCAAGGACTGAGGACAAGCGTTCTGTCACTAGCTCTACAGAAACATCTGACACGGAGTGTATGTATGCTTGGCAGGGCAGAGCTTCTGTTTCGTGTCACTTCGCGTCTTCTGACCATGTATCAAGCATTATACTGTCTACAATACCTGGCCTACGCGACTGGTTCGCGTGACTCAGGCGAGCAAATACTAGAGCAGCTAAGCCATCAGTGTCTTTCGACGCGTGATGCAGCATTTTTGATTGTCTGACGAACATCGCCTAGATGATATTGCGAACACCTGATACAACCCAGTCCTTGACACCCTTCTTTCTCTTTTCATCCTGCAGCTCAGCAATGCTGGCACGTCTCTGGCCCTCTGTAACATCAACACCACTGATCATGGTTCGCTGACCTTCTCTCATGCCATCGTAGATATCAATGTCCCTGGTTCTGATGAAGAGTGGACGATGTTCTGGGCGGGCGAACCAACTGTAGGTCTTCCAGATCAAGTATAGGGCAACCAAGAAAGGACCAGCCAGGTATGCCTCGAAAAAGAGCTCGGCGCTGAGTTGTGGACCACTGATGGGGTACAGAGCGACGTAGAACTGTGCGACAAGGCAGATGAAGTTGATGATGAGGCAGACCCAGGAGCCCCACACGCCGAACGCGGCCTTGAATGGCAGTTCGTCGACGGAGTGGCCGTTGAGAGCCCTACATACATATGGTCAGGATCAGAAGCAAGAATTATCCAAGGTCTCATCTTCGCTTACCAAGCTTTACGGAATCGAATGTGTGAGAGGGCAATACTGCCGTAGATGAAGAACAGCGAGAGACCAGACAAAGCCAGGAGCCATGTGAAGATATCACCGCCATTTTCAGCCAAGTTGATGAACGCCAAGCAGCCGAATAGCAACTGTAGTATGACGACCGAGACTGGGCGACCCTTCTTGTCGACGTATGCGAGGAGCTTTGGGCCCATGCCATGTGCTGCAAGAGCCTGGATTGTACGAGTCGATCCAAATGTGCAGGAATTGGCGACACTCATGACAGCGAGCAAGATCACGGCGTTGAAAATTGATGGGAGAGCCTTGATGCCTGCAAGCTGAATGGCAATGACGAAAGGCGAGTGACGGGAGGTGGAACCCTCCCCAGAGTACAGCGGGCTGTTGGCCGGCACGATCAATCCAATGAGCAGGAGGTTGACGACGTAGAAGATGGCAATACGCCATACGACCTGGTTGGATGCTCTTGGGATCTCCTTCCTTGGGTTCTCGGTCTCAGCAGCAGCAAGTCCCGTAAGCTCGGTTCCGGTGTAGGCGAACGAAGCCGTCACGAACACGCTGCAGAAGCCATGGAAGCCGTTTAAGAAGGCGCTGTAGGGAGCCGTCCTGAGCACTCATGTTAGCAGCAGATTCGGGTTCTCCACATGATTGATGGTCTTACCAGTATTCACCTCCAATGTAGCCTCTGTTGTCGGTTGGAACACCACCACAATTGATGATGATTCCAAGAATCATAAATCCGATACAGGCCAGGATTTTGATCACACTGAGCACGAATTCGACCTATGGCAATCAGCTGATGCATCAGAAGCGTTGTCAAATTTCTGGACTCTTACCTCTCCATATCCCTTGACACCAAAGACCTGAATGGCGACTAAAGCAACCAAAAGCGGCACGATCCATGCAGCGTTGTTGATGCCCTGTGAGCCTGGCCAATAGTGGATGATGTTGCAGGCAGCGGAAATCTCGAAGGGCAGGACAGTCAGCCATTGAATGGCGTATTGCCAACCACAAGCGAAGCCCCATGACGGATCGATGAACTTGACGATATACATAGTGAAGGCGCCATTAATCGGGTACATAACCGCCAGTTCTGCAAGTGCCTGCATCATGAGGTAAATCATCACGCCCACGATGATAAAGCCGATGAGAACCGAAGCAGGTCCACCACTTTGGAATGCGCCGCCCGATCCAATGAACAGACCAGCACCGATTGCACCACCGCTGTCAGTAGCAATCAGCATACTCGAATTCAAGCATTGCGGCCTTCAACGCACATGGCAATCATTTGCATGTGTCTGCCCTTCAAGTCTTGGTGGAGCTTGTTCTGGTCTGCAACGATGATGGCCTGGTCCTCAGCGTCCAGGCTGACCTGCCTGCCGCGCACATGATGGCCGAAAGGTGCTGGCTCTGTTTTCTCGAAGTCGTTGCCGTTCTTGACGAGGTCGACGCTTTCGCGTGCCAGACTCATGTTGGCGGTCGATCGAGGTCAAGGAGGGAGGGAGAAGGGGTTCAGCGAGATGTGCACGCAAGGGAAGGAAAGAACATAAAAGGTCCCGCGAGCGGAGGAAAGAGCATCGAAGCCGGAGCCCGGTGTACGCGACCGGACGCCACAATCTCGCTTTGGGCAGGTGTCATTGGCGGTGTTGATGATGAACAGAGGATGGTGGATGTGGGCAACTAGCGGGGGAAGTAACGAGCTCATGTTTCTCGTCTACCCGAGAAAGTCTTCTCCACGAAGCTTGGCATCGCCAGCTTCCAGAAGCTTTCAGCGGACACGTTCGAGACGCACTACGCCTCTTCGATGCAACCTTAGCGTGGCGCAAGGAGCTGAGAGCTCGCGATTATTCCATCGCTTGTCACACCTGATCAAGGTCCAGCGCCGCTAATAAGGCCGAGAAGATCGCCGTTGCCCGAAGTCTGATTTGCGACTGGCCATCCACATATTATTATCAAGGACGGACTTCACTTCCTTTTGTTGCGAATGCCAATCATCACCTTCGCCTTGACCGAGATCAGCCTTGGACGCGTCTGAAGGAATAAGTCGCACGTGCGATCCATCCGCAACGATTGGTTTCATCCGTGCGGCAAATTCACAGGATGAGTTTGGAATGTATAGTGTTGGATGGTGAGATCGATCTTCTTGGCGGCAACGATTCAAGGAGATGGCAATGTGGCGGGTCGCCGAGGCCGATCCGCAGTCTCCGCCATGGGTCGCGTTGACACGGATCTTGTTGATGCACAACCCGTCGTTATCATAGAACTCATCTGCGTCAGTGCTCCGAGACAGCAGCTGCAAGATGGTGATGCTGCGTCCAGAGATCAATATGTCTTGACATCAAGCTGTATTGATGAAGGTGGTGCACATCTGCTTGGCAACCAAGACAAGTCCGTTGAGACAAGCATTTCAAGACATTTCGCCAAGATGCTCTGGTAGAAGTTGTGATGCAATCCCAAGAAACTCACTGACTACTACTTGAGTATCTCTGCTCAGTCTGCGGCAAGTTCTAGATGCAGTGATAAGAAATTCGATGGTAATATACAACGACGCTGGTCGTGGACTGTATGGAGTGGGACTATAATATTGCACAGATTGAGCGGAAGCAGTTGTCGTCATTGCTCACATGGCGGCGAGCAGAGCCTTTTGGATATCTCCCTCCCAATTCTGGATCAAGCTTCCGTGATTCTCATCCTCGACACGTAAAATGGCATTACCTCCCAGACGTGCCGCATACAGTTCCCCATGAGCCACTGGCGCTACAGGATCGCGCTTTCCGTACCAGAGTTGGATCGGCAAATCTTTTCGAATCTCTTCAACGCGAAAGCCCCAGTCCTCGCCTAGGGTCTTTGCATCATCCACAAGGCCTTGGGTTCCCTGGGCAAAGATCTCCCGCGAAGTCCGTTGCACAAATAGTCGCAAAATTTCAGGAGTCTTCTTTGCTTCCGGATCTCTGGAGATAATGCTGTACCGCTCCTCATCACTCAAGTCAAGACGAGCCGCAGGATCTCGACTGAAGAACCACTTCGGCAGACTCGGCACGTACTTGCAAGCGCACCAGCCAAGATAGTTCTTCCATCCATGCATATCTGGCGAACCCAGGCCCACGACGATAGCCATGGCTTTCAACTTATCTGCAGGCAACGCATAAGCACACCCCAGTGCGTAAGGACCTCCAGCTGATGAGCCCATAACGGCATATTCGTCAAGACGGAGGTGATCGGCAAGCTGCTCAATATCTTCGGCATGATCCAAAAGCCTTCGTCCGGGCTGTGGTGAGCTCCAGCCTATGCCGGGTCGATCCACGGATATGAGTCTAGCACCAACATCGACTGCGATCTGATTCCACATCGCAGCCTCGGTGCGAGCTCCTGGCAAGCCATGTAGGCAGAAAATGACACGACCACGTGGGGACCCGTACTCTGCGTAGCCGAGTTTCCGACCGTCTCGTAACGTGATCGTAGCTGAAGTCTCCGTGTCAATCCGGTAGAGGCATGGCTTGCTTCGGTCCAGAACTAGCTGCTTTGCTGGTGAATTTGATATTGTGAGGTTCGTGAGGTATTGCACGAGCGCGCTCGGTAGGCGCCATAGGCTGTTGTATTGCGTTGGGAGTGTTTCTGCCATGTGGCTATAAGTGATCAATCTGGGCTGATACGGATCCTTATAAAGAACATGTTGTACTACATTGACTCATTAGGGCTCTCGGGGCTGTTCAGTTCAGCTGAGGATTTTTGTAGCCGAGATCTCCCGTGCAGCTACATCACCTGGCCGCATATGCGTAGCTGTGTATTCGTGTCACATTACCTAAATCAGATGTAGATGCGAGACCGATTTGAATCAGGCTCGAGGTGACGGACTCATGGCTGTTGGAAGGCAACAAAATCCTGTTGTATCCGCTTTTACGCTTTCATGCGCAGCACCGCCTCGGTTTTCTCGGTGCGCATGAAGCAGGTCCGCCACATGAAGTGGTTGCGCAGCTGATGCGGTGTCCGATATGTGTTTTGTCTCTCAACATCTTCCCTCTTTCTGTGAGCAATGCACCTACACAGCAGCAGAGCACATTCTGCTCTTCTAGAGCTCCTGCGAAGCTAGCCTTCTGTCGCGACCGAGAAGCTGATATCAACATGCTCGGTGAGCAGAACTATGACCAAGCTCTTGACTATGTAGTTATTGTGCAGTCGTTGCCCGGTTTTGTTCGCGGGACGAAAGGATCGCTCTGCGTAAGTATTCTCATTTGGGCACTATATTGTCCTTCCTTGAAAAGGATCCAAAATGTTCTAGTTTGGCTCTGAGTGGGAGCATAGCCCTCGATTCGACTCCACGGAATGATCGTGATCGTAATCTTGGGTTCCAGTTCAGAGCGGAAGAGCAAAGTTGAGCAGGAGGGAGGGTGGCATGCCAAGGAAGAACGCCAAGACCGTTCGTCTGAGGCGCGGCTTCTGGACGACACTATTCTGCTTGACTACATACCTCCACTGGACAAAAATGCGCGCTGGTCTCGCGCGACAGCTTGTCAATGACAGCAGTTAAGAGTCAGACAATGCAATTATCCCGTCTGAAGCACCTTGAGTGCACCAAGCACTTCCTTTGAGGTCGAGGCGAGAACCTTGTCTGCAGAAGATTATTTCCAAGCATGTTCTTTGTCGGACAACAAAGGAAGGACTCTGGCTCTTGTTAACGACACGGCGGGCAAGCATGAAGGTAGACCTGGCCTCCACCCCTTCTTCAGCCCAAAGCGCTCGTGCACCATTTTTCGTACCGTACCCAGAAATTCTTCAGGTCTAAGCATCCCATCACTGGATCTTTCGAGCAAGCATTGTCCGGTCACACCGCTGAGCCTTGGAGCCAGGATTAGCGGGCCCTTAGTTGATCGTTGGAGCTATTGAGCTTATAAGCCGAAGAACTTTGAGCTACAATAGTCGGCCAACGACAATGTCAGTGTCTTTCTCGGAGGTCAAGCTGGTGGTGAATGTCTTTGATGTGACGTATTGAGAGGTTGTGCGGAATCGGTCGTCGAGGCTAGGCGCGTATATGCTTCCCATAACGTGCTTCATCAATGGTTGCGCCGCGGCGCGATGTTGGAGAAGCAATACTATTTGTTGCGAATTTCGCTGATGTCCTGGTGGCAAGATAAGTTGTAGGATAAAGTGTCTGTGGCGTAATTAGCAAGCACGCTGGCAATCATGTTAGTCTGCCCAGCCTTCACTGCGCATGCACTTGTCTTTATCTTTGCAGAATTGCGGGACCTGAGGGCTGTTCAAAACTGTGCGCTCCATCCGTCCTCCTATTGCTCACTATCAGGAGCCTTACCACACCTGTACCCAGCCCTACTATCTCAAACTCATACTGATCTTCTTACCTGTTGTTCTGCAGCAGTCCTTTCTTGAACCGCAATGAACAAAGGGCATATCAAGCTGTGTAAGAAAAACCTTCCGACCCTCGAAGCCGCCGGAATCCATGTGCCAACCTACGATCGCTCGAAGATGAGGGAGGGCATTGTCCACTTCGGTGTCGGCGGCTTCCATCGTGCACATCTGGCTCAGTACATCCACATGCTGGCCACCGAGCACAACGTGATGGACTGGTCGATTTGCGGCGTGGGGTTGATGCCTTCCGATATTGCCATGCGAGACGCTCTCGTTAGCCAGGATTGTCTGTATACCGTCGTCGAGGGAAGCGCCGAGGGGTCCAAGATTCATGTCGTTGGTAGCATTACATCGTACCTATATGCGCCAACGGACCCGGAAAAGGTCATTGCGAAGCTCGCTCATCCTGATACACGTATCGTAAGTCTGACCATAACGGAATCCGGATACTGCTTCAATGAGACGACCAAAGAGCTGGACACCTTGCATCCGAGTATCGCTGCGGACTTGCAAGTAATGGCTAAAGGTGGCTCGCCGACAACCGTGTATGGCTATATCGTTGCTGGTCTTGCCCGCAGGCAGAGGCTAGGATTACCACCTTTCACTTTACTGTCGTGCGACAATATTGTGCAGAATGGTCAGCTACTCAAGAAAATGTTGCTTTCTTTCACAAAGCACATCGACAGTACCTTGGCTGGCTGGGTTGAACGCAACGGCGCCTTTCCCAACAGCATGGTCGATCGTATTACCCCAAGAACACGGCCTGATGACGTGCAACGCTTGGCGAGAAGATACAATGTCATCGATGCTTGGCCAGTCGTTACTGAACCGTTCATTCAGTGGGTCATGGAAGACAACTTCACGATGGGACGTCCACAATGGGAGAATGTCGGGGTCCAGATTGCGGAGGACGTGGAGCCCTTCGAGAAGATGAAGCTGTCATTGCTAAATGGCACTCATTCGGCAATAGGATATCTGGCCCATCTGACGGGGTATGAGTACATCCACGAGGCCATTCGTAGTGCCGACTTCCGGAATTACATACGTGGGATGATGGACTTCGAGCTTCGTCCACTCCTCGACCACATCCCAGGGATTGACTTGGACAAGTATTGCGACTCAGTCATCGAACGCTTCTCCAACCCAACGATGGGTGATCGCGTGCTCCGTATCTGCCAGGACGGATCCGGCAAGATGCCAAAGTACATTCTCTCACCACTGTCGAAGCAGTTGAAACAGGGAGGCGGTTTCAGCCGATTGACGCTTTGCGTTGCAGCATGGTTTCGATTCTTGAATGGCGTCGACGAATGGGGCAGAGAATACGTGGTGGATGATCCCATGGCCGCTGAGCTGCAGCTGCTGGCTATCGAGAGTGGATCGGATGCTGCAGGATTGCTGGGTGTCAGCCGCCTCTTTGATCAGACCTTACAGCACTCCGCTCCATTTCTGAAGAAGTTAAATGCGCAGCTCGAGAGCCTGTATAGGTATGGAGCCAGAGCGACTCTTATTAGGGTGCTGGAAGCTGTGGAACAGGCAGCTGAGGCCGGTGCGCTGATTGAACATCAGAATGTTGACGGCCTGGCTTGGCGGCTTGAGATCGCCCATATCTAAGATCTGATACAGCGAGACTCAACTCTTGTGAGGTTTTTTGTAGCTGCATCGGGAGGTGGCGTTCATAGGGGTTTCCACTGTACTTTGTCTATGCGTATTAGTATCATTTCTTGTCGATGTGGGTGGCAAGGTGCCGGCCGACTCAGAGCTGTTCTCCCTGTGAAATAGCTAAGAGCCGGAACATTCTGTGACGTGACATTGATATGCCTTGTGTTTTGATGATGATCGAGCAAGAAGTCTATACCTTGGAATGGAAGGCTGTCTGGTACTCGGGATTCGGGAGTCGGCGCATGGCCATTCTTTGCCGATGAAGCGAAACGCGTGTCCCGCTTCACGCGTCAAGTGAATGAACGAACATGCGATGATGAAGTCTTCAAGTCCACTGCCGATACCGCGCTCGGACGAACTCGAAGATCTGTATGCAGCTTCATCGAATGATCAAAGCTGCGATACAGCACCTACATCATACTCCGATGACCTGGAAGCGCTGAACGCGATCGAACACGAAAGCAAACGCGAGAAAGCCGCGACGGTGGTGCAGCATCGCAGCTGGAAAGTGTCTGAAGTCTTCCTCAGCGAACCCAGAGAAGCACAAACCTCATCGCCCATACAAATGGCCAACATGACTTCGAGTCCGCCTCCAACCCCCTCGCCAATGAAAAAGCGCAAGTTCGGCACTCTCAATCTGGGCACAAGCACTTTGACGCGTCCGGCGAAGGCACAGAAAGTGTTCTATGGCATCAATATACACCAATTGCTGGACGACGCGAAGGCTGAAGAGAACATACCGAAAGCCGCGAAGACACGGGAACAAATACCAACGCCGCCAGCAGAGCCTGCTACCAAAAGCAAACGAGCCAATCTGCTGTGGACGGAGAAGTACCGAGCCAGAAAGTTCACAGATCTGATCGGTGATGAACGCACACATCGCCATGTCATGCATTGGCTGAAGCGGTGGGATCAGATTGTCTTTCCGGGATCATACCGACCTAAAGTCAAGAAGGGCGCACTTGTTGAGGAAGAGAAGCCGCATCGCAAGATTTTGATGCTGACAGGTCCACCTGGATTGGGCAAGACCACTCTGGCACATGTATGCGCGAGGCAAGCTGGATATGAGGTGCAAGAGATTAATGCAAGCGACGAAAGAAGTGCCACTGTAGTGAAAGGCAGAATAAGAGATATGGTGGGGACGGAGAATGTCAAGAATGTGGACAACAAGACTGCTGAAGGGAAGGTCAAGAAGGCCGCGAAGCCAGTCTGTGTGATTGTTGATGAGGTCGATGGTGTGGTCGGTGGAAGTGGCGGAGGCGGAGAAGGAGGCTTTGTGAAAGCGTTGATCGATTTGATTATGCTTGACCAGAAGAACACTCCTCTGGCATCGATGTCTCAAGCACCAGCCAAAAACAAGAAGAAAGGCGAGCGCTTTCGACTACTGCGACCTCTGATTCTGGTCTGCAACGACGTCTACCACCCATCACTCCGACCCTTGCGGCAAAGCTCGGTGGCAGAAGTGATTCACGTACGGAAGCCGCCAGTGCAAAGCTTGGTGACTCGCTTACAGCAAGTCTTCGAGAAAGAAGGCGTACCTTGCGACACTGATGGCGTTCGAAGACTTTGCGAGGCAGCATGGGGTGTCAGCAACCGGAAGGAGGATCGCAAAGCAGCTGGAGCAGGTGAAGGTGATATGCGAGGCATTATGGTAGTTGGAGAATGGGTGGCTGGCAAGCTACGAGCATCAAACAACGGCAGCGAACGGCTGACCCGCAAATGGGTAGAAGACAATGTTCTCTCAGATCTGGCTCATGGCGGAGGTGGCGCCAGAGGTCTGGGACGAGGCGGGCCCAAAGACATTGTTGAGCGTGTCTTCCAAGAAGGAGCTGGCTTTCCCAAAACAGCTCCAATGTCCACGCCTCTCCAGATAGCAGGCAATGACGGCGTGAAAGGTGTGGCGGAAGGCGTTCGTCGGACCGCTACCTCTCGCCTTCGAGAGCTTATCGACACGCTCGGCGACACGGACCGCATCATCACAGACTGCTTCTCAACTTACCCCGAACGGCCTTTCCAAGACGACACTATGCTCTCCAAGCCCGATTCCGCCTATGAGTGGCTCAACTTTCACGACCGTCTCTCATCGGCAGTCCATACGAGCAATGAATGGGAACTAGCTCCTTACCTTAGCACACCAGTTCTCGCATTCCACCACCTCTTTGCCTCCCCCACTGGTATCCAATACCAAGCACCTACAGCCATGGCCGACGCAGACACCGAAGACTCGTCTCCCACCCATCCCTTCTCCGGCCCTTCAGCCTCCTGGACAGCTCACGAAGCCCAGAAATCCAACGAATCTCACCTTCAAACACTACAGTCAAACCTCTCCCTGTCCCTACTCCGCTCCTTCCGCTCTCACACCGACATAGCAACAGATCTCCAACCCTACCTCCTACGAATGCTCAACCCCTCAGTGAACCCAATCGTAGTAGGAGGCAGCGGCAAAGACAAAGGCACAGCCTCCGTGCGCAAAGCAAGCGAACAAACCCTCATAAAACGCGCCGTAAACGTCATGGGAGCAAGTGGGATCAGATTCGAACGTGTTCGACTCGATGGCGGCGCATTTGAAGAGAAGAGGTTCGGCGCAGCCAATGAATGGGTCTACCGAATGGAACCTCCGATCGATACGTTATGTACCTTTGAAACCGGTGGCAAAGGTTTTGGTGAAGCGGGAGGTGTCAAGACACGCTACGCAGTCCGACAAGTCTTGGAACAGGAATGGAAGAAAGAGGAAGTACGACTTGCTGAGGAGGCTCGACTTGCAAGATTCGGGGTGGCGAATTCTACGGCTGTTGCGCCAGCTGATGTGATGAAAAAGAGGAAGCAGTTGGACGATGTTGACGCTGGTGGGAAAAAGATTGTGAGGGATTTCTTTGGGAGACCGGTGGTGGTTCCGTTGAATGGGGAAGAGACTGAAGTGCAGAAGAGGAGGAGGATGGAAGCGGAGAAGAGAGAGAAGGGACTGGGTGTTTGGGTTACGTTTCACGAGGGTTTCTCGAATGCTGTGAGGAAACCGATTACTTTGAAGGAGTTCATGCAAGGTCTGTAGGTAGCAAATTGTAAATGACACGAAAAGAGCATTATTGATGAAGTGCTTGATGCCGATATGGCGGATGCTTTCATTATTTCCTCCACCTGCTGCCAGCTACCTTTGATGCCTGATAATGATGCACTTGACGTGCATCCCGCGTTGCTACAACGAGACGCAGACGGATTTGCTGCCAAGCTGCGCTGCTCGCCTCTGCGCCGATGTCTCGGTGGCGATGAATGATGGGCATAGCCTCCTCCAATAGAAGCTACCAAAATAGACCGCAAGATGTCCAGCCGCCAATGCTACATGTCTGAGGTAATGAGCTTGGGCTTCGTCGGTTTGAGATGCCATCGGCACACCGAATGAGGTTGCGGTGGTCGAACCTGAGAATGTCTGCTGTGGAACTTCCCAGATCATTTCCTGGAAAACACGACTCTTGTTCGCCTCTGTTCGATCACTCCGCGTAGAGCATCTCCTGCTGTGCTGGTTCAGGCACGTATTCGTACTCGATATTCGTCTTCGGACCCTTGCCACCTTTCTTGCGTGGTTTCGGCGGTGGTGCACTCGGTCGTTTCCGCTTCAGACCATTGAGTTGCTTCTTGAGCTCTGCGATGTCCTCATCGTCCTCATCGTCATCTTCATCTTCCTCGTCTTCGTCTTCACCTTCTTCCTGCGATCCGCCCTCATCATCATCCTCGCCATCCTCGCCATCTTCCTGACTCCACCAATCCTCAAAATCTTCCATATCATCTTCCTGATCCGATTCCTCCACATCAGAGACGTACTCAACATCAGCCTCTCCATTCTCTCTCTCGTATTCATAGTCATTCTCCTCTTCCTCTTCAATACCTTCATCAAGATCCTCATCACGTATACCTTCCTGACTCCTCTCCAGGCCTCTCATAATCTTTTTCCACACTCTCTCCTCCACATTGAGTGGCTGCTCGCCATAAGCTCCACTTTTCAACCTCTCTATAAGCTCTCTTTCAATGGCTCTCTCAATCTTCGCCGCCGCCTCGGCCTTCCTCTCTCGCGTCTCCTCTCGTCTCCGAATCTTGGGCGCCATCTTACTGACCATCCTCTCTCCTAATCTCTCCTCCTCCTTCGCCAATTTTTGCGCTCGGACTCTCACTTGCGTCAACCTCGTCAGGCGCTGCTTACATTTATGCAGCAGAAATTTCGGCCAGTATATCAATCTCTCATCAATCTGCTCTAGCGCTTTCGTGTAGTTTGAGGAGAGTCGGATCTTCTCCCACCATTTTGACGGCAAATGGCTTCGCTCGACCGTTTTTATATACAGATATAATCGCTGATTAGTGGGATCCGCGCGGATTGTGGCATACCGAGAGTTGGCCAACGGGCAGGATTGGCGATTGCAAAGACCCGTGACATTGTGTTCGTTGCGACAGAATGTGGACTTGGTGGACTTTTGGTCTTTGCCGCTGTTGCCTGGGAGCTTGAGTTTGAAGGAGCAGAATTGTTGATTTATTATCGACCACACGATCTCGTCGGACGCCATGGCGGAGGTCGGAGAGATGTGAAGTGACAGGTAGAGATGTGATTTTGAGAGACGGCGTTGTGCTTTGCGATTTGCGACTTTCCAAAAATTTGGAGGCAAGCGCACTCGGTCCTTTCGGCAGATCGAGCCGAACCCTAATCAGGGTCAGCAGTGGTCTGTGCTGCCAAGCAAATCTCACATTCCAACTTCACTTCTCACCTGATCCCCTTTTCGGTCAAGATTTTACTCAATTTACCATACATGGCGACTACTTCTAACCAATTGGCTGTAGTCGCATAACTTGGAGGTTTCACAGGCTCGATTGGGATTGGATTTCGGACGCTTGTGGTTTATTCTGATCGGCTACATTGTTGGCAGTCTACTGCTGACCTTCGGGATGGTCCGCGAGGCTCTCATGGCGGCATTGATCCTTTTTGAGCACAGCATAGCAACGACTGCCGAGTGCATCCCATGCGGACGTTGAGGATTATACTCATCAGTCCCCCCAGGGAGGACGAGCATCCGAAGCCTGCGAGCAGATGGCCCGACAAACGCAAATACGCCAAGCCAGTTGTGGTAATATAAGTAGATGGATGCTCGATGTTCTCCTTCGAGATGTCTTTGTTATACTGGTAAAGATTGATGGCGCGGCCGTGGCCATATTGCTTTTACGCCCTCAATGACCATTTAGTGAATCCCGACTTGGGCTAGACCACGAGTCTCTGGAGGCACTCGGTGTGCGTTTCGAACCATCAGAGCTCCGGCTTGCGATGATCCGGGGAGAAGCGCAGCATAATGCGATTGTGGAAATCGTTACAAATCATGCCGAGAATATTTCTGTCTGCGTGTCGACCATCGAACGTGCAGTAGAATATAGCACAGATGGGGCAAGGATTGCTATCAATTGTTCCTGGCTTGCCACAGATGGGCACTTTGCGATGAAGGCTGCCATTAGGAGTAATGCGCGATGGAAAAAATGCAGCATGTAAAATCGACGAAGATAAGAGGAAACTATCGTTACGGTGGTGGGATGGTGTATGGGTAGCGAATGAAATTCGTCGTTGACACTTGAATTATTCTATGGGGAATGTTACGCACGCGCCATGCCGAGCATGCGAGAAATGGAGCTGCATTCATGCTGGAGTCTACGCGCTGCACTTACAATGCCTCGCGACTCTATTCTTTACTCAAAGCGAAGGCACTGCGCTGAAGTGTCAGCTACGGCGATATGGTCTTCGACGCTGCGAGCATTGTGTCCGTCCTACTGGAAGCCGGGTCGCGGATGCGCACTTACTCATGCTGAATGCAACGACGGCGTTCCATTTCTTCGAAGAACAGCGTGGAGAAATTATGTATCGCACCTGCCGACTGCTCCCACGCCGTTGCGACAATGACGTTCAGGTCAGGCAAGCACGACCGCTCCAATTCTCGCAAGAATGTGCACCACGAAAGCTCGCCATCAACGATGGTCATGGCCGACACAGACAGTCTCGCACGACTGATGCAGTCGCTTCCGCAAGAAATCTTCGACAAGATCTACCGACAAGTGTTCGACTTGCCTCGTTGGACCGGTCTGAAGGAAGCGGCTGAAATCCCCTTCACTCTATTGCACGTCGACTATTCGAGCCGCGAGGAAGTGGCCGCGGCTTTCTACAGTACTGCATCTATCATCCATTATCTCGGCACGCATAAATCCTATCTCGACTTCATACCTCGTCACCACCGATTCCTGGTTCCCGAGGTGTTTTGCGCTTACAACCACTTCAATTGCACCAAGTATGATATAGACCATCGGAGCATGAGCCCTGCTTATATGCCGCACGGAGCGATTATGAGGTGGTACTGCTGTATACCGATAGTTCGTGGCTGCCTTCCATCATTCCATGCCCTCCAAGCATAGCTGACGGATTTGCGCAGTTGAAATGCTATTATGCGGACTCGAAGACTTGCAATTTGGTCATGGAGAGGGACAACGCCAGGTTGAGGGAGCGACAGCGGCTGGCGGCTTTGTTGGAGCAGGAAAGCGACTTGGATTGATGGCTACTCTCGATGACTCCGGTCGATGCGCTCAGTCAAGAGACTGGGGTCGCAGACAGCATAACAAGAACAGGCCGTGGAATTGAAGCGACTGAATGGGATCTCTCACTGCACTGCACTGCACTGCTAGTCAGGACACCTTTCTCACCTCACGGCACATCAAGCGAGATTGGACGAGTCGTGGAGTCAGGCAGGGTCGCAAAGCTTGACTGTAACATATTGTTCGACAAGGAACAGACTGGATTAGTACTGCAGTACTGCTTCGCAATCGATATCTGGAAGAGTCAATCATCCGGCCAAAAGCTCAGATCAAGGGGCGCCAGATGTCACCAGAAAGGCAATGTTATGGGTATGCCCTTGGTCAGACTACGGGTGCAAGTCAGAACTCAGGAGCTGTGTTACTCACTTTAATTGTGGTCCTGTACAAAGTCTTTCACATGTCACTGTTGCAGAATTTGTGCTTCTCTCGCGTTTCCACCACCTCTTCGCAACTAACATAACGCATCACGATAGATACGATACGAGGCCTTTCCAAAATGAAGCGTGACTGCAGCGACGAGGTGTGCAAGCCTCTCCGTTCAAGTATATCGCTGAACTTTATTTACCAGGCTCAAGTCGTAGCTGGCCCACCCTCAAACTTTGCAACATTCGATATCAATCTCAACCTCATCTGCGAACACTCCAGACACTTCCAAGATCTCTATTGCGAAGGCAAAATTCGCTATGGCATGGAAGAGTCCATCGTGCTCCCCGATCTGACGCCAGAGTTCTTTCGCGTATACGTCGACCGACTCGAAGGTTCCAGCTTTGATCTCGCCCAAGCGGTCAATTTCGAAACAGAAGCTATGGAGCCTTCAAATGTGGACAGCCAAGTCTTTGAGCGGCTCCATCGCCTTTGCACATGGTGGCGAGAGGCCGAATTTCTGGAGGACTCCGAACTTAAGAATGCTATCATGGATATCTTGGTCGGACAAGATATCGATAATCGCTCGGATGTGCTTTCAAAACTTGCTCCTTTGATCGCCGGAGAGGAGATGGAGGAGTCTGGACTGCGGCTTTGGTGGGTCGAGTACATGGTTACTACCTTGAACGAGGACAACATTGAGGCATTGTGTCGTGAGCTGCCGAAGGACATTTTGGTGGATCTCCTGAAGGCCCAAGTCAAGCTGAGCAAGGAAGGGAAGGTTGAGAACTTTCGTGATCGTGTTCGAGGAGGAGAGCGGTACTATGAGCAGGACCAGGGCGAGATCTTAAGCGATTGTCGGGGAATAGCCGAACCTCACATGTTAGCGTGCATTCAATATTCACAGCATGCCTCACTTACTTCACTTCAAGTCTCATGCTTTGAAGTGAAGTCATATTTCAACCAGCTCTCTTCTACATCCTTTCTTCGCCATTGTCAATGCGTGGCACACCAAGACTCCCTCGGAATTCGCACACAAGCGACAGCATACCATCATGAGCAGCGAAGGCACAGTAGCGAAGCGCAAAGAGAAGCGCAAAGAGAAGCGCAAAGCCGACGCGCCAACTTCGCCAAAGAAGCGGCCAAGGTAATCCAACTATTGCTGCGCAAATGACCTTGAACCGGGGCTAATTTTCGCAGAATGAGCTTCGCCGAAACACTCGAAATAATCGTCACTGATGACGACAACGAGCCGCTGAGAACATTCGTTGTGCACACGGACCTTGTCGAAGACATTGGCGGCGTCGGGGGTCTATTCAAATATGATGGCCCTGTGTGGTTAATGCTCAACCCAGATGCCGTTGAGGTCTATCTCAATTGGGTCTATGACAAGAGCATAGACATCGTCCAGTACGCTTTCGTCCAGCCAAGTGTCGTCGATCTGGGACGCCACTTCGACGAGCTCCCCGAGCAAAGGGAGAGCGCCCGGCTCTGGGTTGGCCGAATTGCCGGGCTTTTCGATCTCTGGCATGTGGGTATGGAACTCGACGACTACGATTTTGGGGACAAGATAATTGGCATGTTGTGCGAAGAGAAGTTGGAGCAAGAGCCGGATAAGCTACTTCATCTTCTCGTAGATGTGCTCCATACATCTACCCACAGATTCTTCTGGTGCTTTAGAAATTATGACGGCGCTTATGACGTGATGCGCTGGCTCATTGATTTTGTAGCCTGTTCTTTGTCAGGAGCAGGCCTCAGAGCGATCATACGCAGCGATAAACTGGGGAAAGAGGGCTTTACGAAGGTCTTGACGGAAAGAATGGTCGAGAGCAGCGTTCGCAAGCCTATCAATCCCCAAGACTACCAAAAGAAGTCGAAGACGGCCAACGTTGATTGAGCGACTCAGCGGGAGAGTCGGAGGAGGACCCAAGCAAATGGCTTACGGATGAGCATATCAGGGGCTCTGCATCGTATGGATGCGGCATGAAGGTTGCATAGGCCCAGGAGCAAGGCGAAGCGCAAAGGCTGTGCTGCGACTGCGTTTCGGCTATGACAGGCGGCCGTATGCAGTGGTCGAGGACTCAGAGGACTTGATTTATCGGTATAGTGATTAGATCGACAGTGAGACCAGAGTCAGCTCATATCCTCACTGCGCATACGATCACATGAACACATACAATGCTCAAAAGCTTTCAAGACGCCTAGTCTCTTTCACTTCACATCAAGCAAAACATGCCACATCAGAGGACCTCAGAACTCCAATGACTGACAACATGGCCACGGCGGAAAATCCTGTGGTATCATCAGCCTCGGCTTCAATCTCATCATCAGAATGCGCCATCCCCAGCGAGCGCGACCAACATCTCGCGTACAATTGATGTTTTCTCCATATCCAAACTAGTCCTCGCTGACCGTATCTTACAGTCTCCACTCCTCAGAGCCTCTCACACTCGTCTTCGGCACCAACAGTCTCGAAAAGAAGTACATTCCAGTCCATCCAGACCTCGTCTGCGCACATTCCCAACTCTTTCGTGTCCTTCACGACAAAGCCGATGTGAACGGTCGAATCGAGGGACTTCCCATCTCAGCTTACGCAAAAACGATCATGTATCTCGACTATCTGACGCATCCAGGTCGCAACCTTGAGAGACATGTGAAGAGGCAAGTGAGGGAGGAGATGGATATCTCGGATCCAGAGGATACGGGAGAGAAGCAGTTCTGCGAGGTCGTGAGAAGACTGAGTGAGATGTGGTTGCTAGGGAGGGGCTTCGAAGATGCAGAGTTGCAAAACTCTGCGATGAGTGGATTGCTGAAGCAGGATGTGGGGAGATATCCGGTGGAGATGCACATGCTTGCGAGGGAGATTGTGGACTGTGAGGAGCTTAGGTGGACGGAGCTTCATGGGTGGTTCGTCCATGCTATCGGAGCGACTGTTGAGGAGAGAGACTTGAGGGTTGCTGGTGGACCAGTCAGTAGATGGTCGAGAGAGCTACTGATGGATGTCCTTTCGGAGATGGTTGAGTACCAGGCGAAAAGTCAACGAAGGGCTCCGGGAATGAGCGATCGGAGTGCGTACATGGTGGGTCAGAGAGTGTCTGAGGAGAGTGAGCAGGAACGAGAGGACAGTGCGCTGGAGGAGTAAGATACACTTGATGAGAGTGGTATGGGGTATCTGGATATAAGTTAGCGAGTGCTGGTGCCCCAAGCAGGAGAACTTACAGACATCTATCTGCAGAGGTCGACTGCGAGATCTCTACACCGCTGGGATGGCTTATCGACTGCTCTTTTGTACAATAGTCATCATCAAAAATAATGTTACACATTCCCATGCTAGAATTTTCATGACTTGTCGATCTTGCCTCTCCAGTCCGCGATATGGTCGTTGATGACTTTCGCAGCAGCATCGACAGTGAAGTTTCGTCCAATCGCTTCGACAAAGTCACCTTCGGGATCTGTATCGAAGGGTCAGCACTGCAATTTCGTTACCAAAGGCCCTGCCTTGACTTACCCATCAGATAGAAGTAAATGCTGTGGTCGACTAGGTAGTCTTGCCCAGGCTTAACATCTGGCGGCGTTGAAAAATATACACGATACGCCTTGCAGACGTCCTTGACCTCCTGCCATGTTCCCGTCATGCCAATGATGTCTTCATGAAACTCAGCAAGATATCTCTTGATGACCTCCGGCGTATCTCTCGCGGGATCGCAAGAGATGAATACCGGCAGCAGAACATTTCCATGCTTCTCCTTCACCTGATCGATCATCCCCGCCATCTTGTCCAATTCTTCCGGGCAGATGTCAGGGCAATGTGTGAAGCCGAAATACACCAGACTATATTTGCCTTTGAGATTCTGCTCCGTGAACTCTTTCCCATTCATGTCTGTGAGACGGAAAGGACCGCCGACCAGAGGCTTCCCGATACCCTTATTTGCCTCTGCGATTCGTACGCGAGCCATGCGGGCTTTCTCAAACCGGAAGTAGACTGTCAGACCTGCTCCCGCGAGCAAGAAGAGAAAGCCTGCCTGCCATGAGAATGGACCGAGCTTGTACCGCGTTTTTGCTTCTTCCACTGTCTTGTATTGTCGTCTGCTAGTTGAGTTGAATGATCGTCTAGCTGGTGATGATATGTTGTTGGAGGTTGTTGGTCTGGAGCGGATCTCATGTTTCGTTATTTGTGATGCGGAAACGAATGCTCGCCGTGTAATATTGGATGCGCATTGTCGACAGACTCTCAATTGAGCCGCTCGTAAGGAGTTGCAAACAGGCGATGCCATGTTGGAGGTGTTCTGATTTACTACGAAATCGATGATCGAATGGACATGGAGACATGCCGTCCGAGATTTGTAGCCTCAGGCACCACTTCCGCGGAGCATTCTTGGCAATCCAACCACATCTCCTTCCGTGCGGCCGTTCCATTCTACCATCTTCACAACAGCCTGTCCCTATCTCAGCCACGTCGATGCCGCAATGCCTTCATGCTTTGCAGTGCCACCGCCCCTCTGATTCTTGATGAACCGAAACAAGGACTGCCGCGGCACTCGCTCTGTGGCTTCAACACGCCGCCATTCGCAACCGCCTCATCCTTCAACTCGACAATCCGCTTGAGCGTTGATGACATTTACGTTTATGCGTTGAGATATCTGCTTGTCGTAAATGAAAGCGCAAGAACCCCCTAGGCCGACATTCCGTGAAGGATCTCTTCATACAGCTGCAACATCTTGTCGTACCCAACGAAGAGGCGCGAAGAGATGAAGATCGCTCGGCTGTGCAAAAACGACTCCTCTTCCTTGGTGCAGTCCGAGCCGGTTGTGTCTGAGCTGCTGTCACTCTGCGGAGCCATGCCTTGTGCCCTGCGATATTCTTGCTTGACCATGATCTAGATCATTTCATTATTGGCGCGTCTAATCTCGTCAGCGATTCGTCGAGTCAATGAATTAGCAAAGACTGAGATCTTGACTGCGGGCTCTTGCCTGCCTGAATAGCTCCATCGTTATTCGTGGCTCTATTGTCGGTCGACGACGTTGCAGACATGGTGAAGTCGACTTTGCAAAGTCGTGACAAGCTCTTATGGGCTGCTGATACCAATGGCAAGGCGCGCAAGTGGAAAGTCTCTGGAGTAAGCTGGTCGACTTCGTAAAGAAGTACGTGATGGCTTCGCTATGGAAAATGTAAGTAAAGATAGCAAGAGCTTTCTGAAGCACGCTAGAAATTGTCAAGAGGTCATCCTGCAGCATCACTTCAGTCACCGCCCTGACCACCTTCAATTTCAAACGCCAGAATGCGGTTGCTCAGATCATCGATCTCTTTCTGGCTGTTGCCGACGACAACCATTCCATAAGCCCATTGCTCCGTCAGACCAAGCCTCGTGCTTCCAAGGAGAATGATCCTTGCATCATGCAGTTCTTCATTGAACTCCTTCTCAAAACGGTCTCTCGACAATGTAAGCATGATGCATTCGTATACCAAACTCGTCGCAAAACCCCGCTTCTCATTCAGATGACCTCGGAATAGGTACAGAACAAAAGAGAGCGGAGATCGTACGTTGGCGTCGATCGTGAAAAGCGTGCCCTCGTCAGGATTCTCCATTATGTCAGCGCCGACTGGGCCATAGTAGCCTTCTTCATGGAGTGCTTGACCAATCTTGTCGAGGGTACACTGGTACTTCTTCTGCAGCTTCTCCTGCTCGGCGTACGTAATGGCTGTTGCTTGACGTCCGCTTTCACCAGTTGCTAATTGATGGCATGCTCCTAAGAAGACTACAGATCCATTTTTCCGGACGAAGAAGTTCAGAGCCATTGTCTCTCCTGGAATGAAGTCTGACAATATCAAGCTAGTCGTGCGGAGATGTGCGTTCTCCTTGGTAATGTGTGGTAAGTATTCTCGAAGATAGCTCTCGACCTGATCTACCACTTCTTTTCGTTCCTCTTCGTTCTTGACAAGAAGTGTTCCGACTGATGATAGGCTTTGGGTAAGTTTCAGAACATATGGTGGCCGATCGGGAAGAATGCTGCAGACTCGGTGTACTTCAGTCTCGATGCCGGAGCCGCATGAGCGACATTCTTTGCCGCTGTAGTACCAAAGACCAGACTCGCTCGTATGCTCTGGACAAGAAATCTGGCAGTCTATAATCGTATCTTTGGCGCTCTTCAGGCTGCAGTCAGCAAGCCATCGCTTGCTGTTGAGCTTGTAGACGAGCTCTGGGTGATCGACAGAGGGTAGTTGTTCAGCAAAGTCCAATGCGAACGCCCACCGAATTCTGGAGCCATCGTGGTTCTGGATGAAATCTTCGATGTTGGCGTACGTTCTAGATGAGGTATGAGCAGGCATTCGTCACAGTCACTGGGTATCGTTTCAGATCGCTTACGAGACTCTTGGTCTTTGAGCTTCATGCAAGACGCTAAAGCTCCGTCTGGCATTCTCCGCTACAGCTTGCTTGTGCAAAGTCTTGTCATCTGTTGCACCTTCAGCGCCTATAAAGGCGACTTTCATGTTGCCCGCGTAGAACAACAGCAGATAGCAATTTATCTCCAAACAAAGGTGAGCCAGATCGTCAGCAGAACCTACTTGCGCTGAATGAATGATATATTTCTCGTTTAGCGGGACGACCTTGCCATACTGAAGATCGGAATTCGCTTTCACAACACAATAGGTGTCTTCCAGAGGTCCACCATGTTCTTCCAAGAATAAATCATGGAGGGTTGTATTACACTCCACAGGGGGAAAGTTAGACGCCGAGACATCAAGCACGGCAATTTGCTCGTCTGTAGCATTTGTTGTCGTTGTCGTCGCCATCGAGTATGTTTACAAATCTGGTCCAGCACCCCAAGCATTCTGTCGCCACTCAAGACGCATGCTGGTATATCAGAAGGCAGTTGAAAACCTCGTCATTGCCAAATCTGCGGCTCTGCTTCCAAACAAGATGTACCTGGGTACCGCTCCTCACATCCCCGCAAGGAGGATCAAAAGTCTCAAGTACTTGCCATCTCGATTGTTACGCAATTCCTTCTCCAGGTATGGCGCTTACTAGATTCGTCTTGCAGCGTGTTTCCGAGATCTGGTGTGCCTCGTTAGCCAGGATTATTGCCGTTGAACCAGGCTCATGGTCTGGCTAAGCTTCGCAGCTCAGACGAAGGTAGTTCCAGCTTCGGAGGTCGTGTCGTGGGCATCGCTGCATGCCAATTCGAGAGTCATCGTATATACCTCAATGTAAGGCAAAGATAGCTCTCGGGCTTTCATTTTGTTTTTCGGTATGCGATTCATCCGTGATCGTTACAGTAGAGTAACACGTGCCGGACACCGCTGCTGCTTGGCTCTACCTGTTATTTGTGATCATGGAGTCTTGCTTGCATGGACAACAGCCTTTCCTAATCGCGCATTGCTGGTTCGCAAATTCCGAATTAGTGAGTTAGAGCTGCTCATACAGACCTGCAAGCAGTGACCAGGCGCTTCCACTTGAACATACCCTCGATAGAGAGTGGGCAAGTATGCGCTGTGAATGCAGAGCGGCTGCATATGTGCCGATGCTATGCTCACGAGCCGACTTGGCACGTATATAAGTAGATTACGTACCGAGATGGCATGGCATGGCAAAATGTCCTTTCTCCAGTGACGAGGTTTACCCAGGCAAGGCGGCAAGGCTGACTTAGTCAAGGAGTAGGGACGTCGAAGTTGCGCAAGGCATACTACTAAGCAGGCGTTTGGAACGGGAAGTCTACACTGGCCAGACCTTGACCACCGGGTTCCAACAAATCGTAACCCATACCGACCGACCATAACTCTTCGTCTTGAAAGCCCCAGGCGAGCATTTCGCCAGGAGAGAGATCATCGGCGGCGGCGTTCTCGGCTACGCCAAAGCTTTCAGCGTAGGCAGGATAAGCATCCAAAGCTGCAGGAATACTCTGCGGTGTGCTCTAATAAGTATTTGCTCTTCCAGAGTTGGGTAGCGTGGTTGATGAGCCCTCCGTATGAGATTGGCGAATGGCTGAGGGACGAATTGCGGACGACGTTACGCTTCCGACCTGCTTCAGCATTCGTTCGAAGCCTTTTGCCATGCTGAAAACCATGTGATTAGCACCGGCCTTGCAGCAGTGGAGACGGCAGATAATAGCTTCGATCAGCGGCATAGTTCGATCAGCTGGGCTGATAGTAATTCCGATTGCGCTCCACCTATGCGCCATCTTCAGCAGAAACACCACTGCAAATGCGATCATAGAGTGAAGATAGAGCGGCATTCCCACGATTTCAGCGCAGTGCCTTGGATCATACAGAAATTGTTCGAGTACGTGGGGTGCTGACTCCACTGCGTGCAAAGCCAATGGCCGCAGGCTCGTGGGAAGCTCGCACAGCTTCTCGAGAGGTCGACCGCGAAGGACGATACTATTCAGGACCAGGTTGCTGAAGTGAAATTGCAAAGCGATATTCCTTGATAGCTCGCTGCTCTGAGTGGTCTGGTCAGTCCATCGTTCTCTCCATGCCACCATACTGTCAGTGAATCGCATATGATTGAGCACGGAAGAGTCTTGCCCATCCATCACTCGTTTCGGATTGAGTCCAAAATGCTCGAATGCTCTCCCAAGCCCGGTGAGATTAGTCACTTGAGCAATTAGTGCCCTGTCTGACTCTGTGCAAATCTCCGACCTCAGCAGTAGATCAAAGTCCTTGATTGTACGGAGCTCATTCATACAAGGCGGTCTACCGTAGGCAATCGAGAATTGATGGTCCAGTACGTAGAGTAGATACCACAGCCTGGTTTTCTCGATGCAGTCACGTCGCTGTTCGTCACTGGAATCCGCATCAGAGAATGCTGTGTAAAAGGCGTGATGCAAGTTCAGCTCGGTAGCCATACGAATGCTTAGACCTGATAGCTTCCAAGATAGTTACGGCTGCCAGAAGGCTGCAATCACAAGCCCTCGGATATCGTCCAAAGTATGGAAGCGGTCCTACATTACCGATGACACCACGCCCATAAAATGGCTGTGGATGTTTTCATGCAGCGCCTCCTTTCCTGGCATAAGTAGTGCAGCAACCAGCATGACGGCAGTGAAGAGCACTGTCGATGATGCACGAAGACTCTCCACTGTCGCATTGTAGGAGATACCAGCAGAGAAGAGGTGGTGGGCCTAGTGTCGTTGGAACAGCTCGAGCAATTCATCTGCCTCGTTCGGGCCAAGTAAGCCTTTAGAGATGAGATCGTGATCTTTCCTTCGCATGCCGCCCTTTCGTCTCTGCTTGACCGATCTGAGTTGACTGCGAAGGCCGTTCAATCTGGTGGCTTCAATCAGGTTGCTGATCGGATCTAGCGACACGTCTCTAGCGCGGATAGCATCACCACGTTCTTCGGAATTAGGCCTTGTCTGCTGAGGAGGAGAACGAGGCTGGACCTATTAGATATGACCGATCACGCCGTTAGTGCATGGCTGGACTCTACTGATGTCGGCCTCTGAAATGATCAACTCACAATCGCGGGTGATGTGCACAGGTCCAGCGCAGGCATATCTAGTCGCTCTAAAATGTCTTCGAGAGCTCTTTCCAGCTTCGTGATTGTGAGCTGCAAAGGCTCGACATTTTCATTGGCAGCATTTGACTACTGCTTTCTCTCTCGCAAGCAGGTAAGTTGCAGCCGCGTACATCTCGAGCAGTCTTCGTTGCTTCCTTGGTTTAGTACATCGTATCTGACTTTCAATCGTCTGCAGTTAGCATACGCTTTGCTCTGCTTGGATGGCATGCCATTCTGAACATCTTCCGGGAGAGATCGTCTTGCTCGCTTAGAAGGTCTGCTTTCACCAGAAGGTGAACTTTGAGGCTGCGAAAAAGGTGTTCGTGCGGAGCTATCCATGTAAGATGAATGATGGGCCTGTCAACTGGACCGACTTGTGCTCACGCTGTCTTCTATACGGACGGCATTTCAGCGACGACGAGAGATGGGTGAAGGATCGGGTATCGGCGAAATGCCCAAATACGTTCAGCCAGATCAGCAGCAATCCAATGCTTCGTACCCAGAAACCGCGCCCAACCTTCTCGAGACTATTGGCTCTCTGGACGCTCGCCTCATGGCCTGCTGAATGGTAGAGACAACGAGCGGGAAGAACTTGAGCAGGATTGAAACCGTGAAGAAGAACACTCCTGGCTGTCGACAACAATGCCCAGAAATGCGCACGGCCATGCTCGAAGCTGCTCGGCTCCCCAGTCCGATATCCATTGATCAACGTCACCAGCGTCACAATCAACGATAAAGATTGATGCGTCGAGCACTGACAATTCAGCAGGAAAGACACTAATGGTCTCAGCGAGCTCCACTCCGGCAGCCCTCTTTGGGTTCAGATAAGTGAACGACCAGATTTCTTTCTCTCTTCCTCATCAACATCCTCCAAACTATAGTCCCAACTAGAATGTCCAAAAACATCTTAATCACAGGTGCAACCGGCAAACAAGGCGGCGGTGTGATCAAGCACCTCCTCGATAACCCATCCTTCACTCTCCTGGCCCTGACCCGAAACACCTCGTCACCCAGCGCCCAAGCCCTAGCCAAAAAGGGAACAAACATCAAGCTCGTCCAAGGAGACCAAAACGATGTCCCAGCCCTCTTCAAATCCGCTCTCGAAGTGACCAATAGCGCACCGATCTGGGGCATCTTCAGCGTCCAAGTAGCAGGCGCAGGAGAAGTAAAACAAGGCTGCGATTTGATCGACGAAGCCAAGAAGCACGGCGTGAAATGTTTCATATACAGTAGTGTCGAACGAGGAGGTGATGAGGAGAGTTGGAACATCGAGACTACAGTTCCGCATTTCCAGACGAAATATCAAATCGAACGTTATTTGCAAGAGAAGGCTGGAAGCGGAATGGCTTGGACAATTTTGAGACCGACAGCTTTCATGGATAACTTGGCTCCTGGTTTCCCGGCTAAGGTATTCTTGGCTGCGATGAGGGATACGCTTGGGGAGAAAGCATTGCAGTGGATTGCGAGTTCTGATATCGGGGCTTTTGCAAAGATTGTGTTTGAGCATCCGGAGGAGTGGAATCGTAAGGCTTTAGGACTTGCGGGTGAGGAGCAGACGGTTGCTCAACTTTGTGAGAAGGTGGACAGGAAGACGGGTGTCAGTGTGCAGCCAACGTTTTGGATTTTTGGAGCATTGCTGAAGAAATTGGTGAATGAGATGGGAGTTATGCTGGATTGGTTTGGAAGTGATGGGTATAAGGCCGATATTCCGAAGTTGAAGAAGATATATCCTGCCTTGATGGACTTCGAGGCGTGGCTCGAGAAAGAGAGTCCTTTTCCGAAGAAGGCGTGATCAGGTTTGGAGGAGCAAGCTTTGAGAGATCTGCCTCCAAGACTGTCTTCCATACTGCTGCGAGGCCGTTCTGGCATTTTTGGCTGCTGGAATGGTCAGCTCGACTCTGCTGAATATTCCATGTTCTTGACCTTCTACCCAGACTCTGAGTATTCCTATCTCACTGGGACACTCGCTCTTTCCTGTTCCGGCAATAGGCCCGCTCTCTTAAGCACACCCTGGTCCATTTGAGCCGGTGTTCCAGGACTCGGTATATTGCAGTCTCCAAGCGGCAACCTTTGGCCGAATCTCCTAAGCTCTTGCCAGCACGTGTTTAGCAAGTGCAGCACTGACTGTGACGCCGGAGAGATCTCGCGTACGCTGCCGGTTCTTGAGGAGCCAGTGGCAGCTTACTATTACGACACGGCCTAGGAGAGCAATTGTGCGTAGTAATACAGAGTAGCTGCATATCGGTGGTAGTGACCTTCTGACCTTGTGACCTACATTGACACGGGATATAAGATGTACTTTGGCGTGCATTGCACACGCCTCACACTTGAGGGTGCGATTAGTTGACAGAAACATCGACAAAGGCAGCCATGCTAAGGAGCCATTATCTTCTTGCACTTACCATCGGGGCACTTGCAACCCCTTTGACACGAAGAGCAGACATTGACTCGGATGCCGCGATTGAATTTTCGCAAACGGGGCCAGGCACGACTGAAGGCACCCTGATGCTCAAATGGAAGCCTTACCTTTACGTAGTGGATGGCTGCGTGCCATTTCCAGCAGTTGACGAGGATGGTAACACCAGGTGAGAGCTGTCCTTCGCTCGGGTGTACTATCGATACGATGGGGAAGATGTCGTGGTCTGGCTTTCTGATGCCACCGAGGACGCCACACTTCTTGGAGTAGCTGCATCGTACCATGGAGACTATGTCACATCCACGGCTCCCGACCTCAGTGGCGATCATCCATTGATCCGGTATTATACTGCCTATCAGATTCTTGACCATTCTTTGGGATTCACGAGCCCTGTCGGAGGCACACAGCCGCTCATTGCTTGGGATGAGCTTCCAAGTGTTGCCCAAAGTGCGCTTGCCAACAAAGATTGGGACGGTAAGTCTTTCCCGCCCTGTTCACAGAGTGAGAAATTGATCCTCGTTCCAGATGCAAACGTGCCCTTCGTCGACGCGAACTTCAACGCGAATCTGGCCGAAGCTGAGCTGTAGTCGCTGGGATTGATGAAAGCAGCGCTCTGGGTGGCAGGGGAAGCAGAGATGTGCCTTGTGAGACTGTGAAGCAGGCTCGGCATGGTTCTGATTGTGCGGTTAGCTGGCGAGGAGGCTCTCGACGGACTGAGCGCGTGGCATATAGCCTTGCTTTAGCAATGAAGATTTGAAGGCGTGCAATGCCTGTTCACATAGGCCCGCCATTCAGGTCACGGGCAGGAGGTGCTCCACCCGAGATGTGGCAAGACGTGATTGCCTCTAGGCGTAGGAAGGTGCGTCTGCTGTCAGACTTCACGTCGTCCAAAATGTCAGAAGTGCTGCTCAGGGCCTTATCAATCAATGTCTACAGGCCATCTGCGACCAATACCCGGTTTGACGAGCTGGCTACATTATCTCCTGGTCCGCCTTGCCAGGTTGTCGCTGGTAAAGATATGTTTCAGCCACCGCAGTACGTACCGAGAAAGCAAAAGCGACAGCCAAGTCCACATGCCAGACAAGAGTGTCTAGAAGTCTCGAACAGGCGGCCGCCAGCGCGTCATTCGTGTCAGCGCACGACGGTTACACAGCCCAGGCACCGAATGCAGCAGACCGTTATGTGGACGAAGATGCAACAGACACCTTTAGCAACCTCCAGTGCCAGAATTTAGTGGTGTTCACCAGGGTTAGTAACTAAGCCTATCTGAGACGGCTCTTCCGAGGCCTTTAGCAACCTCCTTTTGCCACCTCTTGGCTGCTTAGTTATCGTATCTACAGTGATGTAACCCTGGCTCTTTAATATAGACCTTAGTTAGTATATAGTAGTATTGTTGTCGGCTTAAAATAGACGCTTAAGTAAGGCAATTATTACTAGACTATTAGGTAGTTGTCGGACAAGCGGCTAGCGCCTATCTCGAGTCGGTAGTCGATATTATCGTAGACGACGAGGCCGACGAGGCGTACGTAGGCGATTAAATAAGAAGCCTATATCTAGACGATTATAATCGGCTTAAAAGGATAAGGTTAGCGGACCTAATAAACGATTAGTATAAGCGTAGATTTCGCTTCTAGAAGCAGGACCTATATAGGTTAGTAAGGCTACTTAAGTTAGACTAGATTAAGTAGCTATACCGCATAGAACCTACTAAGGAAGAAGCCTTGTTAGTGCTTCTATAGCGATTAGCAAGCAGTGCGAGTTAGCAGTTACTAGCGTACGACTTTAGCAGAGGGCCGACCTAGATTAGTATTATATTTAATACTATTCTTAAGCATCTAGACGACTTCTTTAGCGACAGATTGTTATTCGACACTCGTCGGTTAACCCCTTAGTATTTGCGGAGGTGCGTAGAGGCCTTAGAACCGGACGTTAGTCTTGCTAAAGTGTGTAGATTTATTAATAGCACCCTTCGTCCCTACTATAGGCTAAAGTATAACTAGAAGTTATACTATAGCGGACATAAGAGAGTATACGGTATTAAATTCTAGGCGGTTATTACTCTAGACGGTCTGCTATCGTTATTATATAGTCCTAAACCTAGCTCTTTTAGGGATTCTCGGATAGTGTTTGAATCTAATATTTAGTAGATTTGGCACGCGTTATTCGATAGGTACGGATTAGACGATAAGGTATTTATTTATAGCGACTCGGCGTACGCAGTAGCGGATAGTATTATATCTGCTTTCAAAGGTTAGAATAGTTAACCTCGTACGCCGCTATAGAGGCAGATAGACTAGGAGATGTCGGCTTTAAAGGTTGCTATAGAGCATATATTCGGACAGATATCAAATCTATAGCGAATTAACTTAGTTAAGCAGAGGGCGGACTTATAGGCTATTAGGTCTATCTATCGAGCGTGCGTTCTTCTTACTAATTGCTATACCTACTATTATAGAAACTAGGTATCTATAGGTCGCATAGATCTACCGGTATTAGAAGAATACCTCTATTCGAGGGCAACTAATGCTTAAATTAGTAACGAGATTAGAGCCCTCGTTGCGACGGTTCTTCCGCTAGGATAGCAACCGCCGCGACTAGAGTAAGGTAATAAGGGCGATAAAGGAGATAGGTATACGTCGCCGGCGATAGAAGACGAGGGTAGCGATAGTAATAGTAATAGAAGAACGACGATAATGTCGAGAAGTCAAAGTATAGCTTTACAATTCTAACGGTATTCTTAGCACTCGCACTATAGGAGCGAGTATATTTCGAGCTATTAGTATATATCTAGAAAGTAGCGAAAATAGGTAACTAGAGCGTCTATGCGCGATTCTCGTAATGTCTCGGCGATGTTGTTAACCTATTACTAAGTAATAGTTATATACTACTAACCCTACCCCTCCTCCTATTTCCTAAATTTCTAGCAATAATCTCGCGATTAAGAGAACAATAAGGTAACGGCAGGAGCAACTAGTTCGCTAAATCGATACTAAAGAGCAATATTGCTAATAAATAAGTAGGGATTTGCTTTAACTAATCCTACAAAACGAACTCTATACTATAATAACTACTACCTACTCCTCCGAGTCGAAAAAGTCCTCGGGGACCTTAATATCGTCTACATTCTGATCCTAATCGTAGCGATCTAACTACCCTATCTGCTATAAGAAGCCTAGTTTCGGTAAGCGCTCGAATGGCTCTAGTATTAGTATCTTGCTCTTCCTGCGGTAGATAACCTATAATAGCACTCGAGTGTAATCCGGATATACACCTATTACCGTCTAGCTAATATTAGTAAGTTGCTAGTTAAGAGAGAGATAATAGCACTTATAATAGTAGTATTAAGGTGCTGTAATTCGTTCTTCTAACTATTAGTTAGGCCTCGAATATAGTACTAATTAAGGGCGGTTAGGCCTTCCTTAATCTTCTCGAAGTTAGCTTCTTAGCTATAGTAACAACAACAATAACGCCTACCTTCTCGAAGTGCGGTTTTAGCAATTCGTTTAGTTTCGAGAACGCTCTATTAATCGAGGCGTTATTATTACGCTTACGGCGGCGCAGTCGTATACGCTAAGTCGTCGACGGTATAGAAGGCGTAGGAGATTCTTCCGGTTTAGTAGAGGTCGCCTAAGAAGAGCTATTATTCAATCGACGTCGCTTCGAGCCTAACCTATCTATTAGACTATCGCGGATAACGACCTCCTTACGCCGAGCCGCCTCCTTCTATTCCTTTATCGCTACCTTGTCGAAGAGCTAAGGGTTTATACGTAGGGCGTGTTTAATAAAGAAGTCCTTCGCTTACGAGAGGTTATCGTTGCTAGGTGCTATACTAGTAGAGCGCTCTTTAGCGGCCTGTTCCTTTACCCTCTTAACTAACTTTACGTTATAGCTCTACCGGAAGCTAGAATTACTACTAAACTCCTTCTTACTATTAGCACGAGCCTACGCATTTACACGACCTCTAACAAGCCGATAGAAGTTAGTAATATTGCCCTTCTTATAGGTATACTTTATATTATTTATTTGCTAGAAGACAACTAACTCTATTCGAGCCGATAGCTTGCCTAGCTTTAATAGGTAAGCTATATTACTGCCCTTCTAAGACAGTGTTTCTACGGTCTTAATTAATAGCGAAGGTCTAGGTAATAGAGATAGCCGCAATTGACTTACTAGAGTAGTTAGTAGCGGCATAGATAATAATAGAGAGGCGTATTTACTAGATCTAGTCGCTATATCGATAACTCTAGGTAGTAGGTAGGGGGAGGGGAGATAGCGACCTACGAAGGTATTGCGGAAGGCTATAATAATCTCGATTCGCTAATAAATTAGTAGGATAGGAAGACGAGCGATCTACTACCTGCCTTCGAGTCCTCTAGCCGCCTTATTACTATCCCTCCGAGTCCCTTACGAAGCCCGATTTCTACTCGAATTTTCTATCTAACAACGTTACCTTCTATACTATTATATACTATCTATATTATTCGTACGACCTTAACTATTATTAAGAGCTTGTAATATATTACAATAGACATACTGCTAGTAGTATAGAGTCTCCGAAGGTGTTATTTAGTATACTATAGAGCGATCGATAGAAGGTTTAATATTATAGGGGAAGGTAGTTACTATCGCTAAGGCTACTATACCGCTTCTATATCTACCTCCTTTAGCAATAGACTCATTGCATTACGACCTACGGCATTACAATCGATTGGCTATATATAATATAGTGGATACAGTGGATACAGGTGGTGAACCATTAGTCAGAAGTTGTTGTCGGAGGTGGACAGCGACACCTCCTGCTAAAGGTCTCTAACGAAGATGCAGCCGCCCGGCGGCCAGAAACCAGCGTGATTAGAAGCAGACTGCACTGCAGCCATTGACCGCTTTCTGCGCGTCCGCGTCCGCGTCCGCGAGTGACAGGAACATCATTATTGAGCCAATGCACGCGAGAAGACCGTGTTGCTGGAAAATGCGATTCCCAGCCACGAGTCGAATAAAGCAGCCAAATTGAAAAGAGTCAAAAGACACGCCAAACACGCGGTGACGCAGAACCCCACACATGAAAGTTTGTGTCAATGCTCGGTATTGGGACGAGCCTCTCGAGAAAGTGATGACGGGCGTGTTTTTTGCAATGTTTAGGGAATAGACGACTAGATCAAGAATCCCACATTTTTCCATTGCTCTGAACAAGTCCACTGAGCTTGTTGGCTTTGCAGACGTGTTTCTGCTGACCGTTGATGCCGCCAGGATCGCCTAAACCTCGCTCTGCACACGGTCATAGCGCCAGCGCGTCTCGTGTGGACCAAAGCTTCCACTTCAACTCGGCATTGAATCCTGCATTCTTCACCACGGTCGCTGACCACAGGCCTTCTACCTCCTCTCTACGCCGTCTTCTCCTATCTGTGTACGATGGACATCGCGTCTGGCCACTAGTCACTCACTTCAACTCCATCTACACGTCTCTACGCGCCAATATAAGGCGGGGCACCACGCACCTCAGCCTCGAAAATCTGCAGCATCTGCACCTTCGACGTGACGAGGTCTCGCGTTCCTACAGTCTGCATACATCATGGACGACCTACCGGATACTGGCAAACAGACATTGCCAGCCAAAGAGACGAATGGAGCTCCCAAACTACGTCCATCTCTCTTGCCGCCCTTCGAGCCATTCTCTCCCTTCTCAAGCTCACCCCCTCTTCCACGCCCGGCCAAACGCAAGTTCGACGAGACATTGGATGACCGAAAGTATTATCCCACTCCAGTGCCGACATCTTCAACGGGCATATTGCCGTCCTCGCCGCCAGCGCGTTTGACGCGTCCTGCACTGCTGCGTGCCGTGTCTGCTCTCTCAGAACGCGCTCCACTAGGCGATGTGCCATCACTCAACCTTCCGCGTAACGGCGAGCCTGTTCTCATGGGACGCTCAAGCAACTCTTCAGACTATCAGCTATCTGCCAATCGTCACATTTCACGCGTCCACGTGCGTGCCACCTATTTCCTTCCAGACGAGCTATATCCGCAGGGGAAGGTGGAGGTGGAGTGCATGGGCTGGAATGGAGCAAAAATACATTGCCGTGGAGAAATTAGAGATTTGGAGAAGGGTGAGACATTCGTGTCGGGCAAGCCTGAGGCACAGCTTATCGTCGACGTGCAAGATACGCGTGTCATGCTTGTGTGGCCGAAGGAGGAGTCGCAGGATCCGCCGTCAGTGGAGTCGAGGTCGCCATGGGCCCAAGAATCACCAGCACGTACACGACGTGTCCCAGCCGCCCAATTTGGATCTAGTCCTCCCGTCATGCTGCCGCCGCAACCTGCATCTCCTGTATCGCCATCGCCAGGTCTGAACGGCCTCCACTTCAACGTAGACCAGACTTTCAAGTCCACATTCCGCGCTGACTCTGACGAGCCAGTGCAAGTGTACCAGGACCACGACTCCGAGGAAGATGCTCCTCATGATCCAACGCCAGAGCCAGAGGCTCCAAGCTGTGACCGCGAAACAACACCAACACCCAGGCGTGTCGTATCCGCGCCAAAAGACTTGCAAAAGTCAATTGCTAGCTTTGCATCCGAGCAGGAGGAATTCTCCGAGCACGATGAAGAGAACGATCCCATCGTTCACTCATTCGGCCCATTCGGCGAGAACCTCATGTCACGCTTCGAATCTTTCCAGTCGACCTCGCCTGAGCGTAAGCGTAAGCCACTAAAGGCCATGGCTTCACCAGCCCGCAGCTTTTCGGCACCGGCTCTCAACCTGAGCCCGGTCAAGAACCATGTCATCAACCAGCTGGCCTTCTCGCGCATCCATTCGCTGCCGCTGTCCACTATTCACAGCAACCTTCCTGCCGAGCTGCGAGGTGCCATGGTCAAGCCATCTGATAATGAGAACCAGAAAGTGCTCACCACAGGAGAGCTCAAGACTCTGCTTGATGACATTCCATGCGTTGGCGAGATCCGCCGTGAAGGCAAAGATGCCGCCGGCAAGCTGCTCGAGAGCGAATTCTACTATGTTCCTGAGATGGACACAGATGTCAATCGTCGTGACACAGTGACGCATAGTCTGGGTAAAACCAGCATTCGCGCTGCTCGAAAGCAGCACAAGGTATGTCGTGAGCCTCCACATCATTCGACCAACATAGACTGACATGCTTCACAGCAATACTACTGGAAGCGCCCACGCTTCTGAATGTCAAGAGCATCCTTCCAGCACGAGCGCATCACCGCGCATGTCAGAAAACATCGATACCATGATCGTCCTTTCCCGTTCCGTTCTGTTTGGTTGGATTCGGATTCCCATTACTGCATAGCGACACCGTTGGTTAACATGGTGGCCAACGATTCCCCTTGGGCGTGTTTCTTCATCGCATTTCGACGGCGTTTCGGGTCGCTTCGCGGCGGTGAGAGGTTTCCGTACATGGTCTGCGCGATGCAGGGTTTGTTTCGATTTATGGCACGACATCAGGAATGGAGGCATCAGGCGTCTGCTGTATGCTATGAGATGCTCGATGATGTAGAAGTCGGGAGCGGAAGCTATACCTAAGAAGAAATGAAAGTTGCGATGTTTTGATTGCAGTCTCTCGATACCCTGCAATCATGTGAGACCAGGGTAACGTGTCAGCGAGATGACGTTGCTCCACTCACTCGCAACCCCCACCAGTTTTCGTGGAGGGGCACACGCTAGTGCGGAATCACCCGCGCTAGTGTGAAAAGCCCAACAGCCAATCAGTATCCATACCTGACTCGCAGCAAACCATACTCTTGGCACATTGATTCGAAGCAGGAACCGAAGCATCTCTCTTATCTACCTCCCCTTCACACCACTATAATACTCTGGATAACTCTGCTTATACCCCAAACCAAACCTCCCAAAATACGCCACCGCGATCAGCAACACCCAACTCAAATACACCCCCAAAACCTCTGCTCCAGGAATCCACCCCGGCAAAGGAATCGCAAGAGGCGTATCTGCAGAGTGTAGGAATACAAAGAGTTGGAAAATCGAAGGGGGGACTTTGGCGCGTTTGCAGTCGTTGAGGTATCTATCATAATCAGCGTTAGCGAGGTGGTGCAAGAACATCAGGTCGGTGAGGTAAATTTACCCGAAAAAATTTCGAAAGAAGCGCTGTTCATTTTCATAATCTTCGGGATCGAGTTGGATGTTGATTGCCAGGGGGTCTGTTTTCGAAGCGTTTTCGAAGCGATGGTAGCGTTTGGGACCGAGGGTTGCGGAAGTTTTGGATCCTGGGTTGGAGGATAAGATCAGGGTGGGTTTGGTGTCGAGGCCGAAGAAGAGGTGGGCTGTTCCTGAGATGACTTGGAAGTGTTCGGTCTGGGAAACATATGGGGTTAGGGGTTTGTATGTGAGGAGGAGAGGGATATTGTGATTTACTTGGTAGATGTGGTAGTGGAATGGTGGTTGGATGATTGAGGGGCCTTCTTTTGGGTCTGTTGGGGGGATTGTGTGGGTCATCATGTACTTGGAGCCTTTGCTGTGGTATTGGACGGAGGAGGTGTTGTTTTCGTAGATTGTTAGGTCTTTGTCTGCTTGGTGCAGCTTGGGTGGGTGAGGAGCTCGGAGGAATGAGAGGGCCATGTTTGCTGAGAGGAAGGAAGGGTTGCCTAGTGAGGATGTTGTTTGAGAATTCCAGTCAGTGTTGTTGTTGTTGTGAGGTTCAAGGTGAGGGATTGTTGTGAGGTTCAGATGTTCCAGCACAGCTCATGTGGAGCTACCTAGTACTGATCGATAGGCAAGGCATTGGAGATGGTGCTCGGCCCGGGGATGACGTTACCCATGTACACTTCTACTCACACAAGTAACCTCTGTCGATCAATATTGCCTGGCCTGAACTGAGAGATTGTAGGAAGGAGACAGACCGCACCCTCTCCTGCAGAAGCCCGACAACAACTCTTTCGGACAGCTCTACTCAACATTCAACCAATATCGAATCTCAAACCCCTCCTTGACAGGATACTTCCTATCCTCCTCCCTCAATGGCAACAACCAGAACTCCTCCCCATTCCACGTGAAACAAGGCTTCCCCTCCTCCACACACTTCTTACAAGCAAATTTGCCCTCACAACCCGGGTACCAGCTCATCCTACCCGTCTTACTCGTCAACTTGGTTGTAACACAAGGAGGAAGCGTCGGTCTGTACTGAGCCTTCTCGAACTCGAATTCCCAAGCCTCGCCCTTCGCTTCTTCCCAAGCATCGTAACATCTCTGAATTCTTTCCCACAGGTCGTCGCATTCGTCTTTGAGCTGTTCTTGCGAGTCGAAAGCTTCGATGTCACCTTCTGGAAGATGAGAGGTGACGGCTTGGAATTCGAACTTGTCTTTGACTGGAAAGTCGGTGCATGTTAGACGAGGACGTTTATTTGGAACGTCTTCCGCGTCTGACTCTTCCTTTAAGGTAAAGTCTTTGTCGCCGTTGAGATCTTCGGCATCGTCCCCTTCATCGTCGTCGTTTCCATGGTCGTCTTCCTCTGATTCCGAGGAGCTGGAGGAGGCCGCAGAGGGACTACGGCTCTTCCGATTCTTGACAGACTTTGGCGATTGGGAAGAGATGCAGGCTTTTGATGGTGTTTCGGCTTTCACGGGCACAGAAGGCTCCACGGAGATGTGCCGGCTCCCGCCTTTGGTAGACCCTGGTGATTGAGAAGTCACGGAACATTTTGAATGTGATTTCCGTTTCATAGGCACAGTCTGGCTTCGACTTGGTCGATTTTGGACGCGGACTGTATCTGCAGGAGTTACAGGCCTGACTTCTCGAGGAGAGGGATCTGGCAACGGGAGCATTGGTGGCGACGGCGGCGGCACTGGTCTCATATGACGATCAGCAGACATGGAAGATTGCCTCTCCCTCTTGACATAGGGAACAGACTCTTCATCGTCTTGATCCTCTTCGATATGCCTGAGCTTCTCGCCGGATGTTTCAGGAAAGTTCCGAAGTCTGGCATTTTCTTTCTTCTCAGCTTGGAATTGCTTCTGAAGAGACGCAAATGCAGTACGAAGCCGCTTCAGCTCGTTCTGCTCAGTCGGAGTCATTCCAGTTGCTGGTGAGCTGTAGCCGGAGTCAGGTCGATAGGACGGCTCGCAAGATTCGGCCACTTCTCTCAGGAGGTCATCGCGCTTTCGTACATCGCCTTGCAGGTCTAAAATCTGCCTTCTGAGATCTGATTCGATCTCGGCGAACTTCTGAGCAAGCGTCTTCAAGTTGTCTTCGGCAGTGGCGGCAGCTGTCTCTGCACTCAGTAATTCGTTCTTGAGATCTGCATTGTGTCGTTGCAGGGCACTGGTGCTGGTTCTACGGCCGCTGCCACCTCCTGAGGCCGAAGTCAATGCATTCTGGAGACGAGCATTGACCTGTGTGAGCTCATCGTCTTTTTGTGCGAGCAGTGACTGCAGCTCCAGATTGCGCGAGTTCATTTCATTGACTTGCTGCAGCAGTCGGGTGTGAAATTGAGCATGGTAGGCCATCTCGCTTAATGTGCGAAGTCTTTTTGGTGCTGGATTCTCAGAAGCGTTGAATGGGGAGTTCGGTGGTCGAAGCAACCTCAAGAAGATGAATGCGAAGTAATGGTCGATGGGACAAAGGGTTACGGAGACAGAGAACGATTTTGGCTAGTTTCGTCTCGAACATGCGTAGAATGCCAAACATACATCTTCACTCCAATGCCCGAAGAGCAGCGAAGTCGAAGTAAGGCAACGTGCTCGGGGCTATTCGGGACGATGACTTTGGCTTTTGGGAATTCTTCCGGCTTGGATCGTCAAGAAGCCTTGCAGGTCTTCGAAGTGAAGTGCGCACTGATCTTGTTTGATGCATGTCGCATCTGAGTACAAATCTGCAGGTACCCGATGCAGCTCGGGGTCTGGAGGATGCAGCCATTCAAAGGTACATGTAACGTACCACAGTCCAATGATCGCCAGGCAGAGATGTAATATGTATGGGAAATCTTCTCTTCATCATGACCAAACATGGTAAGCATTGTATTACTCTACATGTTAGCATCTCAGCAAATGGTATCACTCCCCAACACCTCGCTTCGTAAGCCTTATTAGCAATAGTGTCTATAAATAATTTTCACACACCTTAGCCATTTCGTTCCATGTCCTTCCATGATTCATCAAGAGATGCCTAGTATTTCATGCTGTCTGTTGGTAAAGCCGCCTTCAATGTCCTCGGGAGCCGCTGCAAAGACTCATGTGCTTCCCACCGCATTTGCTGGGCCTCTGCCTTTTTGCCGCATCTCTCCAACGTCTCAGCATACATTCCATCCGCAACTGCCGTCCAGAGCTTATCTTGAGATTTCAGTGCGAGCGTACGCCCAGCTTTCGCCGATTTCTCAGCCTGATCGCCAACAATGTTGTGGAAGAATGAATCTGTCATGATGTTCATGACCATGCAGAGGAGCTGACTGCTGCCGATTGCCTTGGCGGCAAGTACTGCGCGTTGGAGACACCCCTTCGTTATGAGAATGGCACTCTCGGTCGCGCTTGACGACGATGTCGCTTTCATGATGAAGAATGCTGCTTCCATCGCCTTGCTTCCATGTTCGTTACCGGAGCTGTTAGAAACGACAACGCAGAAAGGCTCGATCCTTTGCAGCAGTTGGTCGGCCTCGCCATCTTGACCAGACCCACGCATGATCAATATGCTATTCGCGGCAGCAAGCAATTTGATAGGATCCACACTTGTCGCTCCTGGCTTTGCATCGGGCGCGGCCACAAAAGCCAAGTCTGGACCACGGTAGAGAAGAAGAGCGCCCGGTAGATCGCCCAAGCCATGCTTGCAAAGGGCTTGCAGATACGCCATCAATGTTGTGAGATGCTGGTCGGGATCCGCTCCAAACTCTGCGAGATCTCTTCGCAAAGCCTCGAGGCCCTTTGTCGCAACTTCCCAATCGGAGCGTCCACAACAAGCAAACACAACATACAGTCGGCACATGATTCGGAGTTTCAGCTGGTTCTGGTATTTGGTGCACACTGCTGATAAGGACTGAGGTGCCAAGTCGAGCTTGAGCTTACTCAACTTAATACCCTCTCCCAAGAAGGTTTCTGCCTTCTGTTCATTGCTAGTGTTCTTGTTCGACACCGCAAGTCCACTCAGTAGGAAGCCGAAAGAGTACATCTGCATCTTTGTCAACCAGGAGAAATGGAGCGTCACCTCGCCTTCCTTGGTCTGTCTCATGATACCGCCGGTCTCTGCGTCCATGTCGATGTCCCTCTTGACGCCGAGAGGTAGGTGGAGGGCGCCATCCGTACTCCAATAAGGATCGCGAGTGATGGCATCCATGTTCTCTTGCATGTCCGTCATTTTCTTCTGAGACATCTCATAGCTGTATCGTCCTAGCGTGCAGGCCAGATCGATACAGTCCAGTAAGGCCCTGATCTGTGGCATTGAAGTCATCGCCGGCGTCAGTTGGTACGTTCTGGCCGCAGCTAGAGCACGCAATGCCAGATCGATGCTGTCAGCATGTCGAGACTTGAGATGGACCAAGGCTTCGAGCGTTGCGGCCACGATCTCAACAGCATGGTGGTAGTTGCGAGAAGCTACTTCCGCGATGGCTGTTAGATTTCTCAGCATTGCTGGGGTCTCACGCTGGCTGTCGGGAACCAGCAGTCCAAACGACACGCGCAGAAAGCGGAAGGCGTAAATCCAATGCGAGGACTGAAGCTTCTCTGTCTCGGCAACAAACTTGTCGACCATGGTCATGGCAGCCTTGTGCTTACCGCTCTTGAACACAATCCTCGCCTGAAGATGCTGCATGGCGTACTTGAGATCAGACAGCCTGGCGCGCTCACAAACCGGAATGCCCTTGCTCAAAGTCTCTTCCGCCTCCCAGTCATTGTCAGTCTCCTCGAAAAGAAGGCTGGCCAGGCGAAGGCGTACGCGGGCTTCCTTGCGTTTGTCTGGAATAGCATAGTTCTTGAGAACCGTATCCAGACAACCCATGCCCGTGGAGAGAAGGGTTTGGTATTCTTCGAGAGCCTCGACCGACACATCCGAGCCTGCGAGAGAACAGCTCATTGAGTATGCGGCCTTGGTGTACTCATCCGCGAGGGACAGCAGAATCGAGTGATAGTTCAAATGAGAAGCAGGCGTCGGGGTTGATGGCACATGAGATGATCTCAGATCAGTCAGAGGAGATGGCGATGGAGGTGGTTGTTTCGGCTGCGCCGTTGGAGTATGATGATGTGTTCGTGGCGGAACTTGCTTGATGTGGTGCTTGTTCTCAGCATTCTGAGGTTGTGCATCTGTATCACAGGCTACAAGTGCTATTCCCTCGTTCGGTCGTCTTCGCTTCGGTGCTGGCGCCATTGCGTCTTCTTCTTCGTATTGAATCTGATCTGGAGAATGCGCGCGTTGTACGGAAATGTGGGGCTGCGCGACTCGTTGCTTCACAACTGCAGGGCCGGATGGAGCATTACTTGACAACGGCGAGGCCTGAGCTGGTCTATTCACTTGTGGCGCCCGAGTGGCCTGCGATTCTACCCGTTGTGGAACTGTTCTCAGCTTCTGAGCTGGGAGAGACGGTCTTTGTTCCGCTGGTCTCTGCTGCATAGATGGCTGAGGCATGTGAGGCGGACCCTGCGTCTGTATAGGCGATGATCGTCTAGCATCTCCTGGAATTTGAGGTCGATACTGAGACGATTGCGATGTCGACCGCTGCACGTGCGAGGACTGTGGTGGAGGCCGCTGTGGTTGCTGCGGTTGATGACTCCTTTGCTGATGAGATTGGGGTGGTGAATGTCTGACGGGAGGTCCCGAATGCGAGTGGAGCGATGCCTCATAGCCGGGGGCAAGTGAAGTGTTCCATTGCGGGTGCGGAACAGCTTGCGTCGGAGGAGCCGGGGGTGTTTGCCCCGGCGGTTGTGCAGGTTGTTGTCTCTGCTGGGCAATGTATGCTTGAGGTGGCGGCTGGTAGTACTGCAATGGATCTGGCGAATAGTGGGCCTGTGGCAGACTTGTCTGCTGTGGAGGAGGCGACAGATACGGCGTTTGCTGCTGGTAGAAAGACTGCGGCGCATGCGTGTCGTGGGGGTCGTGTTGCTGCGGCGTCATATGCGCAGTGTGGCCTTGGCCTTGATTGGAGTATGCCTGTGGCGGTCGTGCCTGCCCATTATTGTGCTGGTGCTGATATTGCATGTATCCCGGAGGAGGCACGTAGCCTCCCGGTCCTTGGTAAGGCATGTTCGCAATGCTCCTAGAGCGTGATACATGCTACCCTATTGAATCCGCATCCGGACCGCCTCATTAGACATATCTCAGCCTCGCCTGCAGAAGCTGTCTCAGGAATGGGAGGTGTGGTGTCGGGGGCTCACGCGCTCCTGCCTTGCCGAGACGCGCCTGATTCGCGCGGAAACAGCTCCGTCGGAGATCAACTTTAATTTTTGCCGACCCTGCAATTCTAGATTTCGAGATTTCGAGCTCGATTTCACATTCTCCATCCTTCACGACCATGGCTCCGCTCGCGTCGGGGAAGACTGCAGGCAAGCGCTCTGCGAAGCCTGCAGCATCAAGCTCGTCGAAGCCAAAGAGCAAAAGCGCTCCTAAGCCGAAACCCACAGAACACAAGCCAAAGCCCAACACCAAAGGCAAGAAAAAGCTACCACCACACAAGCGTTATACCGAGAAGGAGCTGAAGGTGCCTCGGCTCAATGGAATACGACCAGCTGGTGTTCAAAAACCGCCAAATGCCAAGAAGGGGAAAACTTTTGTTGACGACAAGGAGAGCATGAATGCCATTATGGCCATGGTCATGGCCGAGAAAGAAGGCAACATTGAAAGCAAAATCATGCGCGCCAGGCAGATGGAGGAAGTGAGAGAAGCCAGAAGACTCGAGGCGGAGAACCGAGCAGGAGAGAAGAGGCAGAAGATGGACGATCGTAAGCAGGATATCAAGAACAGCAAGAAGAGAAGGCGATCGGACGGAGACACAGCTGCGGCGCAAAGCGAGCCGAAGCAAGACGAGGTGGCCAAGAAGAGCAAGAAGAAGCGTGTGAGCTTTGGGTGAGGCTCTTCTACATGCTGTAAATTCTACGGTGTATTCTGATTCTCTATTCCAACGCCGCGCTATGCATCAATAGGGCAGCCAGCATGATCGACTACTGCGCGCCGCCGGGGAGATGCGACTTTCTTCGCATGGGTGAGAAGGTGAAAGGCGTCTGATGGCCACCATGCGGACCTTTCTGGTCCCAAAGTTCAGGTGCCTCAGTCTTGCTGAAATCGACCTCCCTCATGGCGTTGAGGAAGCCAAAGGCAGGCTTCATATGCCATCTTCCACCGCCCAGCTCAAACCAACTCAGGTGCCCACCTCCGTTGGTTGCGCACATTACTACATATGGATTCTGTCGGATCTCCTCGTATGGCACAGCCGCATCGTTTGCAATCGGATCGTCCGTTGCATGGATTGCCAAAACTGGAATGCGCATCGCCAGCACGCTATCAGCACTACTGGCATCTCGATAATATGCACCCTCAGTCGGATAGCCCCAGCTTGCGCATTGGACTGCTCGATCGAACTCATGGAGATACTTGAGCTTGTGAATCTCGTCAGACTTGATGGCCTTGTTTTTCGTGAGCTGCTCGGCATGAGTGTCGAAGAGTTTGAGCATGTTGCGACCCATGGCTTTGCTGTAAATATTCAACCCAATCCATGTTCGCTGGAGCATTGTATTGCTGATTTCCAGTTTCCATGGATTGCTGACGATCACGGCTGAGCTCAAGAGGCAATCTGATCCTTCCTCGCCAATATACTAGACAGAGAAGGAAGATCTTAGCAATGATTCCAAGTTCGTACTCTTAATCTGTACTCTACCTACATTCGTGAGTATGTTAGCGCCGAGCGAATACCCAATTCCAAAAATCGGTCGCTTCGGCCAAGTCTTTCTTGCCCATTTGACAACTTGCCTCACGTCCCATGTCGCACGAGCATTATAAAGAATACTCGTCGTGATCTTACTGCCCGCACAACCTCTCGAGTTGACAACCAGAGCTTCCCACTCGCCACCAGAAATCCCTCCAGCTTTATCTCCAGCGGACGAGTACCTCACGAGTGGCTCCAGAACATGTCGAAGATACGTCTCATAAGACCCACCAGATAGACCATGCAAAGTGACGAGCAAAGGCTTCGTATCCTCAGATCCAAGATCCTGGAATTCCTCGTTCGTGAAATATGTCGTCCGAGGTGGCAGTGAAGTATGTCCTACCCCGACTGGATCCTCTCGAAGACCTATGTCTTCTGGCCCACCATCCCCAGCGGAAGTTTTGGTGGACTCCTCTGGTGGTTTCACGACAAAGTCGACGGTGAAATGGCCTTTAAAGCCTTCGTCTTCTTGCTCGAAGACTCGGCGTTTGTAGTGGATCGCCGGACCAGCAGACTTCACCGCCGTCCAAGCAGTTTGCAGATGGCCATTGAAGAGGAATGGGTTCAAATTGCAAGGTGGGATCACATCTTTGCAGATCTCTGGCAGAGCTCTTTTTGGTCCATCTCGAATTTGGAGAAGAAGGGGATCTTCACTGTGGGTGTAAGTCGTCGTGCAGGAGCCTGGATACCACGAGAACGCCATCGCTCACCGAGAAGGGTAAGAGTGAAGAGAGAGTGATGATGGAAGGAATCTTGAAAAGTGTCAAGGCCAATGTCAATGCATGATGCCTCGGCCGTTTTTGCGATGTGGATCTACACACGTGGTGACGCGCGAGACATGTGAAAGTGTGCAAGGATTCTGATGATGCCTTGAAAGTGAAGTCGTGCGAATTGCGCGGCGAACGGAGGGCAGTTCTTGCCGAGCCCCGTGCCAGCCCAGCGTCACTTCATGTCGCAAGCTTCAAGCAAGCAGCAGTAACCTCTCACGCGACCTAGCTCTATTAGTGCCAGATTCGACTATCAGCGACTTTTTTTCAAGAACACCACAACCATGTCTGATGTTAACGGTCATCGACTCTTTCGTTACCGCTTCCCTCGCCCCGAATGGCTTAACAGCGCCAACACGAGAACAGCAGGCGTCTACCTATCTGGCGCATTGGTACGATCCCACGAAATACTGCAGCTTCATTCCAGCCACACTGACCTCTCCATAGTTCTGTATAGCCCTCTTCGTCCTGATCGATGCCTCAGTCTACAGCAACGGGCGCCTAAACGGCTCAGACCTGCACCTAAACTTCGTCGACTGGATCCCAGGCATATTCTCTTTCCTGGGAATGTTGGTCATCAATAGCATTGATAAGTCAAGGCTCTCAGGCGACACATGGGCATACTCTGGTGACGCTGTGGCATGGAAGGCAAGAGTTGTACTGTTCTTGGGCTTTGCGGCTATGGCTGGAGGTCTGGCTGGAGGTGTGACAATCATGGTGTTGAAGTATGTTACGGCTGGAGCGCAAGGTATGGTGCTTTGGTTCGGTGTGGCGAACTTGGTGAGCAATGCGCTGGTTATGTTGAGGTGAGTGATTGGCAGAACTTGCGGTTACTTGGGAGTGCTAATGAGATTGCAGCTCGGCCGTGCTGTGGATCAGCCAGAACATGGAGGACGATTATACCTACAACCTTGCGCTTTGAAGTGAGTTGCAGACTAGCGAGTGATCCCGTTCTGTATGCCTATATTGCACCTATTGTCGTGGGACAGACAAACCAGAAGCACTCTCTGCGCCATTACTTTGACGAAGTGAGCTCGCGTTTGCATTATCTGCACCAAGTTTTGCAGCATCAGCCACCAAGATGGAGGGGCTTTGGACCTCACTTGTGGTTCGATAGACTCGGTGGGGCTTGTGGGGCTTCTGCACTAGCTTCTCGCAGGTGAAGTACAGAGCTGTTGAAGCATCTAACAAAACCAGCATAGTATAGGTCTCTCAAAGGGCACCTGCTACTTGGCGACGGTCATACATCTAACGTCGTTACGACTAGCAAGAACAGTATCGAGATGGCCACTCCTACGGATGCATTCATTTCAAAGCTTAAGAGCAACATCGCTACGCTCAGCAGCGACAAGCTGGATCTTGAACAAGACAAAGCCAAGCTCCAACATCAAGTCGCCAACCTTCAAGATGAGATCGCTGCTACGCAACGCAAGTTAGAGGTTGCCGCTCAAGCAAACAGCAGTGGCGTCGGCAAGCCTATTGACTTCGACAACATCGTGAAACTCGAGGACGAGCTTGCACAAGATAGAGCGGAGTTCAAGGACTTCATTATTGCTGCAAATGACAAGGTCGCCAAGGCAGAAGCCACCGCAAGCCATTGGAAAGAAAAAGTAGAAGATGAGCAGAGGTTCTCTGCGAGCCTCAAGCGACAGCTCGAAGATGCCAAAGACACGATGAAGGCTCTTCGCGCGCAGAAGACAAACGCAGAGAAAAATGCTACAGACGCCAAGGCCCTTGTCATGCAGCAGACTAAAGAACTTGCAAAGGCGCAGAAGCAGAAGCGCGCTGCGGAGGTGAAGTACAGCAGACAAGTTATCTCAAGGTAGGGCCTCCCTCAAGGCTCATGATGGTCATTCACTGACGGTTTGTAGCGATGTCGACGCTGGCAAGACGACCACCTTCAACTTTAGCACCCCGAAAGCTTTCGGAAAGCCCGTTCCAAAATCTACGAGCACTTTTGGCCGCAAGCCAGCCGCCGCCACCAAGCCAGCATTCAGCAAAGCATCGAGCAAGCATCCAGGTGACCCGCCATCCAAGAACCAGCCTCCATCCAAGATCATGTCTCAGCTCAGCATTGGCAAGACTAAGGACATGCCATTCGTGCTGGATGAAGATGAGGACGACATACCGCTCGCACAGCGTCGCTTCATGAACGCTTCGAAGCGCAAGAATGTACATATGCAGGATGGAGAAGATGAGGATGATGAGGAGCTGATTCCAATCCGGATTAAGCGCGAGCGCATCGAGTAGCTGATGGAATCCTAGCACGAGCCAGATGAGTCGCGAAGCTGTGGAATAGCGAGCGAGGAACAACTTGGAGCAAGAAACACAAGATTTGAAGCAATGCGTATCAAAAGGCAAGCGTTGCATTCTCCTGCTGTGGAAGATGGGCAAATTCTTGGATGTTTGCAGATCTCGCTATCAATGACTACGATGTCTTTCCTGGCCAATCATTCATTATGACTTCGTTCTCGTTATCGTTCTTCAATAGACCTCGCCTTGCACCACCTCGTACACGTACAGAGGAGCAGCCCGGTATCCGGAATCACGAGTGGGTCCTCACATAGGAGAGTTCCAAACACAGGGGCGCAAGCGAGCCTCGGCCCAATGATTGAGGCTCAGTATTGGTCGTTTCGTTTTCACATGACGACCACTTTCACAAGCGCAGTAGAAGCATAAGCATATGGCTTGTAGACATGATCATTCTTAACGGCAAGTATCCGACGTCTTTCCTTTGACATCGCTCGGCGCTCGCGAGTACCTAGACATCAACGGGACACGCGACCAAACACGCCTACGCCTACGCCTACCCCTTCGCCTACGCCACCTTTCTGTCGGCATACATTCTTTTGGGAGAGCAGCCTTTCTTCCACCGCGCTCCGCGACAAGACTTCTTGGATATGTCTGCAGCAACGAGGCTGCCGGCAGTCGCAGGCGCTCTGACAGTGACAGGAGGAGTGATAGCATTCTTCTCACATCCAGCAGTTCAGGCTTTCGTGACGGAGAAGTTCGGCGCCAACGCAGGGTCGAAGATGCTCAAGATACTTGCTGGCGCGATTGCTCTGGCGAATCTGAAGAATCTGCCTGGTCTCTGGCATGTCAGTTCATCTCGCGTTCGCTGGATGAATTTTGTATGCTGACACGTGCTACTAGGTCCGAGTGCTACGAGGCATCATCTACCAGATATACTTCCAGAAGCGCGCGATACCTCCCAAGTACGCATTTGCGCCGATGATCACACAGTCTTACAACACCCTTTATGATACCGACTACAACCTCCACAAATCGAACTCGACCTACTTCGCCGATCTTGATGTAGCACGTGCTCACTACGTCGGAGCCATCATTCGAACAGGACTTGCAAGATTGAATGCAGGCGATCAAGAAGGTCTTCCCAAATCGAACATCGAAGCAAAGGGCAAATATGTCGTGGCACTAGGAGCGGTAAGCTGCTTCTTCCAGCGTCAGATCGAACCCCTCCAACGCTTCGAAGTCTATACAAGAGTGTTGAGTTGGGATAGGAAATGGTTGTACATTGTAAGCCACATCGTGAAGAAGGGCTCAATCAAGCCAGATTCATATGTGCTTCAACCATGGAAGAATAGAAGCAAGAGAAGCAATGCGCAAAAGGAGCAGAATGAAGACTTGAGCAAGCACATCTTTGCGTCTAGCTTGGCGAGATACGTGTTCAAGAAGGGTCGGCTTACAATCAACCCAGAGATTGTTCTTGAGCGATCAAGATTACTGCCGCCGAGGCCTGAGGGCATTGGATACCCACCCAGAGCGGAGGGGAACGCCTCCAATGCCGCAACTCCCTTCACGCCAGCTACTCCTGCAGTCAACGGCGAGGCATTGGGAACAGATATCTCATCAGAGCTTAACTCGAAGCTCGCAGGCGTCAAGGGCGCTGAGGGTGATGACTGGACCTGGGAGCATATGGAGAAGGAGCGCTTGCGAGGCCTTGAGCTCGCCAGCCATTTTGATGCTTTGAATGGACTTCATAATGAGCTCAGGGCAGGAGATGTTCTTGGAAAGTATGGCGACTACTTTTGAGGATGATCTGGCGACTGTTACATATAGAAAGATACCCGGCGTCGACGCCAAATGCATGCGGATCGCACGAACACTGCGGCAGGATGACTTCGAAAGATACCATCACAAGGGCGTTGGAGAAGAGAAGGTCATAGACTGCACGATCAGAAATGTCTCACGATCCCATTTATCCCAAGACAACTCTTGGCATCGTGGGCAAGGCAAGGTGGGATCCAGCATGCTACAAGCTCGCAGCTATTGCAACTATGACCTAGCTTCCTGATCCTTCAGGACGTGGCACGGAAAGTGGCATATCTACTAATTCAGGCGAATGATCAACATCAATGCTACAGTACGTAGCGACATTTCCAGCGAACGAAGTGGTATGTATGCCGATTTATCTATAACTCTTCCAACACTCACTTTCCCTACCCACTTCCTATCTCTACACACAAATACAATCGACACTTCTACAAGATGTGGCTCCTCTACCTACCAACCGCCCTAATCTTCGCCTACTTCCTGTACAACCGCTATTTCCATCCTCTCCATAAAATTCCCGGCCCCTTCCTCGCTAGCATAACCCCCCTATGGCTCGTCTACCAATGCTACCACCGCCGTCGTCCCCGTCTCGACATGGAACTCCACAAAGCCTACGGCAGCATCGTCCGAATCTCACCCAACGAAATCATGTTCAGCAACCCCGACCACTTCCGCGAAGTCTACGGAGCCGGAACCAAGTTCACCAAGTCAAGATTCTACGAAGCACCAACCGACCCTGTCCAAGAAGCAGGCTGGGAAAAACTCGACATGCTCGTAGAAAAAGACATCGAGAAATTGCGAGTGCAGAAAAGATTCGCTGGCCCAATATACTCCATCTCAAACGCTCTCAAACATGAACATCTCATCGATAACAACATCCTTCGCTCCTTACAACGCTTTCGAACCCTCTCTTCTAGCAAGAGTGTGGATATCTATTCCGAATTCGAAATTCTCAACGTGGACATCATGTCGGAATTCACGTTTGGGAAAGCTTATGGCGCTGTGGAAAAAGGTAGTGATGATGGACACATGGCGAGTATGGATTCCATGTGGGCTTGGTGGGGATGGATCGGTTTCCTGCCTTGGTTGAATGAGATTGATAAGATTTATTCGCCTTGGGCGAGTATGATTTTCGGCGGGAGCGCGGAGAAGAAGTTTCCTGTTTTTTCTGTGCGTTGCGAACCTATCAACCACCCTCTTCCCTCTCTTCGATGTTCAATCACTGACTTATTTTTTTCCATTGGATATTAGTACGCCATCTCGCAAATCACAGCGTACGAAACCGCCTCTGCATCAGGACAAAAGGTTCCAGTACCTTGTTTACTCGACGATCTCCGAACCCTTTCCCGCACCCGTCCGGAATTCAAAGATAATTGGGGTATGAGGCTCGCCCTCACAGATTTGGGGGCCGGAGTCGATACCATGTCTTGGACATTATCAGCATTCATCGTGGGCATCGCACAAAACCCCTCCGTCTACCAAAAACTGAAATCCGAACTCGACTCTTCCGGTCTCAACAGCAAAGACGCAACACCCGTTCCCTACGAAACAGCCGCATCGCTTCCATATTTCCAAGCCTGTCTTCACGAATGTCAAAGAATGTGGCCGAACATCGCCGTTTCGATCCCGAGGGACGTTCCTGCTGGTGGGATTGAGATTGATGGGTATTTCATCCCCGAAGGTTATACTGTGGGGATGAATAGTAAAGTTCTGGGATGGAGTGGCGAAGTGTTTGGACGGGAGCCTGAGCGATTTCGGCCTGAGAGATGGTTGGAGGCGGATAAAGCGCAGAGGGACTCGATGGAGAATAAGAATTTGTCGTTTGGAGGGAGTGCGAGGAAGTGTCCTGGTATGCATGGTAAGTTGAGCTGACTGGATTGGGAAGCATGAATTTTTTGTCCTTCGGCTAATAATATCCGGATGCAGTGGCGTGGGTTTGTATGAGTAAGGTTTTGGCGAGCTTGTATGCCAATTTTGAGGTCAAGTTGTTGAATGAGCTGGATGGGAAGCCTGGACCTGCAGGACATGTCTGGCGGGAGCATGGGAGCTTTCCGACCAAGGTGAGTGACTTGTGCGATTGTGTAGAGTTGGTGAAGTGCTAACGACAAGATAGTGGCATGGATTGGAAGTAGAGCTTATAGCTCGGTAGGATAGACAATTGCATCAATGGATACCGTATTCCATACATTCATGCCAATCAATTCTATGTGGTACTATACCGCCCAGCACATGATCGACCCCGGAACGCCTACGCTTGAATAACAGTAGATGAAACAGAAGGACTTCGGCGAGGGTCTCGAACATAAGGTACCTAACCATATGCACCAGGTCCCGGGCCGCCTCCAGGCCCACCTTCATTGGCCATGCTGAGTCTTGCGCAAAGGCCGAGAAAGACGACTGTCTCCGTTGCGGCGAGATAATTGAGCGCATCGAGCAAAATCTTGAGATGTCGACTGAAGTGGTCCTCGTATTGCTGTAGGATAGAAAATAGCTTGTCAAGCTTGGCTGGGTCGTTCGCGGTTCTGCTCGAGCTGGGGCTTGCGTTTAGAGCAGGTGAAGAGGCTAGGTCGGGGTCTGCGCCAGCCAGGTAACGACTTAAAGAGGCGGTGTAGTTGGCGAACAATGTACACGTCGACATGACTTTCGAATTGATCTGGAGACTATTAGCAAAAGCAGATTGTATGCGTGAAGGCATCCACTTACTCTCAACAGCTTCGAGTTGGTCAACATGCATTCCTTGAGACACGTTGCAAGCATGTCGATGTGATCCTGCATCAACTCGTCCACGGTCCTCTTGACGTTAGAATCAACACTGTCTGCGGAAGTCGGATTGTCATCTTTCTCTGCATGCGCTAGCCGTTCCATGAAAGCCAGCCAATTCGGCTCGATGACCTCGCTTGTGCAGAAGTACAGCAGTTGCTGCACAAAGCAGAGCATTCGACTCCTCAAGCACCAGGCCCTACGCTTCCAGTTCTCAATTCTCCTGCCCACAGCAGCATCTGATCGTGATTTGTGATTCCAAGATTTGACTTTGGTGTGCTCCGTCCAGGAGTTGGTGAGCAGTGTTTCCAGATGTCTCAGACTCAGGAGGTAGCGGAAGAGAAGTTGATATCTGGTAAGCGTCACCCTACTAACGACCAGAGATAGAGGGAAAGGCACGGCGTAGTCGAATGTCAGTGCTTCATAACCAGAAATCTCTTTCTCATCTTTTGAGGCCTCTGCAGCAGGCGTATATGTCGAGAGAGATGTCGCATCCGCATCCATGCCTTGGACATTAACCACGCGCATGAGCCACCCGGTCAGGCCAACATCATTCATGACGACTTTGATATCCTCCTTGAAAGGATCTTCAGCTGCCACGGATCCTGGTTGTCGCAGAACGGTGTCAAGGAGTGTTTGCAGCTTGCCCACATTGACAGTCTTTGCGGGTTTCCTGAGCTCGAGATGTGTCAACTCCAGAAAGTATGCAAAGAAATCGCTGCGGTCCAGAAAGAAGTAGTGCTTTAGGCTTCGCAACCTTGACGGCAGGCCATGTGTCCTTACGAGCAGCTTCATGAGGCTCTGATTGGCATTGGAGTATGCGCGGCTCACATTTTCGTTAAACTTGGGGTCATCAAAGGTATGTGGTAAGTTGGTGTTTGAATGGAGATCGCCGAGCATGTTTTCGATCCCTCCGCACTCGCGAACAACATTGAGATATTTGCCGGCTAAGAGGACCTTGTCCTTTAGCGACTCTAGCTGTGGCGGAACCAGCTCCTGTCGTATTGTGTATCGCTTCTCCCAATATTCGTCGGTGTAGTCCTGTTCGAGTCCCTCTCTCCGGATCGACTTTTGCTCTTTAATCAAAAATTCCTGGTGTGGATCTCGAACATTGCCGTGGTGCAGCCACTCGTTCAGCATCGCCATGTAGGGGCGACTCGCTTCTTGCAGTAGCATCGTCAATAGCTGTCGAGCTGGAGGATCACCAGCCATCGCCGACAATCGCTTGGCAAGCAAGCGAAGTACTGAGCCGCCTTTGCACACTTTCTTTCCTGGAAGCTGTGCATCCTTGCCCTCTTTCAAGGACTCCAAAATGTTCTCAAAGTCGTCAGACTCGTCCATGTCCTCGTTGTCGAGCATGCTATTTTCCTTCAAAATTTCATGAGCCACAATGTACAGCTGTAACATCATGTGTGCCGTCTGCTTGGTATGCAGGTTGAACTGGTGCAGTGTGAAGCCGTCATTGGTCAGCATCTGATGCTCCAGCTGGGCGATCAAGATCATATAGTCCTTGAGTAGTTTTCGCATCGCAGCACAAAGAGCATGATTCACAGTACCCATCTCTTCTCGGCTTTGCACTTCCACAAAAGCCTCCACAGCGCAGTAATGGGTCGCAGTCTTGAGCATGCTGTTAGCAAGATCTCTCAGACTGGGATCAAGACCTGGCTGAATGTGGAAAAGCGGACCAGCCAATTTACTCTTCTCGTCCAGTGGGTTGTATTGGTCCATGTATCGTACATATTGGCCTTCGAAGCCCATGAGTACGAATAGGAGGTCATCTATGATGGCTTTCTCCTGGGCATCTAAGGACAAAGTATGTAGATGTGGGGGCTGAAGAGTCGCAGGGGCCTTCTTGGATTCGGGAGGAACAGATATTCGTGAAGCCAAGGGTGCCGAGGACGGTGAGATCAGGGTGGCATATGGGCTCCATATCTTAGCTGCGCCAAATCAGTCTGCTATCCTGCCTACTATATGGGACCGCGCGCACGCACAGGCGACATACCCGGAGCAACGTCCTTCACCGGGGCCTTTGGTTTCTCCACCTCTGTGCTCTTGCACACATTGCCATTGCCATTGCGATCTTCACGTTTGACTGGGCTGATGGTACGCTTGATGATTGTTTGTCGTGATTCTGTGGTGCGTCGCGTCTCCGTAGTCGTGGCGGTATTCTTCTTGTGGAATGATCCTTTGGTGTCTGTTCGAGACTCATTCGCATTTGGGTCGACAGCGCTTGTAGCCCGACTCCTCTGTTGACGTTGTGAAGCTGCGCGTCGTTCAGAAATGCTCGCTGCCTTTGGAGGCGGTTGTGAGGCCATGGCAGGAGTCCAGCATTATGCTATGTCCTCCTGTGTTCTCCCACTGTCGCCGAAGTTGCGGTATAGACTATGTTCGTCTTTGGTGGGAGTGTTTTGGGCCCCGCGACGGACTCACGTTAGACTTCAAAGGCTGGTTCAAATCGCGCGTCAGTTCGCGTACTGCCGGTTGATTCTCGGCAGAATGTCCAAGCTCTCATTAGCCAACGTACACAGCTGCTGGCTAGGAAACATTAACACCACCACAATCCACCGCCCACCGCCCGCTTCATCAACTGCTAAACGAATCTCTGTTTGACTTGCTGGATAACATACTACGAAACCTTCCCTTCATACGCCACTGAAACCAAACCCCCAAACCCCCTACCTCACGTCCAACCGCCAACATGTTCATCGCGCGATCAGAATATGGTATGCATCTCGCATCTATGATCCCAGTGCTATGAGCACATCTAGCTAACAGATTGATAGATCGTGGCATCAAGTATGCTTGAAGTACCATGCATCCTCCGCATCGACTTACTGACCCTTCCACAGCACCTTCTCCCCAGAAGGCCGTCTCTTCCAAGTCGAATACTCCCTTGAAGCCATCAAGCTCGGATCCACAGCAATCGGCATTTCGACATCTGCAGGCGTCATTCTTGGGGTAGAAAAGCGCATTACCTCTTCCCTCCTCGAGACCTCCTCTGTGGAGAAGATCGTCGAAATCGACCGACATATAGGATGCGCCATGTCTGGTCTGCAGGCCGATGCGCGAAGCATGATTGAGCACGCACGAGTCACATCGCAATCACACGAGTTCCACTACAACGAGCGGTTAGGAGTCGAGAGCTGTACGCAGGCAATTTGCGATCTGGCGCTCAGATTCGGTGAAGGAGCAGATGGCGAGGAGAGTATCATGAGCAGACCCTTCGGTGTGGCGCTCCTGATTGCTGGCTACGATGAGAATGGACCGTCGCTGTATGTCGCCTTCCTTTTGGAATCAGGATAATCATGACATGCTAACAATTGATAGCTACCACGCCGAGCCATCAGGCACCTTCTACCGCTACGACGCCAAAGCCATCGGTTCCGGTTCCGAGGGAGCTCAGGCAGAACTTCAAAACGAATTCCACAAATCGCTCACACTACCAGAGGCAGAAGTGCTTGTGCTGAAGACTCTCAAGCAAGTCATGGAAGAGAAGCTGGATTCGAAGAATGTGCAACTGGCAAGCGTGACCAAGGACAAGGGCTTCCGCATCTACACAGATGAGGAGATGGCTGGTGTGGTAGGCAGATTAGAGGGCAACTAGAGAGGCTGAAAAGAGCTGTGTGATGTGCTACGACCGGATGACTTACCGGCATGTATAGTAAGGAATACAGACAGCATTGCATCGGCGCTACGGCGTTGCAGCGAGCGGATGGAATTCAGCCAAAGACAACGCTGAAAGAGAGAGCCGGCCATGTCAGCATCAATTCCACGTGCCAGTCTCTCCTGTCGCCACTGCATTGGAAACCTAGAGCAATAGAGCCGACTTTTCCACCGCGATGCGCATCTCATGTCATCTCCGGGACGGTGACAGATAATCCACCAGGTCAGCCATGCATCGTAAGCCCATTCGTGGCATCCACCACGATTAACGTGTGCAAGGAGGACTTCGTGATGCCACCCTCTTCGTTAGCGTGGTGGGAAGGGCCGCTGCTAGCTGTTTCCGGTAGACGCTAAACGATTAGTAGTTAGTTTAGCATTGATTAGAAAGCGGCAACCTCCGCGAACCTCGACAAGCAATACCTCCTACGGTCGCAAATGCGACTATACTATTCAATTTCATTAACCGGCTATATACTACTACAATAGCGACAAAATGAAGTCCAAATATCCATCCTAGAATGCCCTTTCCTTATCTAACAAAGAAGCGAAGCTCCGAAGGGCAATCGAGCGCTTCCGAGCCGGCGAATACGAGTCTAAAGTCGCCTGCTATTAGGACTTCGAAATCCTCTACCCTTTTACAGAAGCTCGGAGGTTGCCGAGCTTAGCTTGGCGGCACTCAGCTGTTCGACTAGGCTTTACACTACCTATTTCTACATCACCACATTCTATTATAATACATTAGCAACGATTGTAGAATTATAGAACCGGATGCTGCGATTATTTTAGTGCAAAAATCAGTACAATCGCATCGCTGTAGGGCGCACATTAATTCGATGAAGTATCGATACAAAACGACGAGGTGCTTACAAATCCGCGCTAACGAAGGGGTGGCATCACGAAGTCCTCCTTGCACACGTTACTAACACAATCACGAGAATCCTCGCAGATTCACTTCCCAACTCCGTTCCGCCATCGGTGTCCCAAACCAGCAATCGCGGGGAAGAGACAACGCCGAGGAGAGAGAGAGAGAGAGAGAGAGAGCTCTGTGTGTGTACTCCTGTATGAATTGAGGGGCACACACATACATATACATAAAACCCACAAAAGAAATCTGCAACCCTTTCCTTTCCTTTCCACACATCACTCAAATCATCATCCCGCAATATATCATGTCGTCGTCGTCATCCTCTGAAATTCTCACCCACAAACCAACCACCAACATCTCCATCACCACCAATCCCCAACATGACCTGCACATCAACACCTCCCACGAGATTCCCACCCCGGGTCCAAAAGAATGTTTGGTCCATGTCCGAGCCACGGGGATTTGTGGTTCGGACATACATTTCTGGAAAGAAGGGAGAATCGGGTCGAGTGTGATCACGGAAGAGTGTGGGTTGGGACATGAAAGTTCGGGAGAAATCATAAAAATGGGGCGGGAAGTGGAAGGGTTTCGAGTTGGTGAGTTCGCATCTTTCCGTTTCGTGTTGTATACAATTTGTTTACTTCGTTCTATATATTCGTACATTTTCCATAAATACATATGCATATTGATACATCAAGCTCGTCAGGAGATCGCGTCGCCCTTGAATGTGGAATTCCGTGCTCAAAACCTTCTTGCTTCGCGTGTCGAACAGGCCAGTATCACGGATGTCCAGACATCACCTTCTTCTCCTCACCTCCAGTGCACGGAACACTTCGAAGATATCACGTCCATCCCGCAGCATGGTTGCATAGACTTCCTAATTCGATCTCGTTTGAAGAAGGAGCGCTTTTGGAACCTTTGTCCGTGGCGTTGGCTGGGATCGATCGATCTGGATTGAGGATGGGAGATCCGCTTGTGATTTGTGGTGCGGGACCGATTGGGATGGTATCTTTACTTTCTGCGCACGCGGCGGGTGCTGCGCCGATTGTTATAACGGATTTGGACGAGAGTCGATTGAAGATGGCGAAGGCACTTGTTCCGAGGGTGAGGACTGTGCTTGTGAAGAGGGAGGAGAGTCCAGAGGAGATTGCTGGTGGTGTGAAAGCTGCGTTGGGCCAGGAGGCGAAGCTGGTGATTGAGTGTACGGGTGTCCAATCCAGTATTTGGTCAGGCATATACGTGAGTATACACGACCGACATTTTTTTCGAAAAAGATATTGATCACCACATAGGCCACAAGATTCGGAGGCACAGTCTTCATCATCGGCGTCGGCAAAGACAAACAAGAGATCCCATTCATGTACGCCTCATTCCGAGAGATCGACATCAGATTTCAATTCCGGTGAGTGCGTCACAGCTTGAATGCATCCTCTTGGAAACAAGGTGTAGCTGACACAAGGATGTGCGCAGTTATCGCGAGACGTACCCCAAAGCGATCATGCTTGTCTCAGAAGGCCTGATCAATCTCAAGCCGCTGGTCACCCACCGCTATACTTTGGAGCAAGCACAGGAGGCTTTCACAACGGCTTCAACTCCTTCGGCGAGTGCAGTGAAAGTGCAGCTTCTTGATTGAGTGACTGCAAAGACTTTGTCCATGAGATGAGGTGTGGGGCGCGCAATTCGCATACGACCTTCGTGATCAGCCATAGAGAGTCATTCCTCATCCCCGTCGTCGTTCACCAGGTCCGAGATCCTGATTTTGCTTCTTACTCCTGGCATTTCGTGGGGTGCCCAGCGTTCTATTGCACCGACACTCTCCTTGAGCGTGAAGTTTGGATTGGTTTCGTCGTCTTCCAGCATGCGTGGTGTACCGCTTCCTACAGCCATGATTCTATCGGACCATCTCATGAGTCGCTTGACCAGATGTGGAAATTCCAATGCTTTCATGCCGCCTCGCATCTCTATCATTCGCTTCTGTGCGGGTCTATGCACGTGACTCGAGGCATATTTGTCGCCGTACATGTGCTCGTGAAGAGCAATTCGTCCGACTGCCAAAATAAGAGCATCGGAGCAGGAGCGAGTGGGGTCGCCGAGTGCATCGTTGATGGCCGTGATGGCTTCTTGACGTAGCCAGTACATTATTTCAGGCGGCATGGAGCCCAGTCTGATCATGTCTCCCGACCCGAACAGTAGCCTCACATAGAAGAGCGCCGGCTCGGCGAGCGAGGTCTGCGTCATGAACCATTCCCATTTGACGCCCTGGTCGGCGGTAATTTTCAGCGCCGGCCAGCCACGCGGTGCATAGACAGTCATCATGTGGTGAAGGATCAGGTCGAAGCAAGGCTGGTATTGAACAGGATAGAGATTGAAAGGGTCGATCCTCGCTCGTGAGGGACTTGAAGCTGGCGAAGTTGGCGGTGTGATGATGGCCGCCATATTGCCGCTGAACTCCATCGGCTTCTCCGAGCCATCTGCCATTCGTTTGCTTCGAGCAGGCACAATGGCGTCGGAACTTGATGCCGCTCCCATGGGCGCATTAGCCACTCGTCGCTTTGGCCGAGATTGGCGACCATCGCACGGCAGCGTCGGATTGTCGCCATGGTGATGACCAGCTTTCGCCTTCAGACGCGCGAAGGCTGTGCGATAAAGCTGTATGGATGAGCCAATGCGTTCCGAGCGCTGTTCGATGGCAGTGCCGAGCAAAGTTGCTTTCGGAGCTGCAGATGCTGAAGATGGTGCGGCTGTCGGTTCAGGGCGAGGTGGACCGTACACCCGGGGTCTCTTGGCAACAGTGGCAGAGGCAGAGGCAGAGGCAGAGGCAGAGGCAGAGGCAGAGGCATTGGTAGCTGTAGCTGTAGCTGTAGCTGTGTTGCTCGTCGGTGGCGACGGCTGCTTCGCCTGTCTACGCTTCGGCTGCTGCTGCGGCTGCTCGACGAGGAAAGCGCGCTGGCCACTGCCCGAGCTTTCAAGCTGTTCGAAGATCTTCTTCCGCCGTTGCGGCCATGACTTGAGCGCCGCCACGGAACGCACGCGCTTCTTGTTGGCCGCATTGGAGGCGGCATTCGGATCACTGGTCGTCACAATGAAGTCCTAGGCGGGCAATAATCATCAGGGCATCGCTCCGCGCAGCTTACACACGTGTGCTTTCTTCGCATCACTCACAATCTGCGGCTTCTTCTTCTCTTCGCCCGGCGTCTTGTCTTGCTCGTGGCGTCGCTCATCTTGCATCGCATCAGTCAGCACGGTCGGAGTGCTGCCCGGGAAAGCAAGAGCAGCGAAGGGCATCTTTTTTCGGCGTGAAGATAGAGCAAGGTGCCGCACTGCGCTGCGCTGCACTGCACTGCACTGCTGCTGATTGCCGCTGGGATGTCGGATGGATGGTCAAGGCACAGCTGGGGCCCAAAGAGCTAGGTACCCTATCCTACAAGGTGTTGTCGTTGTCATTGGTTGTCGACCAATCCCTTGTCCGACCGCGCGCTATGATTCGAGTTCTTGCTGCTTGCTTCCGTCCTCGTGCATCAACGACATCTGTACCTGTCTACCTGTTCTGCTCCACTTCCATCACATTTGACCTCAGGAACTTGCTACACTAGAATACGCCAAGCCGAACCCCCACTAGAACAGGCGGCCCACCATTCCGTCCCAATGCCGCAGCCCATGCGGCTTTGATAATTGTCAAACGCTCCAGGATAAACGTTAAACGCGGAATACGCCGAGCATGACTAAGATCGCCATTTCTATATAGAATCGTATAGCAGCACCGATTCTCGAATAGATAATAGTAACTACGTATTAGAGAGGTAAGGGAATATCGAGGAAATAAGGAAATATAAAGATTTACGGTATATAGGGTTGTTTTATAGTAGAATCCGGATAGCTATTGTTCTACCTATTGCTATAGCATATGCCTAGCGTACCTATACTGTCTTAGTAGTAAATGCGGGTCTATAACATTCTTAGGGTAGTAGATAAAGCTATTATAGTTTACTAGACTATAGTTAAAGATTACCTACCCTCTTAGTACGTAGAGGGTATTGCTATTACTACTACTATATTAATAGTAGCTTGCTAGCGGTTGTATCTATATTGTCGACGCCGGCGGAGCGAGTAAGCTTACTAGTAGAAGTATAGGGTATTATATCGGCGCCGGTAGAGCGGTTAAAGGTAGTAGAGCGGCTAGTATCTATAAAGGTGTAGGCATATAGTCGCTTATATTATAATACGTATTTCTAGGTCCGTAGTAATAGACACTATAGGCTCTATTGTTAGCTTTGCAACTATAGCGGCCTCTATAACCTGCCTTATAATAATAGCGTTGCTTTTTAATTGTTACTATTGCTAGAAGTAATAGCGGAGGCTCTTATCTACTAGGTATAGCTTATCGTTGCCGCTCTACTAGATTAATATAGACTCGAGCCGGTACTATACCTAGTAGTAGTATCGCTCTATAGGTTAGATTAATGCGCTTAGTACTAGTTAGATTACGACCTATACTATTATTGCCTTGCTCTCTTTTATAGGCGATATTTGTACGCTTCTTAGCTCTCTTCCGTAGCTTAATAATACGGCTATTTAAGTCCTTCTACTTGCCGCTAGGTATAAGCTAGTAGCTATCGAAGTCGTCTACTTCTAGCACTCGTATACCCTTACTTTATAGCATCTCTCTTATTAGACAGCGATAAGGTATACCTATTGTATAGCGGAAGCGTATACTATACGGTTTAGGTTAGAATTCGGCGTCCTTCTTACCCTTCTTAATCTCTTCCTTAGCTAATTCTATCTACTTCTTAGCTAGGTTAAGTACGTAGCGTATAATAATCCGGACGACTCGTTAATAGAATCTGTCTATTATACAGACTACAAGGCCTATATTCGCCTCTATAGTATAGCGCTCCTTCTAGCGGTCGATTTAGTAGTCCTAATATAGCTCTATCCGCTTTATAAAGGTAAGGATGTCGGCCTTCGAGGATGTAAGCTATAACTTAATGCCTACGTAGGTACCTTTAATAGGGGACGTTGTCTCGTTGCTATAGTACTTATTGCGGTTAGTCTAAGCCTTTATACACTTCTTACGATAAGGCTACTATTAGTCTTCGAGATAAGAAGCTATCTCAAACTAGCTTTAGTCCTTAACCGCCTTCTTCTTAATCTCCTTTAGTATAGTAGCAAAAGCGGCTTTAGACGGTGCGTTAACGGCAGAGTAGAATGCGGCTATAAATTCCTCGCCTATAGGAGACAAATTAAAGCGCTTAGTCTCGTAGTTCTTAACTACTCTAAGAAGGCGCTTACAGTTAACAGTAACGGCCTTGTTTAGGTACTATTTATAGAGCTGTATAGGTACCTAAGGGAACAAGAGCTTGCTAGCATTAATTAATGCTAAGTCTCTATCGTATAGCATAATTTCCGGCTTATTAATCCTAGCTTCTAGTAGCAATTCAAATAGGCACTAGAAGGCTATTAGATAGGCTTCTTCTATCTAGTTTAGTATAAGCATTATTGCTAATAGAGCCGTTATATTAAATCTAGTAAGGAAGCTGAAGTTAAGAAGCGGTAGGCTATAATCTATTACGTTGTAGGTATAGTCTCTAAGAAGGACTTTAGGGTAAGAACGATAGGCCTCTATTATTATAAGGTAGGCGAAGAAGATCTATTAAAGACGGCTATTACGGACGCCCTTACGGACGAAGAATCCTTTATATTCTAATAGCTAAAGAGCCTTCTTAACTAGTGTCTTGCTACTAAGGTCTATCGCTCTTACTCGTACCTAGCAGTTATAGATATCTCTTAGTATTTAAGAAGGTGTTTCTTTACCTTCTTTCGTAAAGCGCTTTTTATAGAGATTGCGGTATACTCTCGCTAATAGACCGGAAGCGTATAGAGTAACTAAATAGTCTAGTATTATAGATTTCCGCTCTATTCGGTAGTGCTAAGGAAGGCTAATTAGGTCGATAGGAGGGTAGTTATAAGCGGCGTTATTACTAAGGCGAAGAGACTACGATAGTGCCTCTTCTACGTCTTCGTCGAAGAGGCTTAGTGCTATTAGTATAAACGTATGCTAACAACTAGTTAATTTAGTGCCTTTGTTCCTGCGCTTCTTATAGATACGCTATCTACCGACACGCTTAGTTTAAGTCGCCTTTATTACCGCTAGTCGCTTCCTCGTAGCTCCTTTGCTATAGGCGTAGAAGATACGCTATAACTGCCTACGTAAGTTTAATTTTGTCGCCTAGCGCTTAATCTCGTATCTATTGTCGCGAGTAAATTTAATTATCTAATTCTAACCTTCTTCTAGCGTACTAAAGGCCTTCGCTTGCGGCGGTAAAGCAATCTCTTTAAACAACTCGAGGGTTACTCGCGGCGCTACTATATCGCTATCTTTAGTAGAAGCCGCGTCTTTATTATTACCTTCTTTATTAACCTAACTATCCTTATTACCTACGGCTTCCGCGGCCGCCTCTAGATCGTTATCTATCTCTACCTACTCGGCTTTATTAATCTTCTACTAACTTAGAAGCCTAGGTCGCGTTTCTACCGTATATATCGCGTTAATCTCGTCGTCGCCGTAAGCTAGTCGCTCTTCGTTCTCTAGGTCGCGAATAGCTTTAGTATCAGTTAGAGGGAAGTCGCTATCGAGAAATTCAGACTTATAGTAGTTAAGAGGCGCTATAGCCTTATCTACGAGGTCTATAGTAGCTATAACTATCGATAGTAAGAGGTAGAAAGAGATAGATTCGAAGGGTAAGGAACGCGTAGGAAAACGCGTCTCGGAAACTACTAAAATAGCGCGGTATGCCCGATCTGGCTCCCGGGCGCGATTTGCCCTCGAAACCGCTAGATTACCGCGCAAAAATAAGGGTTAGGAACACCTCTCGAATATAGATACTACTGGATACGGTTCTACACGTTCAAAATGCCTCTGTCTAACCAATCTACATACAAATAGCCATTTCCATAGTGAAAGGCGTATTCCGGCGTATTCCGCGTTTGACGTTTATCCTGGAGCGTTTAACAATTATCAAAGCCGCAGCCCATGTCTAGAACTCATGCCCCCAGGCGAATGGTACAATTCCGTGTGGAGACGTTCGTCTTCCCAATGATCAGCTGCAATTTATCGGAAGATCATAGATTGCCATTGCCGCTGTTGCGTTGAAAGACATGCCATGTGCATTGATTCGCAAGCCCACTTTGAACCGCCTCGATGCGCTGCCTCGGAAATCTCCACACTTCTGACGATGGGCATACATCTTGTGCCACGCCACACAAAGACGGGTTTCACCTTCATTTCTTCGCCCGCACTTCAGGAACTATCCACCAATCGTCATGTCTCTTTCCACCTGGTGGCTGGATGTTTACTTCAGCGTACCTTCTCAGGCTTACCGCGCTGGAGGAGTTGTGGTCGCTGACATTGTGGCTCGCACGAATCTGCTCCAGTCGTGCCAGTGTGGTGCTCACCGCTATGCAAACCACAAACAGCGGCTTGTGTTGTTTCTTCGCCTCCTCATCCGCTGAAGCCTTAAGCCTTTCCAGACATTTCTTGGCCTCCGCGACGGATCTCTTGATTGCAGAGTTGGTGCTGTCAAAAGGAATATGTGCGCTTCGACCAGTAGCGGACGCATAGAGCTTGTCTGCTCCCGGTATCACATCGGTCTGCATGCCCAGGAACGGCTTCATTCTCGCCTCGTATTGCTCCTCGACCTTGAAGTAATTCTTATGATGGCGTCGATCGATCAGCCCGCAACATTGCAAGTACTTGTATAGCAAAGACAAAGCCTGGGCAAGCAGTTGAGTTGCAGTGCACAGCGATATCTCGCACTCCTTCCAAGCCTGAGCCGCTTTTATCCGAGCGCGGAAGATCGGTTGATAGCTCTCTGCTCCAGGACAAACATGGAGCTGATACTGTATTGCCTCGAGGTGCATTCTCCGCCTCTCCGCAAACCACCCTAGCAGTTCGTACATGATTCCGAGCTCATCAGGTTGAAAGAGATCGGTTTCGAATCCTGTCTGAACGGTCCACTCGCAGATTTGGAGCTTCTGAAGCTTGGTCCATAGGGTGAGCGGCCCAAAGGTTGCATTACCACATCGGAAGGAGCGTGCTGCTATGAAATTGAGCTCTTCGTCGAATTCTCTGGCTTTCCCTTCCAATTCGTCCCACAGGATCGTAGCCTGAGTGAGCATCCGTCTCATCCGTGATCGGTTCTGACAGACCATTCGATAAAGGTTAATGTAGTCACCCAAGGCCTGCGACATGAAGTCCAAAAAAATCCTTGATGTTTTGTGCCGCTTATCCGTTGGCATCTCTATAGTAAATGAGTCTCTCTCAGCAATCCAGTCCCCAGGGAGCACTTTCTCGCGTATGTCTGCAAGCAGAAGCTCCGTGGCACCACCGTCATGGTCACCCCCTTCTTCCCAGATCAAGCTCTCCTGCATCTTGGCTCGCGCCAGTGTGACAGGTTCAGGCAGCCGATAGCCGAAGCTCCAAGTCGATCTCAGGAGACTGATGGGATGTCTCACAAAGTCGCTACAGCTAAGTTGCTGCGCTGCAATGACATCGTCACACATTTGACGCCACTGCGTAAGAGCATCTTTCAGAGCTAGTTTTGGCATCGGCCGAGGAGGAGTACTCGTGGCCAATTGTCGCTGGACCTTGTCTGAGAATGCCTCGTAACATTCTTCGCTTGACTGAGGTAGCAGCATGAGGTCCACAAGTTCGGCCCTGAGCCGTGCCCAGTAGTCCTGAGCAAGAGGTAGAGGTTCGTCGAAGCAGAACAACATCTCTTTCCGTATTGACAAGCGAAGATTTATTTGCTCGACCAAGCTGCGGTTTAGAGCAGATTCTTCGAGCCATGTTATCGCATCCATGAGTAAAGTCAAGGCTTCTTGTGGTCCCAACTGTATGCAAAGGTCGCGTCCAAAAAGAGAGGTGACAAAGTCCTCTTCCTCAAAGTAGATCTGGCTCTGAATACATCTCAAGGCAAGGTCGCAAGTCTTTAGAACAGCGATGCAGTATGCGTGAAGTACTTTATGTACCAGAGGTTGTTTATGCCCACCATTGGGGACGAAGTCGAAAGGATATGGTTTTCTGTCGGAGTTAGCTTTGCACTGGAAGGCATCCAATTCCGCCACGCCATTCTTGGAGATGGCCCAAGCAGACATTGACACATTTGTCGTGACGCACCTGTTCTCCGGATCTATCAAGCGGAAAATGTGCAGAGACGTGAACACGTTCTGGGAAAGGGGGTATCCTGCTTGGAAAAGCATCTCTAGTCTCAAAAGCTCATCCATGATCCAGATGACTTGTTCCGGTGGGAGGTCTTGGGATGGATCAAAATCTGCCTCAAATGTATCGCCGGGTGGCACATGGCCACTGTCCATCTTATCGTCCATAATCTAAACCAGTGCTTCAGCGAGATATTTCAGAGCTGGACATGGCCGAACATACCTCAAGCGCGCCGACCGATTCGAACAGTGTGAAATCCTCATCCTTGATGAGCTCTCCAGGTCTGAGTCGTTCGCTTGCTTTGAAAAACTGGTCTGTGATGTCTAGAATTCTTCTCTGGGGTACGTGCTGTGGTCGCCCTTGCCTCATTTGGTTTGCTTCTTGGAGTATCCGAGTTGCTGCATCTGTAGAACTTGAGATGCCTTCGCTGATGCCATTTTCCGGCGTAGACATAGTCGTCCGTGGCAATTATGTCGCTGCTTGGGAGTTTCTTTACAAATGACGGCCGGCCACTTCTTCATGTGCCTGTACGCTTGTGACGAAACAGAATTTGAACGCTAGGAAACGTCATTTGATCGCACTCACTGCACCAATTGTCTCGAGATAAACGCTTGACAAGTTAATGAAACTGACAGTGACAGAAGGCGGTGCGTTGCCCTCAGGGCAAATTCTGTTGCGCGTAGAGAATGAGCGAGTTGAAAATTGGGGTTGAAGAGCGTGAAGCTCGGCATATCGAAAAAGCTTTGGCCTCTGCCACCTGCTGCTGTGATTGCTTCAGACGGCTCTATATATACACGGTCACTGGCAGCTTCCAGCACATAACAAACTGCCCTCTATGTCTTGCAGCTGAACTTGTGATTTGCGCCCGTCTCTGGCCACAAGTTCCTATCTCCGTCGCGCCTCAGCTACCCTACCCACCCACTCCTCATCCTCTACGAAGCCTGCTGACCAGCCTGCTGTGAAATAGCCTCCTGGTTTGCGGCCTCAAGAGATCGGACTTCTTGCTGCTTGCCGTTCTGTCGCACAAATTGTCAGTCGTGTCCTCACAACAGCACTCTATCCCGATCCGAGAGGTGTATTCCTCCCCAGGCATTCATTGTACGCACCTCCCACTTGGCGAACCTGAGGTCCATCTCTCCTCTTCTCTCAGCAGCAATTCTCTTGTCCTCCTTCAGTGAGCGACGGACAACGCGCGAGGCGACCGCAAGGTAGCGGTTGTAGCTGTGATGATGTATGTTAGCACTGCTCCTAGACTCCGTGTCGTGCGCCGGGAGCGCCAATGTCGGGTTTGCACGTACGTGATGCCTGCTGCTTTCCACGCGAATGCCATTGTGTCGGTCTGAAGGTGTGTGTGTGTCTGTCTGGTGTGGTGTCGAGGTGCTGCAAGTGCTTGAGATCCAAGGTGCAGCTTTGGATGTTCTGGTCCACTTACCGACATCCGACCAAAGCCACGTGACAACTGAATGCGAAAGGAAAAACGTGGCAACACATATCATTGAGCGCTTTGTATTGGTACAGCTCACTATTGCGTCTGATCTCACAAAGTGACCTCTATAATATTGTATATTTACACACGCAGACCGATCTCCTCCGCATAAGGCAGCTCGTAAAGGTCACCAACTGCGCTGACGGAAGCCTTGTTCTCGAGCGCCTCCTTTGCGACCTGCTGCACCTTCTCTGCTGTTACGCCATCCACGGCAGATGCAACGCTATCAATCTGGTACGGCTTGCCATTACGGATGAGGCCAGCACCAGTGTATTCAATGCCGGCGTGTGTGGTTTGACCGAATTCAAGCTCCTTGAATTTGGCGAGAGCCTTAGCTTTCCGGAAGTCTTCTGCGTTGACACCAGAAGCAATGCCCTTCAAAGCCTCAACAGCCTTTGGTGCGACTGCGTTGATGTCCTTGGCAGATCCGTTGAAGCTGATAGCGAGGAGGCCGGCGTCGGTGTAGGTGTGCGACTTGGTAGAAACGGAGAGCTGAGGAGTGCCGGCCTTGGCCCTGGCAAGCAGAGAGAAGCCAGGGCTCCACTTGATGCTAGTCTCACCACCAAGCAGAGCAGCGAGGACCGCAACTTCTGGCTTGTAGAAAGAACCGGTGGCAGAGCTTGAGCCAGGGAAAGCAAGAATGAGGGAGTTGCCAGAAGCGTGTGCAATGCGCTCCTCACCGCCGTAGTACTTGGCTTGCTCGGACTTGAGCTCGACAGCAGGCGATGCTGGGATGCCTTCGCTGAAGAATTGGCCGACCCACTTGGTGAAGTCGCTGTGTTCAACACCGTTTCCGACGATAGCGAAGTTTGGCTTTGCGTAGGCTGAAGCAGCGAATTCGGCAAGAGTCTGCTCGTCGACGTACTTCTTGAATGGAATAGTGGAAGCTGGGTGGAGAGGTGCACCAAGACCACGGTGGAAGGCAAGGCCGTGGACGCTGTCCTGGGCAAGCGAGAGTGTGTTTCCGAGGTGCTTCTTCATGCCCAGTTCCATGAGCGGCTGGATCTCCTCGTGAATCACATGTGCTATATCAGCATTAGTGTCGATTTCTGGTCTTCCTTCCATCTTGCACCAATCTTACGCTCAATCTTTGACATGCTTGCGACTTCTGCGAGGAGTTCGAGAAAATAAGGAAGGTCATCGCGGAGGAACTTGGCTCCAACAACGAGGTTTTCGCGAGTGTGGTAGCTTTGCAGCTCAGCGCCGAGCAGTTCAGATTCGCGTTGTATCCGTAGTGTCGATCTGCGTGCGGTGCTCTAGAGTTCGCACACCATTAGATGCATGCTTCCTACTTCCGGCTGCCATGCTCTCTCACCTTAAACGCGTAGCGGTCCAATGCTTCTGATAGACCGGGCCACGTCTCGTATCTGGTACCGGCTTTCGCGACGATAGCTACGGTCGAGACAGGGCCGGCTTGATCTCTGCTCGCAATCTTGATGCCATTGGAGTCCGCTTGCTGGTATTGAAAAGTTCCTGACGCAGCAGCGTAGCCTCTGGATTGTTGTGAAGCCTGGCGGACGGCCCGCTGAGCCTGCCGAGCAACAGCAGAGCGAGCAATCATGGTGTGTCGGTAGGGCCTCGCGGGTGGGCGGTTCAATGGCACTCAATGGGAGAATGGCAGTGCTCGAGGCCTCGTCGAGCGAGCTTGTGATGCTGGAAGACCGAATGTAATGGGTGCAGCCGATTGGTCGACGGCGGAGTGAGGACGCCGCGCAGCGGGCCACCGCTGAAGTACTTTGCTCACGAGCTGCGATTCAAAGCACCGACTTTCAATTATTACATCTCGCGAGAACACTCACGAGCCGGCTCCATGAAACGTCGACGGTAGCAATTCGCCAACTCTTGACGACGTGAGAGGTCTCAAGAGTTCCCAACACACATCGCACTATGGCACAGGTACATCTCGCCTCGCTGAAAATGCTCTGGCGCCCGCAAGCCACCCATGCAGAGCAGTGGAATGCGAGCACAGTAATGACAGCGACTGACATGGCGTGCCACACAGCGACTGCAAGAACTCTGCGCACTGCTCATCGAAGAGTCGTGCGGCCATCTCTCTTCCGTATGCACCTCGTCGTCGCCGTCCATACAGCGACCCGCGCTAACCACACCGCAAGCAAATCTTCCTGGCCCTCGCAGACAACGGACGTCTCACTCGCTGGCAGCTGCAACAGACCACCCGCATACCTGCTCGACAACTGAGACATGCTCTCGCCGTCCTGATCCAGCAGCACCTCCTCCTGCACAACACCACCGAAGAAGGCCTTACCTTCTACCACGTCGACTGGCGCAATGCCTACTACACCCTTCGCTCCAACTCCATTATCTCCCTGACCCGCGACCGATATGGTGAGAGCGCTGCCAAAATTGTTACCAGTCTGATACAGCTTGGACACGCGCGTGTCGGGGATCTTGCTCAAGCATTCGATTTCACTTCGACTACGAAGCGGGACAGCGCGGTCGATTCGTGTAACGAACATGTGAACTGCGAGGCACTGGTCAATGGTGCCCATGCTCATGCTCATACCGGACATGATAGCGGCAAGATCACCACGCTCGGACACTTCCACGCCACTCTTCGCACTTTGCTGAAGGCAGGTCTTCTGAAGAAGATCAGCAAGCGGTCGTACCTGCCAGCTGCCGACCTTGAAGCCGAGATCGAGGAACTTGTCATCCAGGATCAGTTTCCTGATCGCAAGATCACCGGCCCTAAGAAGCAAGCGGAATTCAAGCTTGCTGTCAACACTCTCAAGCGCAAGTGGCGACAAGCGAACGACTATTCCGACCATCGTGACCTTGTTTCCAGCGGTAGCATCAGACGTCCAGGCAATCAATCCGCTAAGCGCGTCAAGTTGAATGGCTCACTGTCAAACGGTGTCGTACATCACGATGATTCGGATGCAGATGAATCCGCCCCTAAGCTCCCGGTACTGTGTTGTGCTATCCCAGCGCACGGCTCCGTTGCTGACACTGTGTAGAATGAGATGGTCTTGAGAGTGAACTATGCGCAATTCAATCTAGCACTGCGTAGCAAACGCCTGGAAGACCTCGCTGAACCATACCTTGGAGGCGTTACTGCTGCTGTCTACGCGGCACTTCTGCGAGCGCTTGAGGGTAAGTTGAAGGCTCGCGATGATGACGTGAAAGAAGAGCGCGAGGACGAGGATGAAGACGACCACCAACCGTCTGCGTCAGTGAGTGAAATAGCTGAGGTTCTTGACCCGACCGTCGACTTGACACTTGGAGTCGTCGGCGCGGCGGACGAGTTTCACCTATCCAACGGCGATAGCAAAAAGCCGAAGAAGCTGGTGCCAGACAAAGACTTTGGCAATATCGGCATCAAGATGGAGGTAGACGACGATGACCACCCGGTCGTCGGCTTTTCGTCATATCACGCCCGGGCGCAGAAGCTCGCACTTATCGAAGAGCATCTCAAGCTGCTGCACGAACATCCAAAGACTTTCTGCGTACCCACCAGAGGTTCTGGTGGTGGCGAATGGCGCGTACACTTCTCAGCACTAACGGAAAATCTGATCCAGGCCAACGTTGACATGACAGTGATGGCTCGATTCGGTAAGGTCCACGCGCGATTCGTTCGATTGCTTCGGGAGCGAGGTCGGCTGGACGAGAAGCAGGTGGCTTCATTCTCGATGATGCGTATCAAAGACGTACGCGCCATTCTCACAGAGCTCAAATTCGCAGGCCTGGTCGAAGGTCAAGAAGTGCCAAAGGACAACACGCGGCAGCCCACGCGATCGCTGTATCTATGGTTCCACGACCAAGAACGCGTCGCAGGTATGATCCTGCAGCAGACCTACCAAGCCATGTCGAGGACTCTGCAACGGCTCAAGGTCGAGCGCGAGGGCTACAGGAATGTCATCGAGAAGGCCGAGATGATGGACATGAAGCAAGAAGCATTGGCACAAAACGAACGCGAGGCCCTCATGCAGTGGCGAGAAATCGAAGAAAAGCTTTTGACTCAGTTAGAGCGGATGGACGATGTCGTGGCGTTGTTACGCGATTTCTCTGGGAAGGATACCTCTTTGGTTTCATGATACCAAGTGTTGGATTTATTATGGGATGGAAATGGGGCGGACCGATTGCATAAGCTTGTGCATTGCAAAGGCGTTCTGAATCGAGCGAGACTATCTCTCTGCTCTGCACGCTTGCATTTCTTCGGCGTTGTTCAAAAAACGGGACGCGATACGAGACCATGAATGGGGGCTACGAACGATCGGACTCTCTGGGATGGGATCATTTGGCTGATTTTTGATTTTCTGATCCGGCTGCAAAGGCTCGAGGTGCTAAGGCTATATTGCTTAAAAGGGCTAGCCAGAGTTTATATAGTGAATGCAAATATCACTATTGTACATGCACCGCTTCCGCTGGACTCAGATACACTATGACCACGTTGAGTCCGTCTCCCGTTCTACAGCACGTCGCGAGGTGTGTCAAGGTCGCTAAGCTTCGGGTTCGCTACCGCCATGTTTGATGATGCCGAATGATCAATGTTGATCATTTACGTGTACATATGATGACAGCGATGTTTGTCGTCTGCTCTGCGTATTGAGGTAAGGGCGGTCTCCATCACGTAGGGTGGAAGATCAGTCCTTCTCCCTAGGTAGGATGTAAACCTTTGAAGGATTGGATTTACGCTTGAGGACAGCATCGGCGAAGCAAAGCATCACGCAAGAAGTGAATTTGACAACTCTTTGCTGCACAGTCCTTGTTCTTCTCTTCCTCTTCCTTTACTGACTGCTGCTAACCCGGCTGGTACTTGACTGTGATACATGACCCCGGCCTTTGGAAAAGAACGGTGATCGATATGTCGTAGACAGGAGCTTTGTCCTCAAAGTCTGATGTTTTGGACGTTTAAGTTCGCCCTGAAATTTGGTGTTGCTTGAGCGGTGTATTGCCCTCGGCAGCTGGCTTGTAAGTCGAAGACAACCGCTCATCTACAGAGCAATTGCTGTGCTTGTTCTGAAATTGCCTCGAACCGGCCTCGTGTGGTTGACTGAGATTCCACATTTGTCCGCTCACGACTCCGTTCTGAACGCACAGTGCTGCCATCGCATATGCGGAGTTTGACGCGTGACCTTCTTCATTGGTGCTATAGTATCTGCTCGCTTTTCAGACTTGTACTTGTCTGGTATGTCGCCCATGAGGAGATCTAATCTCAAGCCAGCCAGACAGCCGAAGAGATTTTAGCGAGCGAACTCGCCGCTGCACCTCGAGGATACTATTCTTGTACTGGAGGGTCGCTCAAGCCCTGCATGGTCAGCCGTGCAGCTTCTTGCAGGTTCAGCTTCCAGCCACAGAACGCAAGCCTTGTCAAGGTCTGCGATATACCAGCCAAACGACAAATTCCTTTGATCAATGCGAGTTCTCTATTGAGACTCGAAGTTTCTGATCGTGTCATGTTCAAGGGCAGTGCTTCCACGAAGCGTTCGATGTGGCAACGATCCATTGTGAATCCTGGCCTCTATGGCTTGATCTCAATAATATCGGGCTCGAGTTCTGTTCCACGACGGCTCTCCTCAGATGTGGCCATGCAAAAGGGTATGTCGGTCGCTAATGATGGTGTAGACGATCCCAGAGCGGTCTCGGCCTTCCTACTGGGCTGGAAGCGTGATGTAGCCACAAGAAGAAGCGAAGACTTACTCTTATTTGTCCTGAAGAGACGCGTCAGCCCCTCTCATGTGAACAGAGATATCCACTATGACAACGCACACAATGCATCGGAATTACCCTCAAGAAGTGGTCCAGGTCCAAGTGCGCATAATCAGGCCGGCCGTCAGGCGTCGTTCGTTGCGAAGGATGTCGTCGCCAACAGGGAGAACTTTGCGGGACATGCACCAACGACAAGCCGATGGGCGGGTTGATGAGGAAACGATCCGGCAAATCCATTCCGATGAAGCGCTTCGCCGGAAGTATGAAGGACAAGAACTCGCGTATCTCAATTCTGCCCACAGCGTCCTTGGAGATCTCGAAGAGTCTGATGATGAATGAGGCTGCGACAGAAGTGTGATTGCCACACATGGTGAGTATGCTGATGGAAGCTGTAGTAGTAGTTTTCTGACCAAGGTTCAGATCCGGGGTTGATTGCTGTGGTCAGCACGAGGACAATACCTCGCCATGATGTAAACTGGCTGGGCGGTAATAGAGGGTGCTCGCTCGATTAGACGGGGAAAGTCCAGGGTGGTGGGTGTGGTTGCAGGGCCAACTATATTTCCACGGTCTCTGGAGGCCTGGTGATCTTTGTCAATTTATGGCTAAATAGCAGTCAGAACGCTGTCCATTTTGAACGGGTCATTACAATGCTCACCCATTAAGCTTCTTGATCAAAGCTCCGAGGCTCTCATGAGAGTAATCTTTCTCATTCCACATGTCTCCGTGGTAGACCACTTTCTCGTTCGACTCCTGCCCTCAAGCTTGAGCGTCATCAGACTGTCGGCCGTGTATAAGGCCTGGATGCCAGTAAAAGCGTATTTCTGCCTCTGCCTCCATACCAGCTCATTCTGCGAAGAATCTACCACCTCCGTGACAATTGAAGAGTCTCGGATTTGGCAAAGAGCTTTGGGATGCCATACCACTGTGCCGCGATTCTGCATCTGGAATTACGTCAGAGAAAAAAATGTTGCCGGAAACGAGCTATGCAGCACTGCCCGAGCGAGTATCGCAGTAGCTGAAGGATCGTCATACGTGGATTGCTCAGCATATACCGACATGTCTTCTTCGGAAGCCGTGCCGCAATAGAGATTCAAGATATGCTTCATTACAGTATTGCTCGGCGAGATTCAGACAGTGCCTTCGAGGCCTCTGGATTTGGTGCATAGTCGACATCGTTATTCACATTCCGAGGTCTGTCTGGGTGCATCTTTAATCAATATCTTAAGCTCCAAGAAGAAAATAACTTTCTCCCATGATGAGAGTAGTATGGGAGGTATCCATTTCCACTTCCCGGCCAATGGGCTAGGTGACACGATGATTATTCTGAGATATTCTCCGCACTCCGTGCTTCAATGTCCTTCTTGTGTACCAGGTCTTTACCATCACCACCTCTTGACATGCAATCTGCACCATTTTCAAGACACCCAATTGTCCACGCAGCTATGCCGCACTTGTCCCAAACGCGCCCAGGTAGCGGGTGTAAGCTCGAGGTAGCTCGATGAGCTCCAACCTAGTCAGGAGGCCCATCGTAGCTCGGCGCAGCGCTCGATCGTGCCTGTCTGTCTGCTGTCAAACACGAGAGAACACCTACGGTCTGCCACATATTATAGGCATGCTGGCAATATACTACCAGCATGCTTACTCTCGCCGTCTACCGCGATCCGTGCTGCTTCCTTCGAATATCAGGCCATCGGCGGGCGACCATCTGCCGTCCTCTCAGAGCAGCGGTGTATTGACAAAGCAGTCAACGAGGCGTCAGGCCTTACCGCTTCCGTGGGACTTCGATATCAAGCTCTGGGCTCCGACATGCGCGCGTGCATCCGGTCTGCTCCAATCGAGGATTTTGCTTTGCATTGTCTCACCTCTGACGAACCACGAAGCGTGGAGTCCAAGGCGGACCATGCCGAGCATGACCTCACTCTTCTCTGCGCGAGTCAGCAGCCATGCCTCGCGTAGGCATATTGCACATCATACCGCTCCTGGGGCTTGCCTTCAATGCCTTGGGCTCGGTAGAGTTCATAACACACGTTTCATATCGCGTACTTGTCGTCATCCGAGCATTCGGGCGTTTCTCTTCATGCACCGTTGATGGCGAGGAGATCGACGAGAAGTCGTTGCCGGCAGCAACACGACTCGTAGATAACAGTGAGGTAGGTCCTGATAGTCAAACGGCGCTGTCCTTCTGTTCTAGAATCCTATGCAACGCTACCGGAAGACGCCAGACGCCTCGCCTCACAATCATGCAACTATTCAACAATTCTGCCATCAAGATCGAGCTGTTTCCAAAGAAGAACAAGAAGAACAAGCAGCAAGACCAGGAAGATAATCGAACGCAGCAGAATACAGCTACTTGCACACCTCCAAAGCCAAGGTCTCGTGGCCGACCAAGCACTAGCCCCAAGTCCGCCGACAGACAGCGGAGCGGCTCCAGGAACCCAACGCCCTCATTAGACCATCGTCGCCAGATCAAGGAGCAGGCCAGCTATGATTCGTTATCGTCCCGCAACGGACGGTCCGATCATGAGAATGGCACCTTGAAGATAGCACAGCAGTTTTCAACTCTCCCTGAGGTACACAATGAGGAACCATATCATGCCATTTCCGAGCCTGCAGGTGCTCTGAACCGCGAGTTCTCCTACCAGACAGCTACTGAAATTGGGTCCCTGCAATCTGGACAGCAGACGACATCCTCACAAGAAACCAGACCCGGCCACGGAATTGAGAACACTCGACCTAATTCGGGCCCAGACCTGTACGGCGGTCGTGGGGTGGAACTCCCGCCTAACTCTCCTCTCATCAACAAGCCACCAGAGTCTCCACTCATTGGTACACGTAAAGCTTGGGGCGTGGAACAGCTCGCACCAAACTCGATGTCCAGGCTTGGCACTCACGCTCAACGAAGTCCGAACACCAAGACGAAGATTTCAGAAAACATGGCCAAGGCACTGGCGAGCAAGAAGTCCCGAGAGAGGGTAAGAATGGAGCAGGAACAGGCCGCCATGGCTAAGAAGCAGTCTCATGGCAATCTGAGAGCACTGCACCAAACCAACGGATATGTCGATCGTGCTGCGGCCCCAAGTCCGCCTCCAATGTCACCAGTAAGCAGTGATTCTGACGGGTACAAACCTCAAGCTGCACGTCCTGTTCAGGACGAGAAATCGAAAGAGAATGGTCAATCTGGAGACAGAAGGACCGCCAAAGTGCCAGGAATGGTCAACAACACCACAGCCGAGTCTCGTATTGCAAAGCGCCGATCTGTAGCGGACTTGAACAGCACTGGGAAGACCACAAAGGCCAACAAGCCTGTCTATGCCGATTCGGAAGCCCAGACGAGCCCGGACCTGAAGCGAGACCGTGGACAACCCGACCCAAGCCAAGCACCTCGGTTTGACCGCAACAGCATAAGCAAAATGCCAAGGATGGCACCTGAGCACGAGTACCGATCCGATAAAAGCAGCAAGCGCCGCTCTCGATCCGAAAGCCGCTTACGAGCTCAGCCTCGATCGGAGAGTAAACCAAGGTCCCGTTCTCAGCATCGCCCGAAGCCTTCACAAATCAATGTCCAGGACGCCCAATCACAACGCGACGACCACTATCGCAACCAGACTGGTGTCTCGCCTATGGATTGGGCCTCAAAAGCCGCTGCTGACAGGAAGAGACAATGGAACCACAATTATAATTACAACACATCTTCCAACGACAATTACTCCACGTCGGTCTATACTAATGGTGCTATGCCATCTGTCGATGCTCATGTACAGCAAGGCACACCAGGGAGGAGGGATAGTTTCGGTCGAAGGTCTCCTGAGGATGATGGAGATTATGGCTCGGCGACGATGTATGGAAGCCATAGGATAAGCTATGGTGTAAGTCTACTTGACATGGACGTGGGTGACCGTTCGCTGACGAGAAGCAGAGCCCCAACCCAGCGACGATCTTCGGTAACGCGCTGTATAATGCCTCAGCTGGTATGAGTGCGGCATACAGTGCGCGAGCTGCTGGCAGAGTTTAAGAAATCTCAAGCAAAAACAGGCTCGACTGAGCTTGTCCAAAAGCTGTATCATGTGATTTTTTCGAGCAGTCTGATGGTCGCACCCAATGCTGACAGATCGCCATGGAAGAATGTCTGATATTGACTTCGAGGAGTGTTTCTTTGTGTGACCATATCTGGGCACTTGATTGATCGATGACTGCTGCTGGCAGAGTCATACAGCGGAGCGAGAGCGACAAGGCGTTGGCGGAGTCGGACATGTGACTTTGGAGTCAACTTGTACTATAGGAGGAGTTGACTGGAGTGTGGTGGTATGTGTGATGGCATCGGTTTTGGTCAAATTCTCAAACTCCTCTGCGATCGATGTGACTGGGCCTCTCGTTTACGCCTCTCCTCAAGTGCAAATGACTGAGAATGATCGCGTGGCCTCTATGGCAAAGCCACGGAGCACTTCTCGTATCGGAAGCAAAAGTAGATGATGGCGATATCACCGAGCTATTGAGAGCCTTGCAATCCGATGCGTTCGAGGGCGTAGAAGCAGTTTCAGTTTGCTCTGTTGGCTCGCCTGCTGGTGCAGAGGTCTTTTCCTCGGAGGCAGGTCCCCAGCTTGCCGCTGAATCATTGAGCTTGATGAAAGTTCCCAGCCATTCTGGATTTGAGATCTCGCTCGGCTGGTCGTCGACCAAAACAGTGTCAGATTCCCAGTCTTGACCAGTGATCGTTTCAACCTCTTTCTTCAGGTTTTGTCGATTCGGAGGCCGTAGATGACGCAGCTATTGAAGAAGCCGGCGAAGATGAACGAGCGTTTGACCATCAAATCATACATTAAAATGCAGCTCGTACTTGGTTTTTGGGAGCTTGCTGTCATGTTTTCAGAGGCCCATGTCACAGCAGAGCACCCCTACCGCTAGCATATCACTTGCTTTGATTGCGATTTCTTGCAAATCCCGAGTTGCACCAGCTTCCTCTCGAGCTGCGTTTTGCGATCGTTCGTAGACGCCATTGCTACTTGCGGCGGCGCACTGTTGAATGCGATCGCTATCCGATGCAAATGTCGAGACTCAAATGTTGAGTGCCGCTGGAAGTTCCGAGCAGAGTCACACCGGTCTAGCATGTGAGCTTCGTGCACTGACCTTCCTGAGTGCATAGCTCCACACCGATTCTCGCTTGCCGTCTCCGAAGCTGTCTTGTCAATGAGAGTCGTTCACAAAGGCAACTATGGAAGGGGTGCTGTCCATGTCATTCACATTCTCTCATCATCTATCAACTTCGTGATGAATCCACAGTAGCCGCGAAAATGCAGCCTATAGTATCTCAAAATCCTGAAGCGACCCGTCTTCGTATGAAACGCCCACGCCATGCTAAAGCACAATCCAGCCCATTCGATCCATGACTTCGTCCCTCAGCAATGCTGCAGCGTGGCCGGCTGCTTTCTCATGCCGCCCCAGAAACGCCGTAATGAATGGTGAAAGCTTACTGCAGAAAGACAGCTCGTATGTTCATGTGCTTAAGCAATGTAGCCCAAGTCATCCCCCTCAAGACGCTCGACGTACTCCTTCTCGATCAGAATGTCGATACACTTCTTGATGTCGCTGACCTTGGGAGAGAATCGATTCTTGATCTGAGCGATGGTTTCGGAGACGAGCTGACTGTGCTTCATGGTCTTGCGAGACTTCATTATGCGCACAATTGCAGACTGTACATAAGGTTAGCGCAGGCGTTCGACCAGTTAATGTGCAGAAAGGAACCACATACCTGCATGAGCATCTTGCGGTCTTCCTCGATCGTCTTGTGAGTATCTTCGACCTCCTGCTTCTGCTCAGACTTGATCGCAACGTTCAAGTTGACCTTCAGCTTCTTGTTCTTGAATCCGAGGTTGAGAGTGTACGAGGTGCCGCTTTGTGGTGATGCACCCTCCGGCTTGGCAGTAAGGACCTTCGCCTTGAGCATGATACCAATCGAGGGATCCAGAGTAGCCTTCTCCAGCGAAGTCAGTTCGGCAATCTCATCATACGCAACAGTATCGGAGTCGTTGAACAGGAGCAGGATCGCCATCTGGTAGGTCGAGACCTGGAAGGTATATGGAACCTTGTTCATCTTGACATAATTCGCGCGGATCTCACCCTTGCACAAGTGCCACAGCCACGTGAGCTTTCGACCTCCATGCTTGTGTGTGTAGAAGTTGGAGAAGCGCTCGTACGTCTTGATAATGGCCGTTGGAGGGGAGAAGGGTGTGGTCGGAGGCTGCAGAGGCCAGAAACCAGTACCCAGGATCTGATAGTAGGCATCGACGCCATCCTTGCGATCCTCCTTGTCGATGTTCTCAGCAACCCATGCTTCGTACGAGTTGTTCAGATCTCTAGACGTCTGCATGTCTTGGAACATGCGCTGCAGCTTATTGGTGTATTCGAATCCGGAGGCATCCTTGAGCTTGGCAATCATGCTCGTCTCTGCGTCGCCGCTAGCAGATGTGCTATTGACAAGACGCTTGGCCAAATGACGGGAGTAGAACTTCTGGAAGACGTCCTTATCCTCGATATATTTGAAGATGGTCATGACTTGGCTCAACATCTTCTCCATGTCATCCTCCTCGGTTGCCTTTGTGGACCGCTTAAGCACATTGTCTGCATGCTTAGCGAGCAACTCCGGGGATCGATTCGAGTTCTTTGCGCAGACCTTGTTGCGGTTGACGTATTCCCTGCAAGCGTTGTCGAGACTGCGGACAAACTCAGACTCGCCGGTGAAGGCGTTCTGAACCAGCGCAGCATATTGAGTGTGCACCTCGAGAAGCGCATCGATGTATGCCTTTGGATCAAGGCTCTCGCCTTGGTCGGCGACCTTCTCGACTGCAAGGTATCCAGCTTGACGGACGTGGTTCTCGAAGCGCGTGCGGAGTGGATCGAGTCCATCTTGAATGCGTGCAAGCAATTTGTACATACGCGCCATGTCTTCTTCTCTATCGTTGTCAAGTAGAATCTGGAATTCGTCTCGGAGGGTCGATGCGTGCTTGGCAATGAGCGCATTTTCACAAGTCTTCATGAGAGGCACCATGATCTCCGGCAGAAGGAAAAGAGGCACGCGATCCTTCTCCTCGTCTAGTCGACGCTCTGCCTTCTTCATGTAGTCCACAACGGCGTTTTCAGCCAAGAACTGTTGCGACTCTTTGTCGTAGTATGCGGACGTGGCCTCGAGATATGGCTTCTCGAAATATGTGCGGTAGACATCCAGTGTCGTCTTAGAACTGTCTGCATCGTCGATGCCAAGAGACACGAAAGACTGCACGACATCCTTGATCTTCGACTGCTCAATGGTCTCGCCATTGCGCTGCTTTTCCACCAGGCGGAGGACCGCATCCATGACCGCATTCTGCGTGCTGCCGAACATGTCCTCCTTCCATCGGACCAGGTGCAGCGTGTAGATATCGTAGACGTCTTTCTTGCCCTCATCCATCTCGCGCTTCACCCAGTGGCGGTTCAGGTAGCGGAATAGATGGTTGTTGTACATTCCCGCCTGTGTGTAACGCTTCCACTCCTTGATATAGAAAGTGAGAAGAGCTTCATCTGCGTGGTTGACCATCTCCTCGTGCACGGTCTTCAGGTGCTTCCGCAAGTACTCATTCAGCCTATGGTATAGATCCTCTCCGAGGAGGTGCGCACCGCGGTGATTCGAGTTGAGGTTGCTCTGCTGCACGCCGACGGCTTTTTGGGCAGTACAGAAGTTATGTATACTGGTGTACAGCGACATGTAGGTCTTGAGGTCGACGCCCTCGCTAAGACCGTACATGATGCGCTCCACTCCCCACTCGAGGAAAGCCCAAGTGCCGTTGATATCGTCCTTGTTGGTCGGCATGGGTGGTGGCGGCTGTCGCGCCGCGGTGGCCGCTGCTTTTGACATGGCGGAGGGTGTCGAGGCGGCCGGTCTGGGTGGAGCTGAGGGTGTATTGGCGGAAAGGGAAAGAGAAAATGAAGCTCTTTTATGATTCCGAAGCTTCGCGCGTAGCGAGGAATCACGAAATGGTGAGTGGCGGTGCCTAAGCTGTCCTCCGGCTGTGCAGCTGGATTATTGATGGATGGATGGACGGCCTCAGGCTCAGGCTCAGCGACGGCGCGGATGGTGTATCGCTGCGGCGTTGGAAATCCTCGCAAAGTCGGAGTCGGTGTCAAAGAAAAGAAACAAATCAAAGACTGGCGGGTCTGAGCATATAAACCCCGCGCAGTGGTGCCTGAAGTGCAAGAGAGGTCGAAAGTGAAGAGCGAGAGGCAGTGACGAACTTCGCGCCTGCCGGTCTGTGCGTGAACCATCTGCCTCTGCCTCTCGCGTGCAAGTTCACTCGGCCAGATCGCGACCTTCATATGCATAAGGCCTACATCGATATTCTTCTCACGCACCCAACTGTGAGGAAATTTCTCCTAGTCAATGCTCAAGGTACCCGCCTAAGGCTCGAGTTGAGTACATGTATCGTTTGTACACTCTATGATACAGCTCTATGCTACTGGTACATTTCGGCGAGCTTTTTCATCACTTGTCCGTGCTGCTCCGCCCATCATGCCATGCCTTTGGCACTAGTTCCTCCGTATCGCTGACTGGCTCTGATGTCTGCTTAACAGTTTGTGCGGGCACATCATGTCCTTTGATTGCTGATTCAGGGCTGCTTTCCGTCGACTCCTTCCTCTGAGCGAGGGCCACCTGCGCTCGATCCTCTTCAGCCTGGACTTCTGCTACTTCCTCGTCGTCTAGTTCCGCTCCGTAGATGTCTGGGTGATCTCGGAAGCAGTTTTGCATCGTCTTGAAGTGCTCGATGCAGTCCACGCCCTTAGGTTCCTCCTTGGAGTACACAAAGCAACTGAATGCTGCTCTGAACTGCTCCCCGCAAGGGCCATGTGCCATTCCTCCTAAGCACGGGCAGTCCCAGTTGATCTCCCCAGTCTCCTCGTTGAATGCGCCCTGTTGGTCGGCTTCCTCTTCTAATGCGCCGGCGCCTTCTTGTGCAGCCGGTTCTCCATCTGACACAGCCACTGTCTGCGGCGATTCTGTCTTTTCCTGGAGCTGTGAGGCATGAAGGTTTGCTCTAGCCTGTGCTCGCCGCTGTTCGGCTATTGAGTCGACTGTTCTGTACTGTTCCGATTCGTGTGGCGTCTCGAGTGGTGAATGTACTGCGTCTGGCAAGAATCAGTATCGTTACTCATCTAGATCTATTCACCGCAACTCACATGCGGGTTCTTCTGCGAACACTGATGCTGTATTGTAGTAGTAGACAATCGCTCCAGCTGCAGTCCATCGCAAAGCAGTTCCCTTCCAGCTTCCAGACTTCGCAGATGATGTGCTCGCAAAACGTCGTCCGATTTTCTGTGCTTTGGGAATTGATCTAGCAGCAGATGCCGCTCTAAATGCTGGTCGGAACATCGTAAGTCGTGAGATCCTGAAGGAATGACGAAATGAAAAACAGCCGTACCAATGCGAGGCGCAACAGTGTCGATGTTCTCTGATTGCAGCTTAGAAATGTGCCTTTGCCTGAAGACCGGATGTCGGTTCCAATTGGCTGCGGGCTGAGCTCCGATGTTTATGCAAACCTGGAAGCTTCCTTGCGTTGCACGCGATTCGATTCTCTGCCGACACCTTTCACGTCTCGGCAATCTACCAAATCACGGTCTAGACATGGCCATTCAGAATGGTTCTGCGTGCCACATAAGCAAGATCAGGCTGACGAAGTATCTGGAGCCGGACTCTGGCCACACGTCTTCTAACCCCGAAGTCGCTCTGGTCATTCTCAATTCGCCTATTGACGATCTCGAGTATTTCCGGCGCCTCTTCGATCATGCCTCCTACCGAATATGCGTGGATGGAGGAGCCAATAGGGTGCACGACCTCCTCTTAAAGCACTATCCCAGCTCTGAATATCATGAAGCCCTGGCTCATGCCCTGCCTTCTGCGATTCACGGCGATCTGGACTCCATTAATGAAGACGTTCGTCTCAAATACGAGCAGCTCGGTGTGCCCATAACTCATGATCCCGATCAGTATAGCACCGACTTCGCCAAGGCTGTAAAGACAATCGCGGCCAAAATGCCACAGGTCCGTGATGTGCTTGTGCTGGGCAGCCTTGGTGGACGAGTGGACCACGGTATTGGTTTACTGCACGAGATTTACCGCCAGCAGAAGTTTCACCATCCAGACTTACAATTTTGGTTCTTCTCCGAGGCTAGTGTGACAATTCTGCTGCGACCTGGAACGACAGAGCTTGTCACACCACTCAAAGATGGTTTGATCACCCCCAACATTGGCATTCTGCCACTGTATGGCAAAGCAGTCATTTCAATCGAGGGCTGCGAATGGGACGTTACAGACTGGCCGACCGAACTTGGAGGAGGGCAACTCAGCACGTCGAACCATATTGTGTCCGACCGAGTCTCAATTACTACCGACGTTGATGTGCTTTTTACTGCAGAGCGTAATGGAGGGTGAGGGCGTGACCCGGAGGCGGAGCTTCGAAATTTTGCAAATCACAACACACGAAGGTCGCACTGGTGGAAAGGAGGCTCTCTTTCATCTTTGTGGGAGGTAACACTGCTGAGCCCCAGATTGTCACTTACTGTCAGCCTTGGTGACAGATTTGGCCGCATCTTGTAAGGGCTGCCTACCTTCGCGTTAGATGCGCCTCAGCCTTGCTTGTGCACCGTCACACACGGAACAAGGCACATTAAGACTCCTGGTATCCACAGGGTTGGATCGGTCCAACCTTCTAGGAGGCAACAATGGCGTGCCAAATAGCTTGTAGGACCTACGGACCGGATTCCACGTTGCGTGCGATTGGAAGCAAGCGCCGCGGTCTACTGGCCTACAGTCATGGTCCGGAGCAGATTTCCGACGGATGCTACGATGAGTAGGCATAACCGAGGCTGCTACCTCAGCGGAATGGTCGTGGTCAGTTCGTATGCGGAGGCTGTGAACGAGATGTACAGCCCAGTCAGAATCAGCACGATGAGTCGGGATTCTTCGCCCTGGGGATCTCGTAAAGACGTAAGGCTGCGAACAGCATCAAATCAGAGGTTGAGATTGGATATGGACGTCGACTTGTTCCTGCGTCTTGTGCGAGTTTCACGGTAACGCATGGCCTTCATGCGCGTGCCCGAGGAGCACGAGCACAAGCATGTATATCCACGTTGCAGACGACAACGTCATCAAGATAAAACGTCGGTCACGCAAAATGCTTTGGCATCTTGAAGATTGACGAAGTTGTTCAGCGGTAATAAGATCTGCTACATCTTCATGTGAGAGCACGTTGATCAGTGCCGCGCCACAGACGCTGTGCACGTACAAAAAAGCCTGAAGCTGTCAGCCAGCAAACAAGCTATGGAGTACCTTTTGTCCGAAGGTCTGTAGACTCCCCACTCGGTGGGTGGAATTTTTGTAAATGGAATTTCCGCAAAACTAGGTGAAGCACTATCGCTGTCAAACTGCCTGCATGTGAAAATTGCCTTGAATTTATTTATTAGAACAACTGTATTGCAAAGTGAGTGGCCTGGCGATCCATCGCCCGCCTGCCGAAAGCAAAACCTTGTCAGCAAGGGTCTTTTCCTCTACCGCACCGCACCGCACCGCAGTATCAACTTTGGGAACGGCAACTGCACGACTTCTGTGTGCGCTCCAGACACACAATCTCTCACAGTGCAACTGTTCTCGCCCATTTCCAACATCTCACGCGATTCCCCTGCCAATCAGCGCGCGCTTGCCATTTCCAAACCTGCACGATCCCGCCGCAGTCGACCACCACCTCGAAGGCGTCCGCCGGCCATGGAGCTGTAGACGAGCCGCGGGCGACGAGCTCTGCCATCAAAATTGGGACTGCACACACTTCACTGTTAGTCACCTACTGCATTGCTGTGCGCCGCGCACCGCACATGCTCCGTCGCACGTCTGCCACTCTTGCTAATACCAACATCTTCGGCAGGCACGACTCCCCTACTTAATCTCCGACCCTTGACGTCCACGCCAATCTTTCACCTGTATAGCTGTCGACAAGCTCTCTTTTACCAGAAACATTCATTCCGAGGCGCTTTGCAAATATACTCCGATATGGAATGGCAGCCGCAGCAAGAGAACCTGAGCCAACTGGCTCAGTATCTCCGCGACTCATTGAGTGGACATGACATCCGAGCACAGAAGAATGCTGAGCAAGTGCGTATCCGCTCTGGGCGAATCTTTTGGTCAAGAGATCTATGCTAATGCTCGGATAGATGCTACGGAAAGCCAAAAGCTCTCTGGATATCAACAACTACTTAGTCTACCTCTGCACCACACCAACCTCTACCACCGGACTGAACGAGCAATCATATCATGCTGCACGGAGTGCTGCAGCTATTATGCTCAAAAATAACGTCAAAGCATCTTACCGCACCATCCCGGAAGAGAGCAAAGCATATCTCAAATCTCGTGTGCTACTCGGCCTGCAAGATCGCAATACGCAGATCCGCAACTACATCGGAAATGTCATCACCGAGGTTGTACGACAGGGCGGCATACTAGGATGGACGCAAGTCCTGCCCGACCTCGTCAACATGGTAACGAATCAGAACGGCCGAGCTTCCACCGAGGCACAGGATGGTGCCATGGGTGCGCTATTCAAAATTTGCGAAGATAACAAGAAAGCCCTGGACCAGGAGTATCAAGACCAGCGACCGCTTGCGTATTTGCTACCTGAGCTGCTGAAGTTCACAACAAGTCCAAACTCAAAGGTGAGATCGCGAGCGCTAGGCGCTATCAATATCTTTCTCACCGAGCCTGTGGCTCTTACGGTCCGCGAGAATATCAACGAAATCTTGCCGGCTATCGTGAGATTGTCGTCAGATGACAACGATGACGTACGGCGATTTGTGTGTCGAGCCTTCGCGTTGCTCGCCGACGGGCTGCCTCAGGTGCTTGTCCCACACGTGCAGGGCATCGTCGAGTATACGCTTTCTCAACAAAAGGATGTCCATAACCAAGAGCTTGCGCTAGATGCTGCGGAGTTCTTCTTCGAGGCTAGCAGTAATACAACATTACGAGAGGCACTTGGACCATACCTGGCCCGGATTGTGCCGGTGCTGCTTGACAGCATGATATACAGCGAAGACGATCAGCTCCGACTAGAGGGCGATGAAGACGATGCAGACCTGGAAGATGAAGCCAAGGACATCAAACCCACATTTGCGAAGGAAAAGACTTCAAGAGCAGACACCGCGAGTGGTGCAACCCTAGCCAATGGCCAAAACAAGCCTGCTATCAATGGTTTCGCCTATGAAGATGATGACGACTTGAGCGATGGCGAGATCGATGAGGACGAAGACTTTGATGACATCGATCCCGAGGAGGAATGGAATCTCCGCAAATGCTCAGCAGCCTCTCTTGACAGTCTCGCGAGCCATTTCCATGGCGTAGTGTTTCGCGAAGTCCTGCCATGGTTGATCGAGAATCTCAAGCACAAATACTGGCCCAATCGCGAAGCAGCAGTACTTGCGCTAGGAGCCATTGGACCAGGTTGCATGGACGACATCAAACAACATCTTGCTGAGCTCATACCTTACATGTTGTCACTTCTCAACGATCAGCAGCCGGTCGTGCGCCAGATCACCTGCTGGTCACTCAGTCGATTTGCCTCATGGGCGGCACATGATGAAAGTGCTCCCAAGAATCAGTTTTTCGAGCCCATGATGGAAGGCTTGCTGAACCGTATGCTGGACAGCAACAAGAAAGTCCAAGAGTCTGCAGCCTCGGCATTCGCATCTCTCGAAGAGAAAGCCAAGACTGCGCTGACGCCTTACTGCCACATCATTCTTCAGCAATTTGTGAAGTGCTTCGGGAAGTACAAGGACAAAAATATGTACATCCTTTACGATTGCGTGCAGACTTTAGCAGAGCATGCATCACCCACCCTCGCGCAGCCCGAGAATGTCGACCTTCTCATGCCGGCGATGATAGAGCGTTGGGAGCACGTGCATGACCAATCCCGCGAAATGTTCCCTCTACTGGAATGCTTGTCGTTCGTCGCCACAGCTCTTGGGGCGCAATTCTCCCCGTATGCCGAACCGCTCTTCGCTCGCTGCATTCGCCTCATTCAGCAGAACTTGGAAGAGGGCATCAATGCTGAACAGTCCTTCCTGGATCAGCCAGACAAGGATTTCCTCGTCACAAGCTTAGATTTGCTGAGCAGCATCATTCAAGCACTCAACGAGTCGCAAAGCACCAAGTTGGCAGCCAGTGCTCAGCCAAACATGTTTCAGCTTCTGGCGTTCTGTATGAAGGATAGCAACAATGATGTTCGCCAATCTGCTTACGCCCTTTTGGGAGACTGCGCAATCTACATATTTTCGCAGCTGCAGCCATTCCTGCCTGCGGTCATGGAGATTCTCATCCAGCAACTGGACATCAACGAGCCGACTGAAGATCCCGAGACAGCCTTCAGGGTCATCAACAACGCTTGCTGGTCTTGCGGTGAGATTGCGATGCGGCAGAAAGAAGGCATGGAGCCATACGTTGATCGGCTTCTCGCCAAATTAGCAGTCATCATGTTCAGCGCCGAAGTACCCGACAGTCTCAACGAGAATGCTGCAATTGCCTTGGGCCGTCTCGGCATCGGTTGCCACCAGCAATTGGCACCGCATCTAGCCAACTTTGCGCCACCGTTCTTGCACTCGATGCAAAAGGTCAGCTGGACTGACGAGAAGGGCCACGCCTACAAAGGCTTTGTGAACGTTGTCCTCGATAACCCACAGGCGCTCGAGAAGTGCTTGTTGGATTTCTTCATGGAGATGGCCAATGCTCCCGGCGTCTTCCTCACCGGCATGCAGGATGATGGACCTCTCGCTGGCTTTGAACGCGTTCTGGTACAGTATAAGCAGATGATTGGAGGCGAAGGATTCGACAACTTCCTTCACAACTTGCCACCACCAAAGGAGCAGGCACTGCGCCAGCTGTACTCATTCTAGGGAGGTGATTACTGCATGGTGCAGCCCTCGTATGTCGCCATGGCCTGAGACTCGTGGGTCCGATTCAAATCCATCATTTATCCGACGAGGCGTTTTTGCTTACGATACCAATCTACATAGCGTGGTTCACCGATTGAGTGTTTGATTTTCAGCGTAGCATCTGTTCGCAATAGGCGGCAGCGCAAAAAGGATTTCATGGCGCGGCGTTTGTTTGCATTGCTTCGAAAGCGCAAGGTGGTCTCGCAGTGCATCCAAACGTCTGGAAGTCGATGCTGCGACAAGCTTTGCATGGGAGGAATGTATTTCGAAGTAGCGAAAAGAAGAGACTTGGGAAGACGAGATGAGATATGCCTGATGAGAGGCTAGTAGCATGAGATATGCTACTATTGCTTTTATGATGCCCGAGGAGAAGGGCAGCGCTTTTGGAAGCGAAGATGTATATAGTTAGATAGCTGAGAAGGCATATAGCCTGCAAGAGAGAATGCGGACACACTGCACCAAATGATTTTGTTCTCTTCAACGTCGCTTTGTTTCACGGGCGTCGCGGCATTTCTGCATCAAAGCGCAGGCTATGTTATATGGTTCTACCCAGGGGCCAGCAGATCTTGAGATTGACCATCATCGACACCTCCCCACTTCTGCAAGGCATGCGGAACGTGGCATGGCATGGCATGGCATGACAATGAGAGCCAAGCTGTACAACAATACGGCCACTACTCCTTGACATACAAACAATACCCTATCGACACCGACACCGACCCCGACACCATTGTAGCTAAGAATACAGAACAGAGAACGACGTCGGGACGCTTCATCGTGACCTTGGCAGACGTCGACGTTGCCGAATCAAGACGTGGGCCTAGACGTCAGCACTGGTCCAGGTCCAGGTCCCCGTCCAGGTCCAGGCACTGCGCTGTTGGACTGCCAACTCGGCCTTCAGCATCACACTGCTGCTGAGAGCTGACCACGACTGCTGCCATATCAACGCCTACTATCCTTTCGGTTGCCAAGCACTGGCTGCGGCGACTCCGGCTTGTACGAGTAGGAGTATCGCAATCCGCGCATACATCACGCGAGCCTCACCATCCCCCCTCCGCTTTGAGGCGTGCGGCTCAGGCGGGCAGCACACCACGACGCTGTTCTGACCCGCCAGCACATCGCCATCACGCGACGGCGAACAGCGCCCTACACCAGAGTGAGCGCACAACACTGCCGATGGCGCAGGCTGCGCTGAAAGATGGACATGGCTATGCTCTGCCATCCACCCTGGCCACCGAGTTCAGTACAGGCATTCCCGCGCCGGCCGTGACGGCTGCGAGATCCGCGGTGGAATGGCAGGCTGTGGGTACGCACGATGGACGAGGGCACTGGCACAAGTATCCGGGCAAGACAACATGGCAAGAAGGCCACCAGAGTGTGACGACGCTCGGCCTAGGCTCGACAGGCAAGGGCATTCTAATAGGCATGCTGTCTGCCTTCGGCTCTGCAGCGCTGGTGGGAATCATCATCGCTGCCATCTATTTCTTTCGATACACGAGCCGCGGACGCATCTTCCTCGACCGCATCGGCCGCCCTGGCGAATTCGATGATGAACAGAGTTTCTTGCGGGAGGAAGAGGAGGCCTTGGCGGAGATGGATGACCTGCAGAGGGCAGAATACTTCCGAGCAAAGGGTGAGATTCAACAAGACCGCGCACTATGATACTTGAGGAGGTGCTGACTGAAGCGCAGCATTTGTGCAGCACAACCCGCCCGAGTCCGTACAAACTGATATTTCCTTGTCACAGTTCTTAGCGATCCAAGAGAAAGGCGTTTCAGCATGGGAGTTTGAGCCGGAATTGGAGATAGCGAACTGCTTCGTGGAAGCAAGGACCGAGATTGAGTTCTTCGATTCCGAGTGCAGCGTGCAAAGCAATCTACCGATACCAAAGCAAAACGAAGTATACTACTGGGAGGCGAAGCTATATGATAAACCGGATTCGACTTTGGTCAGCATTGGCGTGTCAACAAAGCCGTACCCGCTGTTCAGACTGCCTGGGTCGCATAAGCACTCCATCGCCTACATGTCGACGGGGCAGAGAAAGTTCAATCAGCCTTTCAATTCGACGAATTACGGACCACCATACGTGCAAGGCGATGTCGTTGGTGTTGGATACAGACCTCGAACGGGCACCATTTTCTTCACAAGAAACGGGAAAAAGCTGGAGGACGTTTGCCATGGCATGAAACTACACAACTTCTTTCCCACCGTTGGCGCGAATGGACCTGCAAATGTGCATGTCAATTTCGGCCAGATGGGATTCGTCTTCATTGAAGCGAATGTCAAGAAGTGGGGCCTTGCGCCTATGACCGGGAGTCTGGCTCCACCGCCGCCATATGGAAGCGAGGCAGGCAGTATCCTTCTCGAAGGAGGGCGTGAAGGCGTAAGAGAGGGACAAGGCTGGATACCGGGCCATGCGCGAACGAGTAGTGCTCAAGTGCGATTGCAAGGTCGGCCGACAAGAAGTCCTGGCCCCGAACGATCGCCCACGGACATCTCGTTAGCTCAGCTGAATTTGATGGACATGCATGAGGAGGAAGATGACGACTATGGGGAGGGCACAAGCGAGGCTGCCAGTAGCCAGGTTCTCATCAACCCAGGGCTGCCATTTGAACCCGCTGATCACCCACCGCCGGATTACGAAAGTCCTTCAGAGCACGAAGACGACGACGACGACGACGACGACGATTCAGACACAACTGCACGGCCGAGCAGTGCAGTAATGCAGCAAGATGAGCAGCGGCGGCTGCTAAACTCAAGCCCACCCATTCCTACCTACGAAGCTGCGGTGAGCGACGTTGAAGCCGGGAGAGGGCGAAGCAGTACGAGGACGAGACCGAGGAGCGAATCATGACAGAGACATATTTCCTTGAATTTTTAGCGCCATGAATCTCTGGAGCATTGGCGTTTGTGGTTTTCCTGGGGCGAGGCACGCATGAGGAAGCTGCATCATGACCACAGGGAGTCAGAAAGCGATGATGTTGTGTTGTGTGGTTGGAATTCTGGTATACCCTGAGTGTAACTTAAGCACGACTGATTGAAACTTGTTTCTTCTAGGAGTAACAGTGGGCTATGAAATGATCGAAAGATATGATGGAAAAGCAGAGATACAGCTTCTTCAGTCGCGCCTTCCACACTCGCCTTCACTTGCCTGACCGGAAGGCGGGAGGGTCCGTCCTCGACGGCCGCCAAGCGCGCGACAGCAAACGCTTTAAGTCACAGTCACCTTTGCGCTTGAGCAAACACTTGTCACAAGCAATTTGCGCATTTGTCGATCGGGACCTGTCGGCTTTTCCCCCAGCGTCAGTTGATATGGCGCCTGATATGAAGCACTTGTTGGGCAAGCTGGCAGGAGTGGATTTGAATGACAATCGCCATCAAGGCGTTCAACAGTAAGCGCGCCACCCATCATACCGCTGTCGCCTGATGTGCAAGCTGACTCTCGTAGATCACGCATGCCCATTTCGGATGGCGTTGAAGTAGGAGACAGTCACCATGACACCTCAGAGTCGCAGTACGGCTTCCAGTATGTATCCCTTGTCCGCCGTGTGATGCGTCGCTAATCAACATTAGATACCCGGACCAGTTGCGCTCATATCGACTTCCGCCCATCAACACCGCACACGGAAAAGTGAGAGAGATCACGGAGCTCTCTGCGTCTGCATCGACATCTGGCTACACCAGCGACTCCGAATCGCTCACTGCCAGCACGCTGTATGTGATACCACTTGATTGAATTGAAACATTCGAGCTGACCGAAATAGATCACCTTCTACGCCGAAGGAGACAGAGTACCGTGTCATTACCCAAATCGCGCCTTCCCTTGTCGCAAATGTCCGGTTCCACCCTACTGTCCCTCGGTATGGCTTGGTCTTCAAGAACTTTGAGAGCGGAGGCACGCATGTCGTCAACTTGCAGTTCATTGACTGCATCTTTGATGAAGGCGTATGCGCCGTCTGCTTTGACGACTGCCAGCTGATGAATGTGACATTTTTGCGATGCGACTTTCGCGGATTCGGGTTCAACAAGGTACAACTGAAGAACAATAAGTTTACCGAATGCGTCTTCCCCAAGGAAGGGGGCTGGAAGAATCGAGAAGTCACCGCAGGGTCCAAATATCAAGGTGCGACATTCACCTCATTTGAAGGAGATACAGTCCCGAAAGAGCTGGATTTTGAACGCCCGGGCCAGGGTATGGACCACAATCAGCACCCTGAGAGCAAAGCGGCATTCCCAAAGCTCAAGGAGTACCAGCAGCGATCAATGAGCGAAGGACAGGCAACAGGTTGGGGAGTTCCGAAGGGCTCTGTCTACGATGAAGGCGAGGAATACGTCAGTGCACCGGCGGTGCTCGATCCGCAGGACCCGGCAGTGACTCTACGCCCGGGTCTTGAGCTGGATAACACACCGTCTCGTGGCTTGAGCATGAAAGCTGGCCTTGGCGAGCGTTACCATCTGGCAATGTTTCGCAATTGCACGTTCGAGAATGTTCGGATTGAAGAATGTTACTTGGACTCTGTCACGTTTGAGAACTGTACCTTCCGCAACTTCACCCTCATCAACGTGGTCATTCGCAACACAGTCTACCAGGATTGCGAGTTCGGCGATTGTGAGTGGAAGAATAGGAGCATACTTCATACGGTGCCCCAACACAGAATGCGCTATCTGCAAAACGAGATCCGTGACGCGAAGCCAAAGCGACTCCTTGATCAGGCGGAGTATGCGAAGCAGAAAGCCAGTCGTAACGAGTACGCGATAGGCCTCGTTTCAAAAGGCGAGGTCGCTTACCGTAACGGACGTCGGATCAATCGAAAGGGCCTTGATCAGACGGCAGCAGTACTGAAAGTGCAGGACTCGTTGGAGCCTGGCGATGTTTCAGACATCGTGGCTGCTCCCGAAGGTGTCAAGAAGGAGGAAGCTACCACGTTCTCCACGCCGAAGTTCTTCTAAGTGATTGTTGGGATTTGGAGGAGAAAAATACAATGGTTCTCCGCTTGAAGACTAGTGTGCTATGCAGGGCATGTTCTCATGAAAAAGGGCTCGAGGGAGATGTTTGCCAGTAGGCAGCTGGTGACTCACACTCGGGCATAGCATAGACGCAGTAGCTCATTCTCCGCTCACAACTTCACTCTGTGCTTCGAGAGTCGTAGTCAAGTCGTTCTGCTCTCTACACATCATGCCGAGCTTTCGCAAGTGAGCTCTGAATCGATTCGAGTGCTCGCTAATCAGCTTCACTCTCTGCCTCGAGTGTCGTAATCAAATTGTTATGTTTCCCATGTATCACGCAGAGATGACGCAGGTGAGGTCTTGGTCGGTCCGGTATGCATAGGGCCTTAGGGATTGATAAAGGTGTTGTCGGCAGCGTGATAGAATTCGGGCCCGCGGAAAGGAAAAGCACTCGCAGTCTTGAGATGATGAATACCGCGCGGCCCGATACTGATTCCATCTCGTCTCGTTCTCGTTCTCGTCGGTCGGTGTGGCGGTGGTGTCGCACCAAGAGAGGGTCCAGCGTAGCTCAGGTTCGGGCCCGAATTTTGAATGTGAGGAGGGAGCGAGCAGTGAAGAAGGAAGAGCTCGCAAGCCGCATTCATGATATATGAAGGAGAGCCTCAGTGGCAATTACGAAACGTCATCAGAAGCACAATACCAGACTTTTGGAAGCAGTGGAAGATTTCACGGTCTCCAACACTCCAACCCATCCAGAACAAGTCCGACGACGCAAACGACCATGTATCAAGCACAAGTCCACTCCTGGGGCTCCAATCCCACATGGACCAAAGTCCCAGACCTACCTCCGCCCGGGCCAGAAGAACTCCAAGTCAAAGTCCTCGCAGCCGGAGTCCCTCGCGTGGTCAGATCTCGAGCATCTGGAAAACACTACTCCTCGGGCTCCCTCCCACACGTCCCCGGCCTCGACGGTATCGGCATCATGACGTCCACGAATCAAAAATGCTATTTCTTCTCCATGACTTCCCCAATCATGTCCGAATACCTGAACCTACCGAAAACTTCCGTCATTCCTTTACCAGATGATACGGATCCCGTACATTTCGCCGCTTCCATCAATCCTGCCATGTCGAGTTGGATGGCGTTGAAAGGCAGGACGAATGGACTGGAGGACGGTTTCACATGTTTGGTTCTTGGTGCGACGAGTGCGAGTGGAAGGTTGGCGATTCCTCTGGCGAGAGCGCTGGGGGCGACGAAGGTTGTCGGTGCTGCAAGGAATCAGCAGACTTTGGATACTCTAGGCCTCGATGCGTCGATCATCATCCAAGACGATGTGGAAAAGACTGATTTCAGCCATCTTGACGATGTGGATGTCATTGTTGATTACGTTTACGGCGCGCTCACGCTTCATCTTTTCCGGTCGCTAAAGACCCCGAAGCCTGTGCAATATGTTCATGTTGGTGGGCTTTCGGGGGAAATGGAGATGAGTGTTCCGGGTGAGATTTTGAGGTCGAAGGACATTACGATTCGTGGGAGTGGGCCGGGAGCGTGGAATATGAAGGCCTTCGTCAAGACGTTGCCAGAATTGTTGGAGGCTGTGTCAAAGGTGCCGAAGCAGGCGACGAAGGTTGCGAAGTTTGAGGATATCGAGAAGAAGTGGGATTATCAGGGGCCGGAAAGGCTGGTGTTCGTGCCTTGAGGGGATGGCTAGGTGACGGAAGTGATGAATTGACCGCAGTGGACGCCTACATAGATAGATCAGTAGTAGTACTTGCATCTCCGCACAAGGTTTAAATCGAGAGAATGAGTGAATATGTGTCATATCTCATATCCAATTTGAGGGCTCCAACGCCGTGCTTGTGATGACGGGATGAAGCACAACTTAGGAAACGGAAATGCAGGGGCCAGCAACGGAGCTGAGTCCTGAAAGTGTAAATCTGGGATTGAGACACTTGTTCGGAAGATGAATGAAAAGTCGAATGAGCTCCGCGATTCGTCGCCTGATCGCTCGTTACTAACACACTGGACACTTTGCACTTACACCACGCAGTCTCTTAGCTTCGAAGGATCTGGAACAGCCATCCCCATCCTCTCGCTCCACGCACACAACTTGCGATGCCTATTTAAAGCTTTACGATCGACCAACCCTCCAACCCACACGATCAACTCGAAGATCGCACACACAGCACCATGCTACCTCCAGGACGGCGGCGCGCTGGCGCAATGTCGCCGCTCATCATACTGATCGGACTTTTCTTGCTATTCGCGACCACAGCCAGAGCCGCAGTTGTAGGCATTGACTTTGGAACACTCAACATCAAAGCTGCACTGGTCAAACCTGGTATCCCACTCGACATCGTCTTAACCAAAGACTCGAAACGGAAAGAGATTGCTGCGCTGGCTTTCAAGCCCAATCGAGACAGCAAAGGCAAGATCGTGGCTGCGGCGGACACTTTTCCAGAGCGAGCCTATGGAGGCGATGCTCTGGCTCTACAAGGGCGTTTTCCAAGCGAAGTATTTCCCAATCTCAAGTTGCTGTTAGGACTACAGCCAGATGAGGAAGGAGCGCAAACGATAGCCACGTACAAGGCCCGTTATCCTGCCCTGCAGGTAGAGCAGGTGAAAGAGCTTGGAACGACCGTCTTCAAGAGCGCGGCTTTTCCAGATGATACCTTTCCATTCAGCGTCGAGGAGCTGGTTGGCATGGAATTGGCGAGCATCAAGCGAAATGCGGAGCATATGGCTGGCAAGAACAGTGTGGTAGAGGATGCAGTCATCACGATACCACCATTCTACACCGCCGATGAGAGACGAGCCATCGTGAACGCTGCCAACTACGCCGGACTAAATGTAATGAGCCTGATCTCTGACGGATTGGCAGTTGGACTGGATTACGCCAAGACTCGCACTTTCCCAGAGGTCACCAAAGGCGAAAGCCCAGAGTACCACCTGGTCTTCGATATGGGTGCAGGATCGACATCTGCTACTCTCTTGCGCTTCCAGAGCAAAAGTGTTAAGGACAGTGGTCGCTTCAACAAGACAGTGCAGGAGGTCGCGGTCCAAGGTGTAGGCTACGACAGGTCTCTTGGAGGCGATGCTCTGAATCACATCATCCTCGATGAGCTTGTCACAGAGCTCACGAAGAAGTCTGATGTCGAAAAGAAAGGAATAACAAGAAAGGACATCAAGGCGAATGGTCGTGCCATGGCTCGTCTCTACAAGGAAGCAGAGAGAGCACGCCAAGTCCTCAGTGCCAACACTGATGTCAACATTGGCCTAGAAGAAATTCTGCCAGATGTCGACTTCCGTACAAAGCTTACAAGAGCGGCTTTCGAGAAGCTGGCAGAAGACTTCGCGGCACGTGTCGAAATCCCCATCACAAAGGCACTAAACATGGCAAAGCTCAGCATGAAAGACGTAAAGTCGGTCATTCTTCATGGTGGCGCCTTACGCACACCCTTTGTTCAGGCCAAGCTTGAAAATGTGGTTGATGATCAAGCAAAACTCAGAAGTAGTGTCAACCCTGATGAGTCGGCGGTGTTTGGTGCAGCATTCAAGGCTGCAGGACTGTCACCAAGTTTCAAGGTCAAGGAGATCCGCGACTCTGATGTTGCAGTTTATGCAACAAGCCTGACGTATGTTGACAGTGGAAGCCAAACTCAGAACCCACTCTTCGAACCGGACTCGCCTGTCGGATCTGGCTCCACCACGAAGCAAGTCAGCTTCAAGGACAAGCAGAACTTTGCATTCGGATTTGTCCAGAATGTCGCCGGCACCGACCGACCAATCTTGAGAGTGACCGCTGACAACCTCACCGAAACGGTAACTGAGCTCAACAAAAGGGCAGGATGCCCTAAAGATGATATGAACACGAAATTCAGTATCAAGCTTGGAGCTCACCATGGATTACCTGATGTCATCGCAGGGAGTGTGAGCTGCGAGACCGATGAGACCGTTAAGAGCGGCACCGTGGGAGATTCTGTGAAGGGCTGGCTTGGTCTCGGCAAGAAGAAGGATCAAGAGCCCCTTGGCGAGGGCTTGGAAGATGATGGCCCTGTTGAACAAGTTGAGGCCACGCCATCGTCTTCTGCAACGACCACCGGCACCAGTATCTCGTCTGAGACTGCCAGCGCGGTACCCAAGAAGCGTGTAGAAGTGATTCCACTCAAATGGTCTACGTCACCAGAAGGACTTCCGCAGCCAGACCCAGCACAGCTGGCGAAGACAACGGACCGATTGAGGGCATTTGATGATTCAGACAGAGCTCGATTACAGCGAGACGAAGCACAAAACGTGCTGGAGGCTTTCACTTACCAAGTCCGCGATTTCCTTGACAACAAGGAGAACATCGCAATCAGCACAGATGCCGAACGTAAACAACTCAGCGCTAAGCTTCAGACCGTGAAAGACTGGATGGAGTCCACCGATCTTCAAAAGGAGACCACCGCTGCATTGAAGGAGAAGTATCAAGAGCTGAAAAGCCTGGTCGATCCTATCAAGACCCGAAAGTCTGAGGGCATTAGTCGACCAGGACTCGTCTCGACGCTTCAAAAGAACCTTGATGATACTAAGAAGCTGATTCTCAAGGCTGAGCAGCAGGTGGAGAAGGCTAAGGCCTCTGCTTCTTCCGCAGCATCGGCAGCAGCATCGAGCGCTACTGCTGCGCCGTCAAGCGATGTAGATGACCTGGAAGAGCCAGAGGTCAGCACTGCTACTCCTTCGCCGAGCAGCGAGCCTAATCCACTGGCAAGCCTAGACCTCAGCGAGATCAACAAGACGTATGAGGAGGTCTCGAAGTGGCTTATTGAGAAGCTCGCTGAGCAGAAGAAACTTCAGCCAAACGACAACCCCGTACTTCTTGTCAAGGACCTCCAGCGCAAAGCGGCCGACATGAAGAGATCAATGGACGACTTGGCTGCCAAGCTCAAAGTCCTCAACAAGCCAAAACCAAAGCCCAAGCCTTCGCCCAAACCAAAGGCTAGCAAGAAGCCAGATCCAGCAGAAGCTGATGAGCCAGCTCCAGCTGAGACGCCAGTAGAAGTTCCGGAAGATGTACCAGTAGAAGAGCTGCCCAGAAATCCAAAGGGCAAGGGTCGACCTGTGAAGGGAGACGAGAGTATTGAAGACATGCTCAACTGGGCCAAGAAAGGCGACCAGAAGCGTGATGAGTTGTAACCTGCATTGTAGCGATAAATATTAAATGAATATAGATGATCACACGCATTGTTATGGTATGCTTACTTGCCTGTTGTGCTACTCACGCAAAGCTGTAAGAGGTCTGTCTGATGGTTTACAAGGACAAGCGAGCATTCAGGCATTCTGCTGTCACAAGGTTGATGGAGATGGAGGGCATGGTTCTCCTCTCGGGTAAGCATTTCCACTTCATCAGGACTGCAGGTCCACCATGCCGTGCAGCACACCAACGTACACATCTACCTACTACATTGATTACTCTCACCAATAAAAAACACTGGAGAGGCTATGTTCTTCAGACAGCCAGCGTCAATAGAAGAACAAGATTGATACCAAGATGGAAGGACGCGTTGCCATTGTAACTGGAGCTTCAGTTCGCGGTCCCACTCTACTGCTACTAGATTGACACATGCTAATTCTCAAGCAGTCCGGCATGGGCGAAGCTCTAACTCGAGAGCTAGTTTCCAAAAACTGGATCGTAGCAATGGCCGACCTTCACGAGAACCCCCAACTCTCCCAAGACCTGCGCAGCAACGCAAAATTCTACCAAACCGATGTCGCCGACTACGAATCCCAAGCCAAAACTTTCCATCAGGTCTTCCAAGACTTCGGAAGAATCGACGCGTTATGCGCAAATGCGGGAATCGTGGATCGCAGCTCGATTTACATTTTAGATGCCAGAGACGAGGATGCTGATACAATTCCCCCGGCTCCAGACCTCATTTGTACCGATGTGGACTATAAAGGTGTCGTCTATGGAACACAGCTCGCGATTCACTTTATGCGGAAAAATTCCCCTCGGCCGGGAGGTGCGATTGTGGCTACGGCATCCATTGCCGGAGTGCATCCTCACCCAACATACCCCGAATACTGCGGCGCCAAAGCCGGAGTCATCGTTTTCGCAAAAGCTATTGCGGGAGTTTTGAAGGCGAAGGAGAATATTCGGATCAATACCGTTTGCCCGGGGATTGTGAGCACGCCGATCATTCCGGCGGAAGTGGTTGCTGTGCAAAAGGATTTTTTGACGCCTGTGAAGACGGTGGTGGATGCTTATGTGAAGTTGTTGGAGGATCCGGCGATTTTTGGGGAGGCGATCGAGTGTTCGGCGACGAAGCATTTTTTGGTGCCCCAGCCGCCGATGTGTAATGGGAGTGTTACGAGGAGGGCGGTGACGGTGTGGGAACCGTTGTTTAAGAGTATGCATCATGAGATTTCGGGGTTGGAAGATGCGATTGCTTGAGGATTGATTGGAATTGAGTGCGGAGCGATTGTATAGTTTGTGGTTTCCGGAACTCACCTTTCTTATAATGGTCGGGCCTCGAATTGACGATCAGCGTAGTACTTATACACCTTCGCACACTTGACCCGCAAGTGCTTGCCTTTCCAGATGAAGTAGATGGCAAAGGACAAGATCACCACACCAATTGCTCCGATGGTGTTGAATGCATTTGTCATGCCGACTCCAGCGATCCATGCCGGCATTGCGAAAACGAAGATTGTGCTGAAAGTATTTCGTACGAAGGTCAGAGCCGTGAGAGCATCTCCAAGGATTTCTATATTGAGGTCAGTATGAAATGATGAAAGCTAGGTTCGAGAGTGGGCATAGACCTACCTCCGTACGCATCTAGCATATAAGTGAGGGCTAGGGACTGCAATGGCGCAGAGCCGAAGTTGCAAAGGCCATATGCTACAGCCACTTGACTCCAATCCCATCCATTGTTCAGTGCATAGCCAAACCACCAAGCTCCAGCCAGTTGAAATGGGATGAAAGGTACGAAAGTGTAGAATCGGACCTCCGGTCCGTAGATGCCATTGTTTGCGCTTTGAGAGCATGACCGCGATATAGTCACTAAGCGGTCCACAGACTATGCTGCCCAGACTACTGCCAATGAATGGAGCCAGACTCATCAGCCCAATCTGGGACGAGTTAAAGTTGTATGGTGGGTCGAGCATATATGTGGAGAGGACGGTTGTCATGACTGTCGACCAGGCAGGCAAGCAGAATCGCGTAGACTAGTGAGCAGAAAAGCACGCCAGGAATCGAGGCCAGAATGAGAAAAGGCTGCCAGGAGTGTCGAGAGAAGCTGTACCAAGATCCAGGTGACGTTGTCGTGAGCGAGAGCTTCTGGAGATACGTCTTCCGTGGAATGTTTGGATTGATGTGTACGACGCTCATGTTGCGATCTGAGCGTGATTCCAATTTTTCATCTGCTTCGATTGGAGGCTCGGCGGCCTTCTGCTTGTAGTCTCCGTGGATGTGGCCAGACACAGCAGGAACGGTTGTGACGCTTCCTTGTCTACCCTCCTGGGTCTCGACATGTGTGAACTTCGTCTCTTCAAAGCCGAGGACGAACATGACCAATTGCAGAGCGAAGAATATTGCGCACCACCACTCAGAACTGAACCCAAGCTCATCGCCGAGAGGACCCCAAGTCGGCGAAGTTGCGTTGATGAAAGCAAATACCATCATGGCGTAGAAGCAGGCAAGGAAGTAATTGATCGTCTTTTGCCATTTTCGGCCAATTCTAGCTTTCAGTCAGTACACTTTGTTCATTGTCTTGTGAGAATCTCCTCACCAGCGGATCGTTTGGGTTATCTGTCGGTCTTGGTTGCAAAACTATCTCTGCATTTTTCTCATCACCGCCTAAAAATTGTGCTAGCTTGACGGTTCCTGGAGGCCAAGCCGGATCGCAGAAGCCATCATAGTCTGCCATTTTGCTGGTCATGAACGGATACTGCGAAGGAAAGTAGTCATACAGAAGAAATCTGGAGCTTCTCTTGCGACGCGAGATATGCCAGTATAGTCCGCTGCACAGAAGGTTCACGCGAGAGTCATTGCTGCATATCGAATCAGTGTAGCGAATGAACTTAGCTGTAGATAGCAGGACTTGCATTCTAGATCCCCTGCTGAGAGGCAAACAGTCCCGGCATATCAATCCAATGGCGTCTGTATAAGAGACAGATAAGGTCCCGCGCAAAAGTCATGCAAGTCATCATGGCGGGGCCAGTATACACTCTCAGCATACGAGGCGCACAGAAGTGGAGCAGTTGGCCCGACGAAGACTTCCGAACTGAAGTGAATGAGCCTTGGCGCCCCTCTTTTGACTGGCGCACCTCAATTCCTAGCTCTTCTACAAACGCTACATCATATACAGATAGCATTGCTGAACTGTCCATCCAATCAGCTTCTGCCCGGATAGTATAGCGGTTAGTACATCGGTCTCATACCACCGAGTATGATTGAGCATGGCTCGAGGAATCCGAAAATCTGAGTTCGATTCTCAGTCCAGGCATTACCTGAGTCGTCCAAGGCGACTATACTATTTTTGTTTTTGAACTTCCATCCGATCTTTCTTCTCGCATCTAGGATGTGTGTTCTTGATATTTTGCCAATAATGATAATAGCGGGCTTCCCTTCCTGCCATTTGGGCATGTGAATGGTGACTGCATGCTTGTACGAAGTGATTTGGTGCTGGAGGATATATTTTTCCTGCCTCGGTGTTAATGACAGGTAATGTAAGAGCCATGTTCTCGCAAGATGTATTGAGCACAGGTAGAGAGATGGTGGAGCAGAGCAAAGGTTATTATTAGTGTCATCGCTCGTGGGGAACTCATTTCATCAGGCGGTACAGCAAGGTTGGCTGACGCTGACGAGACCACTCGCTCCAGGCAAGCATATTACCGACGCCAGCAGAGCTAAACTATTATTACACAATATCATTCCACTCACCCGCCACATTTATTAAATTACAGTCTGCGTTGTTGCGGTCTCATCATCACTCTCACTGGAATGACTGGCGCCAGCAGTCGCCGATAAATCGACCGGATCATTTTCCTCAGAGGCTTTTGTGACTTGGGCCGCGATTTTCAGAGCATCTTCAAAGGCAGGCCAGTCCATGCGGCCGCCGCCACATTCTGTGGCCACGCCAAACTGAAGTCCGGGAATAGTCTCCTTCACAGCCTCGATCATCTCTTCTGTGAGTTCTTTTTTGTATTCGTGAACAAGGCCGAGGTAGACATCTGTACCATCGCGTTCGATCAAAGGTAGGAGTTCCTTCAGTGGCGACAGATACTTGGTCAGACCAACCTCCGGTCGCTGCACAGCAGACTTTGGGACAGGCATATGGAAGAAGTTCATCGGATGGGGAGAGGCTTCCATTACTCGCTTCTGGCGTTCGACCACCACGGCCAAAGATTTGGGTTCGTGCCAATGCCGATGCTGCATGTCACCTGTGTAACAATCAGTCAGATATCTATACAACGTGCGCTCGAGAAAGACGGCAAACGTACCGTAGCAATTGTGCATTCCAAGCTCGACATCTTGATCGACTTGGCTGCAGAACCTCACGATGTAGTCTGTGCAGTAGTCTTTGACGTCGCCGGTCCACCAAGGCTGGAACCACAGCAATCCATCGTTCTCCTTGACGTTCTGCGGGTCTGTGGCCTCCCAGAATGCTGTGTCTGCCGCGATATCCAACTGGAAAGCCAGATCTTGGTGTGGAATTGCGTCTTGTATCCTTCTCATGGCCTTGAAGAGCGCGGCTTCATAGATAGGTTCCACGCGCTGGATAAAGGCTTTCTGAACGAATGGCATGATGACATTGGCAACCGTTGGCAGCGAGACCTGGAACCTCACACCTTCTGGGATGACGCGCTCTTCACGAAGCTTTCGAAAGACTTCATAGCTTGCAATGGCAACGGTGTCGTAACCAGTCTCGATGTCTGCATTCTTCAAGACTTCGACGCCCTCGTCGATCTGCTCCGGCGTAAAGTCGTTGTTATTGATGGGTGCATTGTGAATGAAGTGCGTCTTCATAGCGGGGTAGACATCAAATGCAGCCGCCTGAAAGGTGGTGAACAGCTGGCGGTTGCCGGTCTCGCCGTCCGGTATGCGCTTCAGTCGATTGGGCACAGCGGCGACGCATTGTCGGAAGACTGATTCTGCATCTGGCAGTGGTACGCTCCCGACAAGATGGACACCATGCACCGAGCCTGTCATTGCGATGCTTTAATCCTGGTCAGAATTGATGACTGCTTCCTCAGGAAGTCCCAACGGAATGGTGTAGAGTGCTAGCAAAGGAACAGGTCATGTTGGAAGAGTCAGTCCCAGTCGCGACAAGCAAATCAGTGTCTCGCCACGAGCGGCATGGCCGTGCATGCAGCCATGGGTGATTCTTTGCAGAGAACTACAGGTGATGGTGTGCTCGGCTGCCAACAAACGAGAACAAGAAGCAAGGATGACAAGCAGTCGCGGGTTTTCGCCTTGCTTCTGGGCTGGAACGGTGGAACCACTCTTGTCACTTGTCTCCTGTCTCCGATGTGGATGTGGAAGCTCGTGGCTTGGAGGTGAGCATGCCCTTGACAGGTAAACGTTGACGCTAGACGAGGTGCGTGCCGCCACGGACTCTGATTCTATTACTATGTGCCGGCTTATTCTTGTCAGTACGGCCCGTAGAGCCTCTCCTCTCCTAATTTGGTCAGCTCAGGAGTCTAGGGGTGGATTTGTATATAGAATCAGGTGTTTCTTCCTACTTATAATCGTTAAATAGAGAACAATCGTATTTCAAGCCTCGTACGCGTATTCTAACCGTTTCTAAGAGCTATATAGTAATAATAGTACTAAGACCGACTCGTACGACTGCTAGTAAGGCTCTAGTACGATTAGACTAATAGATAGCCTTAAAGAAGAAGGTAATAGAGCTTCTCGATAAGCTAATAAGTCCGCCGCTAATAAGAGGTAGTAGTACGAGTATAACGAGTTAAAAGAGTAGCTCCGCGAGTCGGTCTAGCGGCGGCAAGAAGGGCAAAGCGACTACCGTAGAAGAGCCTAATCTAATCGATAGTCCCTCGGTACTACTAAGCAAAGAGACCGTAGTAGTACCGGCGGAGGCTTTACTAGACCCCGTAGTAGTTCGGGTTAGTTTGGTTTAGTTTACTAAGCCGAAACTCTAGTTTAGTTTAGGTTGGTTTGCTAAGCAACTATATAAGTAGCTAGTTCGAACTATATAATTTATCGGTTTTTAAGAAGTGTACGAATGTATACGTAGCTTTAAGCAAGCCCTTTATAAGACTTAGTAGTATAGCCGGTAGCGTAGCCGGCATTTTTAGTCCTTAGTACTTATAGAATTTTCGAATCCTACTTAGGCTACGTAGTTGTATAAAGGTACTTATATAACCTCAAATCTATAGACAATTAGCTAAGGGCACTAACTAATCAAAAGCATACATATACGTATATAAGGCATTATAGTTTAGTTCGGAAACTACACTCCTTAGGTATGAATTTTATCCTTTCGTTTACGGTTCAATTCCCTAACTGCTTAGTAGAATATCTTTATCTAGATCTAGGTAGAACTCATCGATTTCCCTAGAAGTCCTCCTCCTTAAGAAGTTTATACACTTTCCTACCGAACTATTCGACAATATTAAGTACTAGGATAGCTCCTCCCTCGGTATCGGCATAGTATATAAAAGAGCTATAAGGCAGCTCTACAGAACGTTCTACTAGTCACTCGCTATACTAAGGCCGAATGCTAGTTCGTTCCTTAGAACTCTTAGTTATTTAGGAGATATAAAGGATAGGGCAGGTAGTAACTTCGTATTATATAAGGAGGTAGAGGCTGCTATAGAAGAGGCCTTCAACCTATAGAAGATAGTAAAAGATATAGAGGCAGCTATAGGTCTAGGTACCTAGTTGAATTTTCAGTAGGTAGAGTATAAGGATATTTAGAGGGAGTATTAGGTAGAGTTGCGAAGGCAGGTGTATAATATACTCTAGAAAACAGGGATAGTACCTATAACTATAACTATTAGGCTCTTCAACCTTCCTTATTTTTCCCTGTTTTCTTTTTATAAAAATCTAAACTAATACAAATCAACCGGAATGTCTATCTTCTTTTAGTTCTTTAAAAAACCTAGTAGCGTAGCTAGTAGCGTAGCCGGCAGCGTAGCCGGCAGCGTAGCCGGCAGCGTAGCCGGCCTTTTTACTCCTTAGTACTAACGGGATTTTAGGAGACTTCTATTCCGTACGGCTAATAAAGTATACTATACTATATATATATGCTTAGAGAGTATTTAGAGCGCGGTATGCAGCGCCGTATAATAGCGGCTTATTTCGTATATAGAAAAGCTTATAGATAATACTACGAACATCCTTTCTACTAGAATATCTATCCTACCTAGCACCGTCTCGAATATAGACATTCTAGCCTTTTAGAATCTAATCGAGTGCTTTAAAATCCTTGTCTATAATCGTTATACGCTTCGCGTAGATAGCTATAAGGTTAACCGCTAAAATAGTATTAGTATAGTCCGAAAAGAGGTAGAAGAGAAACATATATTCGAAGATACGAACTAGGTAGGCTTCTATAGCCTCTTAAAGGGCGCCTATCGCGGAGGCTTAGAAGCGAAGATCCGTTCTATAATCCTAGGCAATTTCGCGAATAAGTCGTTAGAAAGGAGTTTTACGGATTAGGAGCTAAGAACTCTTCTAATACTACCGAATCTTACGGAGGGCTACGGCTAAAGAAGGATTAGTAAAAAGACAGTAAGAATGCCGGCTACGCTGCCGGCTACGCTGCCGGCTACGCTGCCGGCTATAAATAGGACTTACTTCCTAGGCGCTATCGACGCTTCGTATAATTGCTACTAGTAGTAGAAGCGCTAGTTATCGTCTTACGTAGAGCCTTGCCCGCCGTTGTCTTACGCGGAGCCTTGCTCGCGACGCCCTTTCTAGCACCGGAGCTAGCGGCAGTAGTAGCAGCCCTCTTACGTTAATATACTATGCTCGTTCTACTATTTCCGGTCTTATTACGACCCGTAGAAGCACTAGGTCCCTTCTTACGAGGCGTCGTAACTTAGTTAAGTAGACTCGCTATTATAAAAGTCGTCGAATTGAGGAAAAAAGTGCGTTACGAAGGTATACGAAGGCGCGCGCGGAGCGAGGGTATTGCGGAGGTAGTAGATATAGAGCGTAGAGGTATAGGTATCGATACGAAGGTTGAATATAGCGGTAGTATCGCGGTATCGCTAGGCAATAGAGTAAGCTTCGCGCAAGCCTATATTATAGTAACGTTAGAGTAAGGAAAGAAGGCAGGTACGGCTAAAAAAGGTAGGCACGGCTAAAAAAGGCAGGTACGGGAGACTTTGAAATATAGCCGGCATATATAGCCGGCATAGTAATAGGCGAAAGCCTCCTTTTAATAAATAGCCGGCGTGATAATAGTATCTTACTATAGTATAGATATTCTTTAGTAATGCCTTTACTAGCTATAGTAATCTTATAAGTAACCTAGGCCTATTGCTAGTAAATATAAGAAATATTAGGTAGGCTATACTAAACAAGCTAGTCATTTAGTAGGAAAAGGCCTACTACCGTCTCTATATGCCGGCTACGAGTGCCGGCTATCGCTCTAAATTCAACTCTGCCCTATCTCGGAGGCTAAGGTACTAAGCGGAAACCCTATAGCTTATATTCACTCGGTTATCGCGGAGCGCTTACAGGTAAGGTATTAGAAAAGAGTATAAAAAGTACGAGAAGAGTATCCTAGGATATAGGTCGTAAGTAAATAAGAGTAGTACGCCTAGTTATTTATATAGTACGTTACTCTATACGACTAAGAGCCTATATTATCTTATACTTCGCTTATAAGACCTCGACTCTACTAGTATACTATCGATCTCTTCCTCGGTCGCTAATACGCTATCTTAATTCTTCTTCGAGTTACCGGACTTAGTACGTATCTATAGCTATACAATAGCGCTACGCATTATAGAGAATTTCTCGTTAAAGTTTCTCTCTCGTAGGCTTGCTATCTGCCTCGTAGTATAGAGGATTAAAGTGCTAATGCTAAAGAATCTCCTTATAGTTAGGATGCTAGGGCTCCTTAGGACCTTTGTGTTTTAGGTCTAAATAGAGACGTATTATAAACGTTCTATCGCCCTTTCGCTTACTACCCGCTAGGTCGCGATATACGAAGAAACTAATCTAAATATAGCTCGTCTCTATAATAGCCGGGTAAATATAGAGCGCTAGGTTTCTACTTCGTACCTTAGATTTAGGGACGGCGCGGAGATAAAATCAGAAATGTAGCCGGCACCTATAGCCGGTAAAAGGATACGAAAATAGGCCTCCTCCTAGGTTAATCTAACGACTAAATACAATTTCCAACTAATCCGCTATAAACCGACGCCGAATTTTAGCTAGAAGCTGTATATCTTTATTTTAAAGAGTAACCCGCTTCGTATAGATAGTAAGGAGGTTTAAAAGCTTAAGCTCGGTTACGAGAAATGCCTCCGTAGCTTCCTAAAGAGCACTAATCGCCTTAGCCGTAAATCGTATACTAGACAGAAATCTAATATAATTTCTCGGACGAGTCGCTAGAAGGGAGTCTTAAGGATTAAAAGCTCGGTCCCTCTTTTGTTTTAGAAAAGCCGGATCTAGCGAAGGGCAATAGTACCTAGTTTAAAGCGCCGCTTCTTTATCGTCGAGTCCTACCTTATTCCCTTTCTTTTAATAGAAAGATAACTTTTCTTCGCGATAGTCTTCGTCCGCCTACTCTTTTTAGCCTTCTTCTATCTATCTATAGCCTTCTTGTTTTTCGGTACTGTTTTCCGAGGAACCCCCTTCCTTCGTATATACTACGGAGAGCCTTACTCTTCCGATATCTCGTTCTCGCTACGGTCTCCCTATACTTAGCTTACTTTACCCTTACCCTTTAGCCTCTAAAGATATTTATCTACGCGTTTAGGCGACGAGGGTATATCGGTAGGACCTAGAAAATTAATAAGTATATAATCGTAAGGAGATATTAATGCTTCTTGCCTTCTAGAACAAATAGTCTTCTATTAAACCGCCTTATTAGGTTATCGTTAGATTCGAATAAAGGATAGTAGCTTAAGGAAGGGGAGGTAGCCGGCTTAGGAAGGCCCGAAGAGCCGAATCCTTAAGGCATATTTGTTTTTAAGAATATAGGGAAAGGGAAGAAGGAGAGGAAGAGCGAATAGAGAATTAGAAATAGTCCGTAGGTAAGCGGGGTCGGTTGCTATAGCAACTAGTCTGTTTAGGTCCTAGGAATTCGAAACACATTTCGGATATATACCGGCTATATACGCCGGCTATATTACCTTATATATAAACGCTTCGTCTCCTTAAAGCTACTCTAAGCCTATATACGTTTCCGCTTCTCGACCCGGTATCGCCTTCTACCTCCGCCCTCCTCCTCTTCGTTATCGCTAATTAGGGTTTCGCTTAGACTAAATTTCGTATTCTCTTCGCGCTCCTAGGTTTCTTCGATCTTAAGGTTTTCTAATTCCTCGATTAACTCCTTTAGTATAATCTTTAGTAACCTACCTTAGCGATTCTAGTAGAGGAGATAGTATCGGAATACTATAATAGATTCGAAGGTAGTAGGCGAGTATATTCGATTAAAGCGGCCCTAGTAACGAGCGATACTAAAAGACCTCTTATAGCCTATACCTACGCTCGGGATAGCG